AACGACATACGAACTCACGTTTGTAAAACCCCCTTTTTAAGTGGTTTTACATTGGTTACCCCGTGTGAGGACAGCCGAGCCGAAGGAACAGAAGATGAGCACTTATCGATACCTGCGAACCACAGACGACCAGCCGATTTGCAATTACTGCAAAAGAGTGGGACACGTGGTCAAATATTGCAGAAGACGCCCGTTGAAGCAGCAACCATTGCAAGGAAAAGCTTCTGTGCCTGTGAATGCAAAAATGGGCCCAGTTTTTGAAGCCGAAATTCGGACAAGAATGACAACCCAAACCACAACTGAACCCTTCGTTGCTCTGTGCAAGTTGTTCCGCATGTTAGAAGACATAACAAAGGAGCTTGCTAACTTGATGAAAGAGCAATTGGGCCAAACAATAGCGTTCGACGAGGCAGAAATTTTCAAAACGCCCCTGACAACGATATTCAAAGAAATGACGTCAATCACCGATATACTGTTAGCTCCATAACATCTGTGCAGATCATCATCACCATTATTCTCATTACCAAAAACGAAAGAGTTTCAAGCCATGTTATATAAATGCGAAGAAGAAACGCCACAAGAAGACCAAGCCAGGAGGCTTGTTTTCAAAGGAGGGGGCTATGTTAGAACACAGGGTTCCCATTCATTGCAGGACATCACATGACAATTGCATCATTGCGCTGCAATTGCATCAGCTTCTGTAAATTGTATTATTCTTAGGGTATATAAGGGGTGGCTTTATAGTTAGGTTCAGTCTTGCCGTAAGCTTTGTCGAACTCAGTGTACCTTGTCGCTAGCTTGAAGAATTGTGTTTGCCGTTACATTGTCGTCGTTAGCCGTTTAAGATTTCTTTAGTCGTTTGACGTGAACTGATGAATTAGAAGAAGTGTATAGAGAATTGAATAACAGTTTTTGCCGTATTTATCGTGTACGTTTCTGCGAACGACATACGAACTCACGTTTGTAAAACCCCCTTTTTAAGTGGTTTTACAAGAGGAAGATGTTGTTTTTCTGAACAGAAATGTGCAGTTTCTTGTCTCAAGAAGGCCATGTTTACATCCAAAATGAAAACATTGCAATGATACAGAAAGTGATTTACTGAATTAATGCAAATAAAAGAAAAATAATACACATGAATAAGCTAGTAATTATATCAAACAAAATCGGCGTTTTTCTCTTCTTATTTCATACACTGTTAAAAAGTAACAGAAAAAATGATAAAAATTTTTTATCTTGACCAAAGTCACGCTTCAGGAGCGCCGTGCCTGTCATGAAAATAATTTAAAATTTAAATTTATTTGTGTGGACTCAACCTTGCCCTCATAAACATATGCATCAATTATTGCATCCATTGGCTAAGACTTTTGGTAAAAAATGCTTTCGCTTTGCAGATAACTTTTCCTGACATACCTGTTCAGCTCTCTAAAATGCAATGTCAGCAAGGGAGGTTCATAACAAATATGATATTTCTTCAGAGGTGGCGTTTCTGAGTGGCATTAAGTTTTTTGGCGCCATGCAAAGTTATCGATTGCCCTGCGAAAGCGACTATTTATTAGATTGGGGGGGGGGGGTGTCACAGCCCCCTAAACCCCTCCGGTATTTTCACCTCTGTCTGTAATTGCCCCCGGCCCCCTAATCTTTTTACCTTGTTACCTTGCATTTTCTAAGGCTCTGTTTATCGTCAACTCGACTATGCCTTTCACCACAGAATGCTTTCATTTAGCAAAGCAAATGTTGCCACTCCTCCAAGAAAAATTCCTATTGTACGACCCTCTCAAGGAGCAAGGGACTTTTTAATCCCGCAAAAAGCCAGTCAACGCAGCGAATTTTAAAGCCAACAATTAAACCATCATCGAGAGAATTGAAAAAAGTACTTTTACATTTGTTGGGGCAAAGTGCGACCTTGCTTTCAAGTGTGACATTCTAATACCACCCGCAGGGCGGCATTGGAGGAGATTTGAATCTGGTAGTGGTTGCAAGTTATTCGCACGTGACGGCTGGAAGTCTCCAGTTAGCTGTCGAGATGCTGCGGATAAGTTTCCTTACGCTGTTATTTGCGAGTAAGTGGAATTTCTTGGTTTTGTTTATTAACTATGTAAGTTTTTTGTTTATTTCTGATAATAGTGTTTATAATTTGACTGTGTTTGGGAATGTTTAGCGCGCAAGGCCTAGCTTAGATATCCTGCAGCGAGTTGGTCATGCATCGAAATTATCGAAGGTTGATGCATTTCCAAAGAATGCAAAAACAGTTCCAATCACCTGGGGATTCCTTGAAACTTGAATATAAAACCAATCTGCTATCAGGGTATAAATCTAGTGTTATGAACAAAGATAAATGTTTCTGTGTTATCACTCCTCGGGCTGTGACGAATTTATTGAAAATTGTATGTATCTATATTGGCTCTCCGGCCCTTCTCTTATCATCAAAATTTTCTATCCGGAACAAAACGCACCGTTATACGGTTATGAGGTTCCGTGTTTGCCATTTTGTCAATGCTGGAATATGTCTATAAAGGCAGCAAAATATATTTTAACGATGTCGAATCTGTAAGTAAAATCGTTTCGGCAAAAATACGCCACTTAAGCTCAGAATTTTTTGAAAGGATAATCTCTGAATGCGTTCTGAATTTGTTTACATCCAATTCTAACATTTGTTCTGTTTCTACGTTTCTGACAAGCTGCAAGTTTTTTCGACCGTGTTAAACCATTGGTTTTGAAGACATAGTAATTTTTATATCTCTAAAAGCTGATAAGGAAAATCATGCCGCTGTTATAGCCCTTGCATTCTACATCTTTTAGATGGTTTTGATTTCAGTCGATGTTCTTGTTGGTTTTTTGAAATTTGAAAATCTAAGTTGTCAAAAAATGCTGAACTTTGATAGCAGGCCATCAATTTTTGTCGGTGTTTCATAACTTCAAGGATTTGCCCAGTCGCATCAGCACTGGATTATCACATGACGAAAAATTTAGTCCAAAACCTGAATCAGCTATTCAGCATGGAATGGATAACGTTTAGGGGGCGTGGGCTATTGGAAATTCTGACAAGATCATTTGAGATATTTTGAGAACAAAAAATGAGTTTTAATTTATTGCAACTGAAATCATGATACAATGTATTTTCTGACAGAATGTTTCACAGTGATATTTAGTCAAAACTACATTTTAACTTGTATTATATAACAAGCTTCAATCGTTTGGCCTGTAAAAATCAAAATTATTGTCAAGTATGGGGTAAATTTGATCAAGTAAAAGAGGAATTTACCAAGCCAAGAAGATTTGTTTTACTTTTTATATCTATCTTAGTTAAGTTCTATAGTATCTCTAGTGACCTGTTATCATTACCAAAGTCTAGCAGCCAAGGGGGGTCACTTGAACATTTTATATACAGGGGGTCCAAAGATCATGGGAAAGAACTTTCCTTGTGATCTGATACCTTTAGGTACTTGATTGAACAACATACATTTTTTATACATATGGGTTCAAACTAATACATAAAAAGAATTGAACTGATTATTTTAGGAAGCACAAGGGTTTGTGTCTATTGACCATATAGGATTGCTTCTTTTTCAAATTTCCCAAATCACTACCATTATTGTAGCACCGTTGGCACCTGTAGTTCAATAGACGTTTGGAACTCTGTACAATTTTCATCCTTTTGATAACCGTCCCGTTTGGCTGTTTGGACATTTTTGAGGTCTCCGGTTGTTGTTGGGGCAGCAAATGGGGCTGAGGGTGGTGGCTGCCTGTCTGCAGGTTGGGGGTCCTGTCTACTTGTTTTCTTGTGCTCGTGTTATGTATTTTCATGTACATGTGTTATGTATTTTGTTTTCTTTATTTTGCTTTAAACATTGATGATAAGCTTCTTTTTAGAAGGCAATCAATATATTGGTAGAATAGAACATTGTCTACATTATTATAGGAAGTACAAATCTATTCAAGTCTAAATTTCTATGGCTAGTGGTCTTCTATGTGCTCAACAACAAGATGTCTTATCAATATTATTTTGTTATTTTTAGGTCTTATCAACACTTTTTAGCTGATAATTATGGATCTTCAAAATTTATTTTTGATACTCATCGGCAAACTTTTATAGCTGCAGATAGACCTCCCCGTATGTAAAAATTTTGAGTTACTCCCTTGGGTCTATCAGCTGATAGATATCTAAATAATCTGAAAACTCTGATTCAACCAAGAGAACCCAAAGAATACCCAAAGATTCTTGACTGATAAAAGATTGGTCAGTTATCATGTATTTTGAGACCAGCTAAGTGATACTTTTGACTGGATATTGGCATTTGATATATTTTGAAGCCCCTTTTGGCTTTCAAAAACAATTCAGGTTAAGGGTACAGTAAATTCAGGGCTAGCCAGGGTATTAGAACTGATTGGGTGTCAATTTGACAAAGCCTTCACCTGAACAAGTATCTATGTAAAGAGAAACTTCAACACCTCTTTCACAGCCAAGAACTGCTTCAACAATTTGAAATACTTAATAAACTTACTGCTATAATGCTTAGTACTTACAATTTCAAAAATTTTTACCGATTTTTTAATTATTTATTTTGCACAGAATTATGTATTTTCTTTTTCAAAACTATTTCACAAATGGAATATAAAGATTTTATTAGAAAGCACAAAAACAACATAAAAACAATGTGTACCAATAAAAACTGAGGTTTTGAAAACTTTCCAAAAAATGTACAAAAACGGAAGCAGTGGTAAAAACCACAAAAATGAACATTTTTACTCTGTTTTGTGTACGTGTGAATACAAAAAAACGAACTTTTTCCTCTTGAAATGATATGAAAGGAAATTTTATTGTTTGAACAGGGCCTAAGAATGTTTACTGTATAAGAAGTGTGATAAACCACACTTCTTGTGGAAGCAAGATGGGTGCCAAGGTGTGTGTGTGTAATTGCATGGCTTTCCCAGGATAGCCTGCTTATAGTGAACTGTCCCCTTTAAATAATATTTATGCAAACATTTTTAAAACATACTAAAAGCTTTATTATCTGACACTCCTTAGTGTATAAAACATGAGAATAAGGATCCAAAAGAACAAGATGCAAAATATTACCCAGTTGTATGGGTTTACATGGGTTTGTATTGTGTCACCCATATAATACTTTGATACTTTCCTGTTAGGTCTGGTCTGTGGTGAATGTCCTTCAGATTGGTTTATAAATGGTCAATATTGTTATCACTTCCATGATATTACATACTCAACTAGTGGCATGAGCTGGAATGACTCAAGGCTTGCATGTCAGAGGTATGGGGGTGACTTGGTAGTTATCAAGGATGCTGCAGAACAACAACTTATTGCAAGAAGGATGACCCTAGCTCAAAGGCGGCAGCATTACTGGATTGGACTGACAGATGCTGCCCAAGAAGGCAAGCTTCTCTTTCTTTACAGTTTGATATGCCAAAGGGGGAAAGTTATGGAAAGGGATGAATGAAATTTGATTTTTTTGGAATTGCAGAATTTCAGATGTGCTATTGTCTTTCTAGATTTGCAGATACATTTGAAATTACAATGCAATCAAAGTAACTCAGAGAAGAGTCACAAGACACTTCAAGTGTTTTGAATAGGGAGTGGCATTTAGAGCTTATTTTCCCACATGTTGCTCTGTCAAATATTCTTAATACACATTGTTGTATGTTACATGGTTTGTGTTTTTATACAGTGGTAGTACATAAATAAGAGAGAAAACATTAAATTTCAAGTTTTCATTATTTATATTTATCAGAACTTTGTCTGAATAGTTATAAAAATATTATAAAAAAACAGATGTCTAAATAATTGTAAAAATGTTTTCAAGTTTCTATGATGAATGCACCAATTCATTTTTCGACTGACAAAATGAAAAATCTACAAGTCACTAAAATCCAACATGTTTTTATTTTCTAGGAACATTTGTGTGGATTGATGGGACGTCCTTAGCTGCAACTGGGAGTCACTGGAGGACTACTTCTGGAGAGCCAAACAACTGGGGTGGAAATGAAGATTGTGCTGAGCTAAATAATGATGGCCTGTGGAATGATAACTCTTGTAGCAGAGAATTTGCCTTCATTTGTAAAAAAGACAAAGGTGTGTATCTAAAATGAAAAACAATGAGAGAGAGAAATCATCATAGTAGAATATTGAATGGTAATAGAAACTGCACTCAATGCTGTCAGTTTCTATTATATTTATCAAGTGTTTTATGCAGGATATTGCTTATATAGAGACAAGGGATGCAGTGCTTTAAAATAAGAGGCAGTTAAGAATAATTTTAAACAAACCCTAAGGTACCAGGACAAGCCCAACCCAGGAACTATGACAAAAAAGTAAAAAATTGAATAAACTTTTTCAAAGGATTGTTGTAGCCATGCCCGCTGCTCCTGTGTCCCAATTATATGTTAGCCTGCTCATGACATTTTGCAGGAAAACAAGAAGTCAAAGAAATCAATTTTTTAAACATAATAAAATATTCCTGGTTTAAGTTGAGCAGGACCATCTTATGTATACAGAGTCTAATCATTTGGACTAGGTCTTTCCAATTAAACTGTCTGTGGTTTCAATATGTCAACACTCTTCTGTCTTTGTGGGTACTTATCTCACTGAATCCCATTTTCTATTATCAAAAGATCTTTTACACTAGCTATGTGTTAAGTGACCATATCTACAGATGTGATGTAGCATACTTTCCTATCTAACAAAAATTTAACAGATAGTTTCTTTTGAGATATCATATCCCTGGGGCCATTTATTCTTGAATATGAGTTAGCATTGCCAATTTTTTATTTTAATGTTAGCCAAAAATGAATCATAGAATTAGATTCTTCATGTTGAAATAAGTCTGTGCTGAAAATTTCATGTTGTTTCAAACACATTTCACTGCAGCAGCAACTTCAGGTCAGGCCTTTAGAAATTGTTTGAAATTGGTTTAATATCTAATTATTCGAAGCCTATTATCTAAGGACCTGACTGTCCAACCAGCATGGAATTTTCAATGATAAACTAAATTCAACATGATAATTTGAAATGTTAGGTCCGTTTTTGATAATTTCAAATGTTAGGTCAGTAGATAGTCAGATACACAATTAATAATGTCAACGTGAAACCAAGCATGGCTTAAACTTACTATCTGATGTTACTAAACCCTTATGGTTGGGACTTGGGATAACATCCCAATATTATAACACAACATTCTTTTAACAACTCCCACTCTTCTCCAACATTGTTGCTTTATTAGGAAGGCAGCCACCTGTAAAGGTACTAGATGAGCTTGAAAAGTAAGGAAAACATTTTGAACATTGCTTGTCAATTCATTTTCATTTCTTTTTCCAATACAGTAACAGATTTTGAAATATGTTGATTAACATTCTAAGCTTTGCACCACCATCCCACCGAGATCAATCAAGAGTCTTCACTATTAAATCCTTGCATTTTCATTTATCTTTAGCTATTAATTACAATCATGTTTTGTCTTTTAGATACCCCTATTCCTCCAGCACCAACACTGCCTCCTCGTCCTTCTTCAAGTAAGTTTGCTCTGTTTTGAAATGTTTATGAATGTGGACCTTCCTGTTAGTAAGTTTGTGGTACCTATTACCTAGGATGTCTTCTTGGAAATCAATTTAGGTATTTTTAAACTAGAGATTTTCATTATGAAGGAAGTTTATTTGTCCTGATTCAGGTTGCTTTCACAAAGATATATCTTTAAATTTACTGTTGTCATGTGCTCCTTTATCAGCTAATCTGTAACATATTTGACTGATTTAGTATAATTAGAGACATTTTATTTTAGCATCCATAGTAATGTGATCCAATTTCGAAAATTCAAAAATTCATTTTTGTGATTTTGTCATTGAAATAAAATCAACTTTAACAGCTTCATTGAATAATGTATTTCTTTGGCTCTACAACCTGAAGGACGTTGTTCAGGCATCTTGACAATTGGCATTTTACATAATTGGTGAAGAAATTCTAATGCAACTGTGCAGCATAACCAGCTTTTGTTCTACTATACATTCACTGATCTTTAGAATGTTATGTTAAAGGGCACTATCTGACTCACTGGTGGTCATTTATTGATCTTACTTTGGCAGTTAATACCCTTTAATAGACAGTAATGATGCAAAGCTCTTCATTATACCCCCCCCCTGCCCCTAAGAAAAAATCTCTTTTGTTTGTTGGCAAAGTAATCTAACGTTAATGACATAGTATTTGATGATCTGTGGTAATTCATTTTTTTAACCTCTATATTCAGTATACTGGTTACTTAATATTTGAAAATAATTGAAAATGTTTGAAAGCGCATTATTATTATTTAACTACTAACCTGCATCTGTTCTCATTCATCAGTCTTATAATCCTTAAACCAAGAACGTACTATTACAGTGGCAGCCATTTTTAAGTACTGACATGCTTGTTAAGTTAGGGTCTCTTAAGAAGATATGTTACGAGGTTGCAGGTTATCAATTTTAGTATGATGCAAATCCCCTAACCTACAGTTATTTAATAGTTAATTCTCGATAACTAAATTTTAGCCAATTTTTAATTAGAAACAAGGGACAAATTTACTAATATTGCAAGTTTTCTAGGCAAATATTTGTTCGAATACACTCATTTTTTTTATAAGAAACTGGCTTTAAGAAACGAGTACTGGACAGTCAGAAAAAATTAAGAAACTTCAGTACTCGAAGCAAAAAAATTAAGAAACTATTAAATCGTTATAAAACTGAGAACAACGAAATTTTGTAGAATCCAAGAACATGATTGCCCTGATGGCCTAGAAATTGTATCGAAATTTCCAGAACATTAAGAAACTGGAGTGCTCAACATCGACCTTTGTTTCCTTTAATAAAATGAGTGTATTTCTTGATACTTGCCTGTCCCCTGTTCGAGTTAATCCCACAATAGATACTTTTCCGATTTTAGAATAACAATTTAAAACAATCATATCTATAATCTTTTAATAATTAGTTTTATTAAGTTACTGGAGTAATAATATATCAAGCCACTAGAGGAAGAAAAAAATTTTTCGAAAATCTATCTTGAGAATATTTTTGTTATCTTAAAATCTGCGATAATAAGAGAATGATATCTTGCTTATAGGAGGCATTATACAGAAACAAAGCCCTTGCCTTAAGTTCCATGGCCAGCAGGGTAACTCTATTTCAAAATAAGCAGTGTTATAACGACTTAGAAACCTTTGTGAAAATTTAGATAGAACATCCCTGTGCCGTGTCCCTTGCTATGCAAGTAGGTCTTGCTCATTCGTCAGCCACTGCTCTGGTAAAGGGTAATTTACTAACATTTCTTACTAACCAAAGCTAACAACTTTTCCTTGATAGTGGAGAAATGCAAGTTAACAGCTCTTGGTACAACGTATAGAGGTACCATGTCCACCACAATATCTGGTTACATTTGCCAGAGGTGGGATTCTCAGACGCCGCATAAGCACGATGAGAATAAACCAGAGGATGTTCCTAGTCTGGTTAATAACTATTGCAGAAATCCGGACCAGGAGCCGCGTGGGCCCTGGTGTTATACAACGAATCCACAAAAAAGATGGGATTATTGTGATATCAAGATGTGCAACAGTGGTAGGTTGTGAGTGCATCAAAGAAATCTAAACATTGGCGCTGTAATTCACGTTCCGCCTTTAGGGGCAGCCAAATTTTTGTGCTTGCCATGTGCTGTATGACTTTGTTTAGCTCTGTGTTGGACAGCAAACGTGACAGGAAATTTAGCACTGATTAGGGTTTCCTTAACGCACATGTGGTCTGACCGGATCTTTACCTCAAGTACACCAAATTCTACAGCCTACAGTATCGAATGAGACAACAAAACTGACACAGTTAAATGATTGAAACATCAGTATTAGGTTGTTACAATCGTGATGCATCCCCGCTATGACAGAATAGGTGTTTTGACATGTGCTTGTGTGTAGAAAACGTTTGTGCTGCAATGGATAAGGCAGAAAATTTTTGAGAGTGCCTGCCAAAAAGTCTTGGAACCAGAACAGGAGTTTTTCATTCACATTTCCCCTCTCTTCTGCCAAACATTGTTGGGCTATTCTCTATAGCAATTCACTGTTTGAACGCAACCTGTACTTTTTAAAATTAGGATTGCTGAGGTGCAATCCCAGCATTGTTTTTTCGAAGAAGGGGGCCACGCCGCTTTTTCTATAGATGTGAGTTGAAAATAGAACGAGAATGGACTGTAACTATTGGCTCTTGCAAGTTCTTTTGGCGAGCAATGTCATTTCGCATTATAACAAACAGGTTCACATATGTCTATATTCACCAATCATTCATCAAAAGGTTAGGGAAAATAAAGCCTTGAACAAATTTCAGGTAACAGATTGACTGTTGCTCGATACGCTATGTTTTGACTGTGTTGACATAACGTTTGGTGGGGAAGAGTGCCTTACCATACCAAGCGGGTAAAACATGGAAAATTGATATACAGTCACTTGCTGTATAGGTATCGTAATTCTCACAATGTGTGCCTTTGTTGTAAGTTGCAATTGTACTTTTTTGCTTTTCCCTTTACCGTTTGAAAATTATATGCCACGTTTTTTTGTCGTCATGTTATGACACGTCTCATTCTCCTGTCCTTATTTTCACCTTTTTCCCCAAGCAATCACAATTTTTTTGTATTCTCTTTTGCCGCAGTCTGAGATACAATTTTTGTTTGACATGTTTAGCAGGTTATATTGTTTGAACTGTGTTATTGCAGATGCTTTGCTGTATGAATTGTGACTCTTGCACTTTGGTTTGGTAGTTTTTTCGTAGCACGTGACGCATACACACACGCTTGTACTGTGCCACTGCTTACTTGGAACAAGAGTTGCCATATAGTCAGTTTTGTTCATTGATAACGTTTTGTGGTTAGCATTGATGACATATCATGGAAGCATTTTTATCAAAGTTTTCCCGACTTTGGTCTTCTCTTGGTGACGTAAATAATCAACATTTAGCCTCAAAATGAATTGTGGGCTAATTAAGTCGGTTCCGACAGAACGCAAAAGTCACGTGGGCCTGTTGGTTTCCTAATAACCAACCTTGAACCTTCTAATGACAACCAAGTCATATACCCTCAAGACCTCAGCATGCTTACTTTGTAGGAGCAAGGTCTAATTCGAAAGCCCGCCATTTGTCAGAAAAACTTTCCCACGGCCAGAGTTTGTCCTCCTTTCCTTTGTATTTTCCTCTCTATGACAATGTTTAGATGACTTTGATGCATTTTCAGTTAGCGCCGCTCATGTTGCACATTGATCAGAGTTTTACACTGACAGTTTTTCTTCAAAGATTTAGTAAATAAGGAAGAGAAGAGGTTTTGCAACTAATTTAGAAGCGTCTAGCTAGATTCACTTAATGGGGAGAAAATTTTTGCACATGAAACACTCAAGCTCCGAAAATACCATTTATTTATAAATGTTATAAAAATATTTTTAGTTCAGAATTATGAACATTTATAAAATGTTAGAAGCAAATTCAGTCTTATTTTGTGTATTCCTAATTTATCCTGTGGCAATTGCCTCATGAACGATGAATAACCTTTGTGTTTGGATTCTCTCTTCTTTAAGGGACCCACCATAAATCTCGCTAATACACTTGACCAATATCTCCCTCTTTATTACCCCTCTAATACACGTTCACATTTATGCTTGCTACTTTAGTGCTTGTCCACATACATCCATAAAATCCTAGCTAAGGATTGTATAGGCCCTTGTAAGAATTTCAATTGAAACGAAGCCACCTTTTGTCAGTGCTATCGTCTGTGTGAAAGCTTTTTTGGCTTATGAGCCGCGCGAAATATTCAGTACAGTCTTCTTATTCGTTTCTGGTCGTTTCAGGGCCAATCACATGCGAAGCTGGGTGGCACGGATTAAATAACAGCTGCTATCTGTTCCAAAAGGAAGGGAAAACATGGGCAGAAGGGCGAGCAGAATGTCAATTACGAGGGGGAGACCTGGCCATCGTCGACAGCCAAAGCGAGCACAACTTTCTCACCAATTTCATCCAAAGAGATAACATGGTCAGTCTCTTTCCAGATCCATTTTTTCATTATGTTATCCGAACTTAATATATCAAATTTTATGCAAAAGATTAGAATCTGTTTGTATTATCCATTCAGGCTCCCAAAAGTGTATATGGCAAAAGTAATGCCAAAAAAAACAAAAAAGGTTGTAAATTTTCATGTCAAATTCGTAATGTGTGATCTCAGTTGAAGAGCCATTCTTCTAGTAAAGCTGAAATGCAGTGTCTTCTATTTATTGATTTATTACAATGTCAATTTTTTGATTCGTTGAGTAATTTAATAAGAAATTTTTACCAATCCAATATTACATAAGATTCAATAGCACTTAAGAGTAATATTAGAATGGGTGCAAGGTTGAATTCTAGGGGGAGGGGGGAGGTTCTGTTCAGGGGGGGGGTTGAGAATGGTGTGTTTTGGAGCCTCTGCTGTCGTGACTAGGATTTTGTGCTTGCCATGCGAGGTCCATCGATTATGTTCAGCATTGCGGTAACAGTTATATTGCTAGACGAACCGGCGCGAGTCGTCGAGCGACTGGCGCAGTTCCCGTCCATGAAGTTCTTAAAGCGCAACCCTTCGAATTGGCCGACTGGGAAAACCCTATCTCCTGCTGCAAGCGTAATCACTTAATCAGAATACAAAGAGAGAAGGTTAATAAAAGTCTGATAATGCCGGGTGGAAATATTTGAAAACAATTTATTTTGTAACAAAGTACCATCGTCCCTCATTATTTCGTAATTCACAAGAGCGTTACACGGAGGCAAAAGACATCCTGTTATTTCTGCTTTTTTCACAGAATTTATAGATACTGCATTTATTTTTTCGAAATTTCTTCTGAATTGAATGTCCGATGGCCAAGTTGCTACGACTATCTTGATCGGTGACTTGTTTTATTCAAGATTGTTGTATGGTACATTTGTCTTATCTTAATAGATTGTTCTGCAATTAGTTTGGTTTTTTGTCGAAAACGAATAAATTTAACAATCATTTATGACAGTAGGGTGGAATTTTCCCAAAATCTTCAGGCAATTTTCATTAATCCTGTACCTTTGGATGGTTTGTATCGAATAGTTTACCTGTCAGTTAACATTGATAGCCCCAGCTACACCCTTGTTGAATTGCTAATTTCTTTATTAGGGCTACTGGATTGGTCTTACAGACAAAAACACAGAAGGCAATTTCTTTTGGGTCGATGGCAGTCGGTTAAATAACTCAGTCGCATTTTGGGGCACAAATGAGCCAAGCAATGCTTTTGGCGGGGAAGATTGTGTTGAAATGTGGACGTGGTGGGACACGGGACGCTGGAATGACAATAAATGTGCAATAAACCGCCATTTTATTTGCGAAAAAGTTTCAGGTATTATTAGACCTACCGTTATGGCTTCAGGATCTCATTAAGTCAATGTTAATGTAATGTTGGTTATTGCAAACAATCCGCTTGCATTTGTAGAAAAAAGGAGGAACCTTTTGACTTTATCAGAACATTTTTTATTTATATAAACGCCCCCTTTTCAGCGTTTTTGAAGATCCCCCGACGCCTGTTTGATCGATGAAAACGTTCGTTGAAAATTTCGAAATACATAATGTCCTTAAAATCATTTTTAGCAGTACTTTTACTTAGAAGAAGTTAACCCCCTTCCTTGAGAGGAGACCGGTGACTTGATATCGGGCCACGCTCGAAACGTGGTTTTCAAATTTGTCCTTATTTGTCATCTACAATTTTACCTTAATTTCAAGTTATATTGTCTCCTTAATCTTTATAGTTGATAAAGTGTTAGGTTTACTGTAAGTTTTCATTGTAGCAGAAGTAGAGCTCATTTGTGTCTGCGTGATTTTACACCTTTTGCTATGAAATTTATAATATGCAGAAGTGTCTTTGATTGGATCACTCAAGTTTCAATTTTCGAACACAGGCAAATCGATGTGTCCGGAAGACTGGGCTACCTACAATGGAATGTGTTACCAAATAAACGCACATCCCGAGCAAAAGAAGACTTGGCTCGAAGCAAATGCAGCTTGTCAGGCATTCGAAGGAGCAAATTTAGTGAGCATCCACGATTCCGTGACTACGCGTCTCTTGACACAAGAATTCCATTCTGTTTTTACCCGTACTGGCTTCTTCTGGCATGGGTTGAATGATATCAACAGTGAGGGACAATTTGAGTGGACGGACAAGACCAAGTTCGTCTACTCCAATTGGGGCAGGAACGAGCAGAGGAAAAATACTGTTGATCTTGATTGTGTCAAAAGTGAGCTTAGAACTGTTAATGGGTTGTGGTCTTTGGCAAATTGCAATTCGACATCCGAAAGAAATTATTATGTTTGTGCAAGAAAGAGAGGTAAGGTCTTGTTTGTTTACCCACTCATTGATAAGGGCTCTCCTATTTGAAATATTAAGTTGAATACCTGACATGTCAAAATCATGCGTGTATCAAACCTTTTTGGCAGAATGTATTATTTGAAATTTTTGGTTTAACATGAAGTAGCATGTTTTTCAAGAGCTTAAACGATCTTACAGTGTAACGAAAATATGGGGATCCTTTCCACTAAATATTGTCTAAGAGAAAATGTAGATTTCCAATTAAGTTGTTTTTTTCTTTCTCCCGTAAAGTGCCTTGGTAGGCCTTTATCTTTAAGTTTTTCTTCGATCTTTTTCTGATTCCATAATTTTCAATAGAAAGTTGAAAATACCAACGACCAGTTTCAATATTAACATTATATTTTATATCTATAATTTTTAATTGTAAGGAAAGCATTTTTCTGATATACCTCATAAAAAGTTTATCAAAAATTAAGAATTAGAGTTTGTTTCCCCTGGACATTAATCTCGGATTTTGTATTGAAAAGTATTGCAAGTACAATCTGTACAATCAACCTCCAATCTATTGCCACTTTTTTCTAGGCCGGGAGACCGGTAATTCTGTTTGGTCAGCTATTCCGTACTTGGTACTTTAAGTTTAATAGGCTTAAACGTGATTAGACAACAATATAATTACCCTTAAAGCCGTATTAGAAAAGCTCAGGTAGGATAGGTGTTGATAACAAAACTATGGTTTGATTTATAAGAAGGGTTTTTTCTATAACGTGGAAATCAGCCAGTAACTAAAGAATTTTTTTAGAATATGGCAGATGCCACAGTCCCCTTGGTATGGAAGACTTCAACATAGCAGACGACCAAATTACGGCTTCTTCCCAGATGTCGCAAACCACTCCGGCATCATCTGGGCGAAGGAATGCGGTAAAGGGATTTGGACTCGATGGTGCTTGGTGTGCAGGCACCAATGATAAGGTATTCATTGTTGTTATCGTGTTCAGGCACCAATGGTAAAATATTCATTGCTTCACCATCTATGTCTCAAAGTAAAGGGTTTTGGAGTTACATGGAGTAGTATTCTCTATAGAACATGAAATAACAAACAGCTATTAACTGCGGGCACTGAAAAACAAACACAGCTTTTTGTGACACATAGTAATTGTTCCAAATGACTGTGCATAGCGCATGCGCAACATACTAACAATTAGATGGCACAGTTACCTTGCCATTTACTAAACTTAATTACAATTTCGGCTTAACCATTATATCTTATATAACGACACGAACTTTTGCTGAATCTCCTGCCGAATATTTTACTCAATTTTAATGATATGATATGATAGTATGCACAAAGAGTGAATAGGGTATTGAAAAATAATTTCTGCTACCAACCCATGCAACTTTTTGTTATATTGTTGTTTTCCTATGAAACGGTTTTTAAAGTTTTAACGTATTGGGGTCGAGTGTTTGGGGGTGGAATGTTGAATATTTTTTAGACCCTGGTCACCCATGGGTACTGGTTTCACCAAGACTGCCAGGAAGGGATATCATTTTGTACATCTTCATTTTATTTTGTTATGTGTGATTTAATGAAGGAGGCAAAAATGAATGATGTCTACATTCTTATCAACCAACTGTTTGGGTGACACAGGGTACTCAGGTTTGTATTGTCGCTCATTTTGTACAAGGCTTTTCTCTGACTTTTCATTTCATTTTATAGAGCCAATGGCTTCGAGTCGATCTTGGAGAGTATTACACTGTGTCATATATTGGCATACAAGGCCATCCTTCAACAAGTGCATACGTTAAAACATTCTTTATCCAGTACAGCCCTGACGGTTTTCGATGGAGTGTGTATGGTTATAACCCACCCATGCAGCCTTACAAGGTAAGCTTGGAAGTTTTCAAGTCAGTCCTTAGAATAAGCAAATGATCCTGGAAAGATCCCCAACCTAATGTGCTCACAACAAGCAAATGGTGCTCCATTGGTATTTAAATTGTTCTTAACTTAAAAGTATATGGTGATTCGAGCTCTTATTGAACCTTTTTACGTCACAGCTCTAAAGAGTAGAATTATCAATGATGATATTATTACCCCTGGAAAAAATTAGTAACATCACGAAAACTTCTTTTGTTAGGTGGATATGTTTATTGGTATGTGAAATTTTTTTGCCTCCAAAAGCATTTACATGCATTAGATTATTCGCTTACCTGATTTTTAGTGCAATCAGAATTTACTGTTATGAATCATTCTCCTTCGAAACTATTAGCAATGTCCAGTGGCGGACACCTGGAGGCAAGAGGGGGGGGGGGCTTTCGCCCCCAATACTTAAAAGGATTATGGTCTTTCATTCTAAAAAGTTGAGAAGATGTGACGTCATCTCATTAAAACAATAGGCTTCCCCCAATTTTTGAACAAGTGTCCGCCCCTTGCATTAACAACTCACACAAGCCACACTAAGACGCTGTATTTCTTCTAAGGTGCTGCCAGGGAATACTTTAAATGACAGATCTTACGGTGCCACTGCACAACTGATGCCACCAATTAAGGCCAGGCTTGTTGAAATCCACCCGGTTGAATGGTCAAGATCAATTTGCATGAGAGTAGAGTTCTACGGATGCCCTGCAGGTAAAGCCTTTTGTATCGATTAAAAAACCCTTCACATGAATAAAGTCAACTCGGGTTGAGCTTCAATCTATGTTGCGTTTTATTGGGCGATGGAAAGTTTGCTTTTGTTGACCCTGTCACCCAGGGCGAGTTAACTCAACCTGGTATTGTCTTCTTTGCTTATGTCTTTGGCCACTAAGAAATCACATTTATTAATGATACATCTGAAATTTGCTAGTTATTGTTTCAATTATCAATTATCTAATCTCTTGTCCGTTTGGAAGTTCATGAAAACCATTCCTTATTTACCGAATATATATCCATTTTTCAGTTTTTACTTTAGCTTAACTGCTTACTTAGCCCTTTTTTTAATAACACCCTAAGAATCAATTGCTTTTCTAAACGTATTTATAATATGCTCTTTGTACTATTGTTCTATCGATTGATGGATTGTTTAAAAACAGAATCTTCAACATTTTTGATAATGAAATAAATAAAATTTTTGATAGCTACTGAATCTTCAAAGTGTGGCAGAGGCTGGTTGAACAACACAGCACTTAATGCTTGCTACAAAATTGGAACGACTCCCCTTTCATGGGAAGGTATGTCAGGAAGTGCTTATCTTATTTAGATGTTGAACTAAAAAAAGGCTATGTAATGAGTGAGTTGCCCCCTTTCTAATAGGCATGAAAATACTAAATTGCGTGTCGTACAATATCAGGTAACAATATAACTATGAATTTGAAATAAAATTGTACGTAGAAAGAGTAAATCCTATTAAATATGTTTCGGGCCTAGCCAAACGTCAAAATTCATTTGATGACGGGCTATGGTCAAATTTTCGTCTGCGCTCTTTCTATATACAATTATATTTACAATTCAGAGCTATACAATACGCATGCCATGCTTTTTGAATGTGAGAAGGGGGATTGTCCCATACTTAAAATACTTTTCATTCAATCAAGACTTTTTATCAATCATGCAATCAATAGACATTGTCTAGAAAGTAAAATCAGGGGTCCAAATTAGGTATTTTTTAGAGTTTAATGTTTTTCAAGGTTGCCAATTAGCTTTGAAAAAGGGAATTCTAGTGCCAAAGGTACTTCTTTGACGGTATCCAAAGGTATCAGGGGTATTCTTAGACCCCCCCCCCCCAATGAGGTCTAGGGCAAAAAACCAGAAGCCAACGATTTTTGAAGCCAAGTGAAGCTAAGACCGGCAAAAATTAACAACGAATCACCCTTTTGTGAAAAAATGAAAAGGGATTATATTTTACGCAAAAATCACTCTCTGCTTTGAAAAATCACTGTTAAATTTTCTTTGAAAATGTTAATTGACTTCTTATTTTCTCTTTTCTTTGAGGCCTTAATCGTAAATTCAATCAAGAAAATATTGCATCCGAAACAGCCAGCACAAATATGTGCTAGATAAAATCAATGAATATTAGTATTTCAAAGCGAATGCGCGCCATGGTGAAAAATGCGAGAAGCAGATTTTGAAGTTTCAAAATGTGACTTTATAATTTTCTAGTATTGAGAAATTTTGTCCAAAATCTTCGGTAAAGTCTTTTTTAATCTAAATTTTTCAGGATTATGTTTTGTAATTTCTGACATTAGGGCGTTATTGTGATCCCCAGCATAACAAACTGATCGATCTTTAATCTAAAGACACTTTCAGGTGGATTTTATCGCACAATCAGAACATAATTTCATCTTTGATCTTTGGAATATGTTGCCCACAGGACCACAGACTTGATCCTTTATAGAGAGGAGACCTCCACTTCTTCAACCATTTGTGAGTTTGCAGGACATATGTCAAAACAAAGCGGGCCTTCGTTTCTATGTGCAATTTTTAGCCAGCTATAGTCATTTGTCATCATTTGTCATATTGGTCACCGTCCAACTGACATTTGGAGTTTTAGGCAATAGCAAATATGAATATTTCTCGTTTTTTACTTCTATCGTGGAATTCTTTGATTTTAAGATGGTATTGTTTCTTTTAGCTGCGCGAGCCAATTGTCTGCTAGAAAATGGAGATCTGTTGAGTATCACGTCATTTGAAGAAAGGTCTTTCATACGAGATCAGATATACCCTCTGCGAGCCAGGATATCCTCAATATGGCTGGGTCTCAATAGCCGAGATAGTAAATATATCTTTTCTTGGAGTGACGGCTCGGGTTTTTCTACTGCGCACTGGTCTTCGGGCTATCCTATCACCTATCGCGATAGCTACTGTAAGCATTTTGAATTTATTTATTTGCTTTCGTTTTAACGTTGATCTTGATAAATGCATTTATAGATTCCTTGTACAAAGTAAGACCTCTTGTTATACCGAGGCTCTTGTAAGGTTCAATGCACTTTTTGCAAAGGGGAGGTATCACTCGTATGAATGATTAGGTAATAGTCGCACCATGCACTTGACCTATTTCTACGCAGTTCCTTTTTTCCATCACCAGCCAAATAAGCCGACAACAGAGTAGAATTTTGCCTCGGCAAATCTGACCCCGAATGGATTAAACTGAACATCCAATCACCATTATAATTCCACCTGAAAGTAGGAGCCATGCAGTCGAAGTTTTTTAGATAAACAGTTTGCATCAGATATATATGAAGAAATAACAAGCGATCTTATCTGCCTCTCACTGAAAGAGTATAAGAACAGCTTTACCTACTAATGTGATATATTCGACATGACTTTCTTATCGTTTTTAATATACTTGCATGCTTATTGATAAGAAGTATTGAGTTTTTCATATTGTTTTACAGTTGCGAACACTTGTGTTGCCATGCGAACATATTATAACACATGGTTAAACACTGAGTGTGCCAGCAGTAAGCCTTACATGTGCAAAAGGAAATGTAAGTGATATTGTTCCAATCTCTTCTTTATGTTTTAGCTCCAAAAGTTGTATCGGTATGATTGACATATAGGTATCTGTTTAGCTTTTTCTGATTGGAACACGGCTACATGTGTTTTTTAACAGCACATTGGCTTGTAAACAAATGCTCACTTAAACTCGAAATTGCCTTTTAAAATCAATAGCAACCTACTTAACTAACTAGACAATCGATGAGCCTATTAATAACAGGTTATAACTGAAGACATCGTCTGTTTCCATGCCTTGTACCTTTTTAAAATTTGTATTCCACGACTTTTTTATTGGTAGTATCGCCATACAGTCGGTTATCGTATACACTATTTCCATATGGACGTATAAGATACAAAATGTTTAGAGAGCTTAGTATAAATATTGCCCGAATATTATGCTTTATTTAGAAATAACTATCCGAATGGAGCCTGTAATGGGACAAACGTTGCCTGTTTAGGGGGATGGTGCACCTCTCCCAGTCCTTATTTCTCCTACGCCTATGCATTTTCATGAAGCCTCTAACTTATGATTTAAGTCTTACAAATTTCTCCAACAATTATCTAGAAGGAAAACATTTTAAAACCAAGAAACTTACATTTAAAACCAAGATTGAAGTTTCCTGAACACTTTCCTAATTATTTCCAAACAGTGAAATCTTCCAAATCGCCGAAAGACAAGTATACAGGAAGTAAGTACCTTTAGCTTTTTTCTTAATTTTAACCTACTCTTCTGCTTTTTTGGAAAACTATGTATTTTTTAATGGTAGGATGTATTTCTTAGCAATGCCACCAAACAAGAGTCAATTGTTCTATTTTTTTGAGAAAGAAATCTTCTTTTGCATTAAGGCCATCAATTTAAGAAATTTTTAGCTTGTGGAGGTGTTTAATGATTTACATTTCGAAATAATAATGATATAGAGAGACCGACGACCTCAGGGTCTCTTCCATACAACTCAATCTTGTTTGCTTTTACTCTTTCAATATTGCTCCTACATTCACCTTGCATTTTAGCTACTTGAATTTTACACCATCGTGCTAAAACTTACTAATCGGTTTTACAGAAACTTATTCTATAGACTTTATAAAGATATTGTCACTTTAGTGGGTGAAATCATTTTATTATTTCATCTAGATTGGATCAGTACTACTGATCATTACTGGCCCCTAAATGATGTTGCCAATAATACTATAGCTGGTACGAGAACGGGCATTACAAATGGAACTATAACCGTGGTCGATGCCACTTTGTATCCGGCTGTCAAGCGTCAAGCATTATTATTTGACGGACAGACGTCTCATGCTATGATCAAAGGCTTCACTCAGACCTGCGTTAGTAACCCTGCCCGGTGTACAAACGGGGTAACATTCTTGATGATGCTGTATCTTGACCGTAGTTTGTCCTCCACTTCTGGAAAGAAGTATCTCCTTGATATAATGGGGCCTGGCCAAAACGATGCTGCTGGTACGTATGTGTATGTTGATAATGGGCAGCTTGGCGTTTTCACGAGGAGTGCTTATCACACTTGGCATTCAATAATCAGTCCAACTCTTGGAAAGTGGTTTCATTTTGCTTTTGTTTGGAACGAGGAGTCTGGTCTGTCGCTTTACCTCAACGGCAAAAAAATGTAAGTTTGTCAGCCACTGTTCTAGGTCTTTGGAATCGTTTTATAAGATTCAGGAATTGTTACTTCTAATATTAGTATCAAACGCCATTCCTTTAGCAATGATCCTTATGCCGAATAAATGATTTTTCATTGACTTATAATCACACTTGTAGAGAGTTTCGACACGCTTTATACCCTGTAATTTTAATTATAGGGTAACTGATAATGGAGGCACAACGATAAGCAGTGTAAATGTAGACCGAGTTTCTGACTTGTATATTGGAAAGGCAACGGGTCTGTCAACACCAGGCTTTGCGAAATTCAAAATTATGTCGTTAGCAATTCGAGAAGTATCACTCTCACCAGATCAAATCAACAGCATCTACACTGCAGGTAAGACACAACAAAGAGCATTTTGTACTATAAATATACACCTTTTCTATTTTGCTCTAAGCTTTTAAATTTAATCGTCTATTTTGTGCAGTGCCTTTGTATTTGTCACATACTCTTTGATATGAGCTTAATAGGTATCAAAACATTTCGATTTCATAGAAAGATCTGTTTTTGCTCAGGACCAGTATTTCTATATCTAATGTTTAAGCAATATTTGTAGATTAAAATGCACATAAGATTTTCACCTGTCAGAATTCTTGTTTATAATAACGACACCTTCTTCATAGTAACGCTTGATTTCTAGAAATGGGAGTATGCTCAATTGGCTGGATGCCATTCGGTGAAAATTGCTATCAGTTTAATACGAACAAAACCATATACACTCTGGCAAAACAGGATTGTGAACAGAAAGAGGGAAAATTAGCAACAGTCTTGACTAGCGTGCAGCAAGCTTTCCTTTCCTTGTCAATTGGTCCATTTGGTACCAACATAGATTCTTACATCGGTAAGTGTACTCGCTGTCCTTGAAGGTTTTAGTATCATTCTATCAGTTAACTGTTTAAGAGCAAAATCACTGAATGTTACATTTACAGATTATTTGAAAATTCTCAAAAACTCTCTCCTTCAAAGGGTGCTCACCTCTAGTGGGAAATTTCCTTCTAATCAATCTGACGATAAATACCCGTAGTTGGTCCTCTTAACGTAATGCTTTGTTTTAAAAGCCTGTTTTTTCTCCAAATAGAAGCAAAAACTTTTTTCGTAACATTTTAGGCTTGAACTCAAGAACAAGACGGCGTTTCTTTGAATGGGGTGATACCAGCCCTGTCTTGTTCTCTTATTGGTCCCAGAATCGCCCAAGCAGCTACACTTGGAGACGATATGACACCGTTGTGATGAAAACTGATAGCTACGGAACATGGATGGACTTGAGCTACTACTACCCAAAAGCTTATGTATGTCAACGTAAGAAAGGTAGGACGCCTCACCATTCTCGCCTTAGCTATCTTCAAGTGCCATTTAGTGATCATATAGTCTTATACTCTTTGTCTTGTATGCTATCAATGTAAGTTGTATTTAACATACACTTCTGTTAAAGGAGGGCTGTTTTGTTATATGAACTAGTTGATAGAAAAGTTCTCATAGTGTTTGCCTTCTTAAGGTAAGTGTTGGGTCCAGCCTTCGTTTATATAAAGAGGTAGACAATAATCTATTGTTTTAAGCAATGTAAAGTCACTGAGGCTTGAAATTTTCTCCTAGTTAGTATGTCAAATTAGGCTTTGTAAGTTCGATTCGTATTCAAAGGGTTACCCTTATCCCCGATTCTGCAATGACCGGTAAATCCTTAGCCTGCTTCCATTTCAAAGTGTCAATTCTTCAATTCCTTCTGCTTCTGTATTTGTGCAGGTCAACAAAAGAATCAAGTTATGGTTACATTTTTAGATACATTTTATGATACTTTTTATGCTTTAGATACTAACTTTATCGATTTTTGTAGGTAATGTATTCTAGTAAAACCTGCTTAAAACCAGTTTCCTAGACTTGAAAAAACGGGATGTATTCATAAATTGTTTCTTTGTTTTTGTAAGTTATTTTTTTTTATTTCCAGGTTTTCCCAATGGAACGCAAACAGACCTTGGTATGATATTCTTTCAAAGTGGTTTTTAGTTTCAGTTTGTATTTATTAGATTAGGCTCTTTGTTATCAGTAACTGGCTTGAATATGTTGATGTCTGTTGCTGTGAAGTAGACAATAGACATCCCACTTCGACTGCAAAAGTTCAATTTCGTTTGTTTAATTTTTTTACACAATACCATTCATGGAACGGGCGTTGAGTACCCCTTTCCTGTTTTTATTGCCAGGGTAGGTTATTTTCAAATTATTGTCAATGACATTTTCTGCTAAATTGGATCATCGTTTGCAGTTGTGTAACTGATCAGCGCTGACTTGCATTATCCATTTTTCTTTTACTTTGCCAGGAGTAATGACGAAGGTTACCAGTCAATATTCTACATCAAATTATGGTTGTCCTTTCGGCACAAAGTTGAACATATTGACTGCTCAGTTTGGAAAGCCCCCAGCTTGCCTCTACCAAGATGTATTAGCAAAAGTGAAAAGCATGTGCGCTGGAAAGCGAAGATATTGCTCGCTCTACGTCACAACATCAAATTTCAATGATACTTGCAGTGGAACGCGAAAGGAGCTTAAGACAACGTATACCTGTACCAACGGTTAGTAAAGTCCTAATAATGTATAGATCTTTAATGATAAAAGGATCCTGGCGAGTAAGTTTTTTACTGATGATTAAAACCCCTATTATGGTAAGCATGACTCCCTGGTTATTATACCTCGCCTTCTCTAATGACTGCTGTGTTGAAAAATTATTACGAAACTTTGACGATATGTCGTCGTCCTCATATATTTTCCCAATCCTGCCCATCCGCAAGCTTTTCAGTTTTGTAGTCCAATACTACTTTTAAAAGTAGCGCAGTTTCTTCTTCAGTCCACGAAAACTGACCCTTTTTAGCGTTACCTCCCTCCATATTCAGGTTGAACTGTGTTTTGATAATACGCGCAACCTGTTGAATTCGTTTAGATCCGTTCCCGTGTAAACGCAAATGGTTCTGGATCGGATCCCATGTAAACGCATTGCCATTTCAGGGATCAGATCCAAAAGTATCCGGATATTTGTGGATCCGATCGGTCCAGGTCTCGTGTAAACGGGGTCTTAAAGAATCTACCTTTCTAATGGTGGGAGCATCTACCTCTAAACATACCAAACTAATGGTGCAAGAAACCCTCAAATGATAGGCGGCTGCTTAATGGAAAGTAATTCTCTTTTAAGGACATTGTTCTAAACCTATTATTGTAATTTGTAGCTTTGGTTGTCAAGATTGGTGATTTTAATGATTTCTTAAAAAGTCCTCTTTCTTCACTATGTACTATAATCACCAGTGAGCTACATAGTACATACTTAGTACGGATTATGGATTTTCGGAAAATGCAAGATTTGCTTTTGGAAAAAGAGTTTCCATATTTACATAAGAATAGTCATAATCTCGGTTCCAGAGTTTAATGAATGTTTTATTATTGACTCTTTATTCTTCAGATACCGAGCTTAACGGATCAGATGGGTGCGATCGTTACTGGTCGTCTCATCTAGGAAGCAACTACTGCTACAAGTTGAGCCAGCAGAAAATGATGTTTGCTGATGCAGGGGCCTATTGCAGATCAAGGGGAGCAGAACTTGTGTCAATCCATTCAAAGTAATTTTTCTTTTTTTCCATATTTTGCCATTTAACTTTAAATCATCTCTCGACTGTTTGTACTTCTCTTTCAGTGGTCAAGACAAGGTACTGTGCTCCAAGGTGTGAAAGACAATTGAATTCTTTTGAAATTCTGCCTTCTCAAAAGGCCTCGTGAGTTTTTTAACTTCTCCCCCAAGTTTGTAAACCTTCAACTTATATATGCAAATGACTCCTAGGACCTAAGTGGAAGATAGGAATCTTGTCAAAATTAGTTGAAGCTTATCATCTCTCTCAAAATACTTTTATCAATTGTGGCATTATGTTTTGCCTTGCGCTTTCCTAGAACCGACGACTTGTTTTTGACATCATTGCTAATTGATTCATTTGAACTGGGAAATTTCTGGACGGGACTAAACGATATGAAATTGCGAGGAAACTACGAGTGGACAGATGGGTCACCTGTGATATATACAAATTGGTACAATGGACAGCCGGATGATTCAACAAGGCGTGGAAGTTGTGTAAAAGCAACTCTCAACCAGGGCTATCGAGGCTTTATCACGTGGTCTGATGATAGCTGCGCATCGTTGAATCAGTTCGTTTGTAAAAAGCTGAAAGGTAAGCTTGTTCGTGAGAATCACAGTCGAGTCGAACCTTCCACAGTTTGCAAAGTGAAGATTATCAAAATTGTTGATGTTAATAGAATTTTGAATGCAAGCTTTAAAATATGAAACAACGACATATGTCGTTAGCCCATAGGTGGTATAAGAGTAGTTGCTACAACTGTTGTAGCGTCTGTCAAGTGAGGCAGTAGCGAAACAGAGGCTCATGGAGTAAGTCTACTCTAAAATACACTTGGCCGTTCTGTTTTATACGTTATAGCGGCAATATCAATTAGGCGGTTCATGATTTCTGATTTAAAATATTCCATTATTTCATCTGAAGTCCATTTTTCTCCATATAGCGTCTGCAACTACACCGAAACCCGTCGTAACGCAAGGTAACATTTGGAACTTTTCGTAAATTTTCAGAATCGCGATGAAATATCATTCTAAAAATTTTTCCATTTCCAACTTCCGTTACTCTTTACTTTTTGTTTTTTATGCTTTGATATAGGTAGAACGTAACATGTAGCGAAAAATCCACGCTGAAATGACAATTTGATGAGCTCAACCTTTTTGCAGCTTTCGCATGTAAAAGGATACTGAGAAGCTTTTTTTCTTAGAAAATTAAGAAACAAATTAAGATCTAAGACATCCTATTACAGACAAAAACACTTCAGAGTAAGATAAATTAATATTGTTAGTGAAATTGATATGAATAAGTTTTCTCTATTATAGTAAGCAACAGTTCTTGTCTTCCTGGTTGGTTCAAGTACAAGGGCAATTGTTATCAGTTCTCGAAGACAAAGTAAGTTTAAAGAAAGCGTTGTTTGCTTCCCAAATCATAGAGGATTGAACCATTACCTGTTTTTCTTTACGCATATTTCTAATGAAGTTGTTTAACTTTCAGACAGCATTTCCTACTTTTTGGGATGCATTCTTTCCATTTCAAATACCTCTTCAAGAATTTTATTTGCGCTAATGGAATAAGAAATTGTTGAATTTGTTTGAGATGAAAGATTTGAGAGCACAATGATTTAACGATTGTCATTTCTCTATAATATTCCTTTTGTATTAATTACTGCAATATAGGAAACATTCCATCAAGCGACGACCCAAAAACAAACCTCCCCCCTCCCCCGGAGTTAGTTCCTCGGTAAATTCAACAAAATGTAGGCTCAGTTGAAAAATCCAAAAAAGGAACTTGTGTTAGATATAGAGAACTAATGTCTTAAAATCCAATACAGGAGGTCTAGAGAATCTATCTAGAAATGTTAAAAGAATAGATTTATTTTTACGAAACTACTTTGAAATAACGGTTGTTCATAACCTTGTATAGATCCACCTAAGCAGCGCAAATATTACGCCCATGTCACGCAAATTTCTCGGCAAATTCATATCTTGCACTCCCTTCTGTTTCGAAGGTTTAGCGACGACCCGGCATTCCCTTGCGATTTATTGCATGTAATTTTTTCGAAAAAAAGATTTCAAAGTAACTTTATGAGGACTTCACGTTAGCAATCCATTTTATTCCAAATAATCTTTTCCTACGTTGAGACTTTTTTATCTCTCTACCAGCGCTACATGGAGTCAGGCTATTAGTATCTGCATGTTGCAGAAGGCATCTCTTGCTACAATTAATCTATTGAAGAGAACGAGGCTGTCTTCAATTTCCTGGTGAATTCTACCTTGGATTCTGCCTGGATTGGGTTACAGGATATGGGTGTTTTCAAAGGTCAGCAGTGGGCGGATGGATCGCCAGTAAAATTCGTGCGTTGGGACTCTGGCCAGCCTGATAGCAACATGGGTCAACAGGCGTGCACTGTAATGGCCAGTAATGGTTTTTGGAGGGATAATAGCTGTAATACAAAGCACCATTACATCTGCAAAGCTAGCGTCGGTATGTTATTTTTTAGGTTTACTTGTTGAATGTTATTTTTAATGTTAGTGATTCACCTAAAAACGCATTAATGGTTATTTAAAATATATGAACCTGTGAGTTCTTCTCTGTGTTTTTGGCTTATTTTTCGGACACTGAGGCCTTTAGCAATTTTATTCCAACTTGCTTGTCTCAACTACCAATAATTTAGTCCAAGCGGTTCACCCCGTTGCATTTTGCTAACGCGAGATTTCTACAGTCCCTTTATTGCTCATAATGTTTTTTACTCTGTAGGTAAAGCAACTATCGTACCAACGACAGAACCACTAACACTACCAGTAACGCCAACATCTAATCTGAATTACTGTCCCGCTGGATGGGTATGGTCGTCGAGTACAGGCAATTGCTATTATTTCAGTAACAGAACTCATTTCGCCACTTGGACGATGGCCAGATCATTTTGTCGAGCACAGGGTGGTGATTTAACTAGTATTGAATCAAGTACAGAACAGTCGTATTTGGGACCGTTTTTACTGACTTTTACTCAAAGGCAAGCCTGGATAGGTCTCAGTGATATGGGAGTTGAATCCGGTTGGGAATGGTCGGACGGAAAGCCAGCTAACTACTTTAACTGGGTACCAGGTCAGCCCGATGACGCGCATCAAATGGAAGACTGCGTGCACTTAAAATACGGTGGTCAATGGAATGATGCTAATTGTGGCAGCGAGATGTCTTTCATTTGTAAAAGACCTAACAATACAGCTACACGCCCACCTACCGTTGCACCGACAGCAGGCCCGATAAAAGGATATTGTGAGGCGGGATGGTTGCATTACAGTAGTAAATGTTACAAAATCTTTGATGAGGACAAATTGTCTTGGAAAGCTGCAAGGAATGCCTGCTTAGCAGAGAAGACTAACGGAAGGAACGCCGACCTTGTTTCTATTCATTCATCCTACGAAAATGCCTTTCTATTCAGCAATATGAAAGGAATGTATGCAAAGATGTTCATTGGGTTTAATGATATTCAAACTGAAGGTAAATTCCGTTGGTCAGATCAAAGTAATCCTGATTACACTAAGTGGTATTCAAGACAGCCTGACAATTACTGGGGTGCTGAAGACTGCACAGAAATCTGGCCGTTCTCTGTGCACAAAGGAAAATGGAATGATGTTCCATGCACCGGTGAACAGGGGTATATATGCCAAAAAGAGATGTCTAGTGTTCCGTTACCTACTTCAACCCCTGCCAAAAATTCCTGTCCAGAAGGGTATTTAATGTACGCTGGCAACTGTTATAGTTTCAAGAAGCAATTGGTGACGTGGGATGAAGCTGCTGCCGCTTGTCGCAAAGAAGATGCCAGCTCAGATCTTGTTAGTATTCACAATACGTTCGAGGCAGGTGAGTTCAAGCTTGGTTCCTTACCGTGAATTACGCCTAGGCGTGTCATATCTTTCTTTTCGCCTTGAAATTGCCGTCATTATGTGCTAAATTGACCTCAGTGCTATCAGTTATAAGCATCTAAATAAAATGCTATTATCTTTTCAAGTCAAACGTTTTTCGTACAAGAAAATAGGCATTCGTTATAGGAACGTTATAAAAAATCAACTGATTATTTATCCACTTCATCATTAGGCTTTGCTCGAACTTTGCGATCCAAAGATATATTGTTTTCGTTCTCTTTTATGATAATTGTTATCAGCGCCCGATGAAGTGGTTCATGCTGTTTTGTAAAGCTGTCAGTGCCTTGTATGTCTGTCCATTTGTTTGACTGAAATTGATGATTACTATTGCAATTTATTGATGTTTATATTAATACATAAAATCTCTGAGGTCAAACGAAACTTTATCTTATACAAGCAACTCCAGTAGCGAGTATTGTTTATCTGTTATGCTACTCGTTTTTATCCATGTTTCATCCAACAAGCTTTTCTCTTTCCCTGAAGCGTATGTATTTAGTCATATGGCTGAGTATGCAAATCGTCTCTGGATTGGCTTGCATCGTCCACAAAACGAAACCTCATTCAGATGGTCAGACAATCAGCCCCTGGACTACACAGAATGGTCATCGTATCCAGCTAGGCGTATGCTTCATTTGCGATCATGCGTTCACTCTCTCTACAATCGAAATAATGATGGGTTTTGGGTTGATAGCAACTGTACGGCAAAGTTCCCATTTGTGTGTAAAATAACCAAAGCTGATCAAGAGATCATTCCTGAACATCCAGGAACCTGTCCTAAAAACTGGGTGAAGTATGATAAGTACTGTTACTTAGTAAGCAACAACTACTATGGCACAAGGCAATGGTCCGAAGCACGCCAGCAGTGCTTGGACCAAGGTGCTGATTTAGCCAGTATTCATAGCCCTGGTGAACAAAATTTCCTGTACGAGGTTGCTAGCAAAGGAAGAAAAAGCTGCTGGATTGGTCTCAATGACAGGCAGAGAGAAAAGCACATGGTATGGAGCGATGGGACTCCTCTTGATTTTGACAACTGGGGTACGAGAGAACCAAACGACAACGCCGGGACTGAAAACTGTATCGAAATGGTTTATCTCAGTGGCAGATGGAATGACCAGAGATGCTCATCGTATCATGGCTATATTTGCAAAAAGGAGTTAGGTCAGTGTTCTTTCTACTCAAGTGTGGGAATTTGAATTTCCATGTAAGGATTTTCAGTTGTTTCGATGTTTGGTAAATTTTTTCATGTTTACTGAAAAATGTGTTGAGTTGGCTTGTTTTTCAAGAGGCTATCGTGTCTTTTGTTTTAGGCTGTGATACCGCGCTTGGCATGGAAAGTAAAAACATTACAGATAGCCAGATTATTGCTTCAAGTGTGCTAGCAAACAATTTTGCACAGAATGCACGATGGAACGCAAGGACGGGATGGTGTGCTGGTATTACCAATCGAAATCAATACATCCAGGTAACGTCCTGTTCCATTCAGGTATTTTTGCTGTTAAAATCATTGTTGCAATGCCTACACAGATCACATTGATAAAGAGAATTTATGGCATTGTTATCGAGGCTGTTGAAGCGGATACTTCCTGTAAACATCTAGCCTCGTTTTCCCCAAAAAGCCATGGTTCCTTGCGCTGGCGTTTCGTTCATGTATCTAAGCTGTATGTAATTGTAAAATCTTAGAAAAGCCAAATCTTGAGCAAGTACAATGTAGGGGAAATAGCCCATCGCCTTGCATTAAGGTAGAAATGCAATAAGGACGATCTCCTGTTTACAGCTTCAAAGTTACTCAGTTAATTCTCGTATTTTGTGTTTTTGCCAATCATTGACTGTGTGCCTATTTCTGCCTTCAATAAGAAGTTTTCCAGCATTTTTTCACACCATAGGTTGATTTAGGCCAAAAGAAGCGTGTAACAAGAATTGGTACGCAAGGATATTCCCGAAACTACGTGCTTTCGTTCCAACTGATGTATTCCGATGATGGAGTAACTTGGCAAACATACAAAGTAGAAGGCCGCGATGCAATCCTTCCCGCTAACCGAGCCTCGTATTCGTCGGAGGGTGCGACGCTTCAACCTCCTGTTGATGCAAGATTCCTGAAAATTAATCCACTAACGTGGAAGTACGCCATTTGCATGCGGCTGGAGTTTTTCGGATGCAGTTTTGGTAAGAAGTTGCAAGGATTTTATTGCTCTTTCCCGACTTTCCATGTTTACGTTTAGAAGGTAACTAGTAGCTGAAATTAAGCAAAATGCATAACCCAAAAGGTCTTGCTTTGGCTCCTTTGTATCCACATTAATATTCAATCAATTTTAAATGTTAGTAACAGTATTTAAATTAGTTTTGAAGAAATCCTCATGTCTCATCTGACCACGATACCGTCTTTTTGTAGTTTGCTTGCAACCTCTTGGTGTAGAGTCAGGAACCATTCGAAACGTGGAAATGAAAGCTTCATCCAGTGCTCTAGCCCATGAAGCTTACGACGCAAGATTGAGAAAGCCAAATGGCCAAGGATGGTGTGCTAAAGTATGTTCTGCTTTTAAAACCTTTTTGGCTCTGATATAGTAGACATCGTTTTCTTAACTATTCGATCACAAAATTTAAAAATGCTCTTACGCAGTTATGATAACATCTTATTTTGAGCTCTTAGCATTGAAATTAACTCGCATTAAAAGGTTCTCGTGAGACTTTGGTAAATCATGACGTTTTCCTGCTCGAATGCAGCTCCAAAATCAGCTCAAATGGCTGTTGGTAGGGGGTAAAATGCCAAAATCCGCAATGACCAAATCTGGAAATAAACATTACGCCATTAACCTTTCAAGTTACTGCAGCACTTGTACACCTCTGCTTTTTAACGTTTAGATAGCAGCACCACCTTATGTTTGAACCTAGCCAGGTTCTCTTAGCTTGTTAAGTATTTGTCTTGTTATTTTAGTCACAGGATGCAGACCAGTGGCTGCAGATTCACCTCTCATCTGCTCCAATGACCGTTACCAAAGTGGCCACTCAAGGAGTCACGATTGGCAAACAACAGTGTACTGTGACGTCATACAAGCTTTTGTATAGTGATGATGGAATAACATGGACACCATACAAAACTTTAAAGGGGGAAATCAGGGTATGTTTCTAATTCTATTCTGTGGATGCAGAAGAAAAGAAATATATATTTCCCTAATGTGATGAATCAACGTGATTGAAAATTTTGCAATTTTTTATCAAAATATATCACATCTTGTTCATAAATGGTTTACAGAATGTGTTAGAGCATTACATTTTGCTGTCAATTATAAATTCCTTCCAGAAAAATGGTGAATAAGGAAGTTAATCAAATAGAGATCTCATAAAACATTCTAGATCACTTGGTTACTTAACCGGCATTAACATTACTTGTGTTATTCTATGAGCATTTTCAGAATGCATCTATCCTTTTTTGCAGATATTTAGCGGGAATTCCTATGCAGAATCAGCTGCCTATCATTCCTTGACCCAACCATTCACAGCCCAGTACGTGAGATTCCAACCGTTGTCTTGGAAAAATCAGATTTGTTTGCGAGTGGAAGTGTTTGGATGTCCATATGAGTGCGATAAAGCTCTCGGCATTGCATCTGGTGTGGTACCAGATAAGGCACTCACTGCATCATCGTACATGGAGAAGCACGCCGCATCCTTCGGAAGACTCAACAACGGGTCGTTTAACGTTGGCTCATGGTGTGCGAACGATAACAACCAGCACCAATTCCTTGAGGTTTCCCTCTTTTTTATTTTATTTCTATAGCTTGTTATTTTGTAAAGAAAGTGTTGGACACCACAGTAGCAATATGTATACGTGTTCAGCTTTGCAGCTAATGCCCCTTGATGCCTTTTGCTGCTAGTCTTAGCTTTGTTGCTTCATGTAAAAAGCTCATTTGCGACTAGAAAGGATTCTTAAGATATACTCAGTACGTATATCTGCTCTGATAATTGACTTTTATATTCTTCACTTATTTGTATTTACGTATTATAAACATCTTTAGCTCAAACGGTACTTATTATATCGTAGTTCGACCTTGGAGCTGAAAGCCGAGTCACCTCCATAGCAACACAAGGTTTTGAAGCTGATGTTTCAAAGTATGTGACGGACTTTTGGGTGCAGTTCAGTTTAGATGGAAAATTTTGGAACCTGTATCAAGTTAGTGGTGTTATTCAGACACTTAAAGGAAACAGTGATGGCAGAAGCGTCAGCAAAGTCAAGTTGCCATCTTCAATTCGTGCACGGTACATCAGGCTAAACCCTCGCCATTGGAAGCAAGGAATATGCATGAGGGTGGAACTATATGGTTGTGCGCTAAGTAAGTTGTTAATTTGTCGTGTCTCAATTACGCCCGTCCTGTGGTTATCTTAAGGAGTAAATAGTTGACTTATTTTAAGCATGCTTGAAACTCAAAATCAAAATTTAGCCACAAAAGTGTTGTCCTTTCTTTCAATACTGTTGAATTTTGGTGATTGAAAAATGCTCTGAAAAAGGCAATATTTTGAAACATACTGAAGCTTTACGTCTGACACTCTTCAGAGTATGAAGCTCAGAACATATATCGAAAATTTAAAGCAAGGAAAATGGAACATAATGTAATTCTAACTTATCGCTAAACTTTGATTGTTATCATTGCCTTTCAAGAACCAATAGTGTACCCAACTGATGCACCAGAACCAAAGAAAACCGTCGTTAAGGGAAAAATAAGACTCACGGAGGAGAAATACAAAGAGGAGTACAAAATTAAAAGCAGCCCTGCTTACAAAGCTCTGGCAGATAGAGTTGAAACTGCGGTATGCATCATCAAAAATTTATGTCAGAGGCTATGCTGGTCGGCGATTTTATATTGCAGTCCTATTCAACATTTCTTCTCGTTGATAAAGGAGATGTTTTGTCATGTCCATTGAATATATTGATCTTCTCATCTTTTGTGCCTGACTTGTTCATTAGTTTTTCATGTTGCTCGTATATTCATGTGAGAACCTAGCCATGCCATATGAGCTATAAATGATGTTTTGATTGGCTGAATTTGGTCAGCTATTGATAGTTCGAATGCTCGAAAGACTGAGCCACTGAAGATCTGAAATCAATTACCATTTGTGCATTGCAAAAAAGCTATGATTCACGATTGACATTAAACTTGTAGCAACCTAGCATGATAATTTAAACAACGTTATGTATAGTATGTCGCTAAACGATTTTAGCTTTGTAATGAAAATATCAAAATTAATTATTTAAATCTAATGAAAAAGGGTTGGTTTATTCTAGGAGTTCCGTTTCGAATAACTTTTGGCTCATGCTTACCCGGCCAGCTTGCAGCTCTCAAGCAACTCCGAGTCTAAAAGTTAATTTTTTTAATTGTCTTTTAGATAATGCAGTTGTATCAAAGCGATTATTCGTTCAAAGATGGGTTTTTCGGAGTGCAAGTAACAAGTCTCGAGTGAGAAGTTTTTCATATTTTAAAAACTTTTATAGGTAGTATACCCCGCAAAAGTAGGATGCTTTGAAGGGAGTTATAAAAAGGTCAACCATGCAAGTCACAGAAGAGTTTAATTCATGTCAGCATTTAATTGGTTGTGCTCTCATTAGCGATCGTACATGCAGCGTCAACCTTGGTAAACAAGGCTTTCAATGCTTTCCGATTGTTTCTCTTATAACTTCAGATTTCATAGAACTTAGGCCCTTTGTATTAGAGTATAAAAAGGAGTCTAGTATAATGATTAAATATGGCTGCTTATCTGAAAATGTGTTGCTTCTTTTTTATTCAGCTTTGAAAACCTCTTATTTTCTAGGCCTGGCAGCGTCGTTGCTGTATTCTTAATCATATTCAAAACCAACAATAAAAATGCTACTTGGCCATTGAAAAATGCCGTTGCTAAAGGAAAAATTGGAGATTTTGTTGTGGATAAAAACTCTTTAGATCTAAAAGAAGGTTCGTTGTCTTGTTTCGTTTCTCGGGATCGAAATTATTTTAGCTTTTCACTGCTACTTAGATTCATCTTTATCTAGATTCATTGGATGAGATCTGATAAATTGTTTAAATGATGGACCTGTTATAAGTCTCAAGTATTTTTCCCATTCTTGCTAAAGTAATACAGGAGATTTAATTCAGTTAACTGTTTAGAACAAGAGAAATGTATAGATACCAGGATATTGGGTCTTTTGAAAAGTTAGACGGCTCTCACCGATACGTTTTCGATCAAAAGAGATATCACAGGATCGTAAAATTGCAGACACATCTCATAACTGCGAGATAAGGCTAACCAGTGAAGGCATTTTTAATGGAAATAATCAAATAAGATTTTGCAAAAAGAATTCAAAATAGAGGGCATTTTTAGTGAAATGATTGTTTCATGAAAATAAACATAAGGTTTTTCAAAATAAATTCAAAATAAAAATGTAGAGATCCTCCTGTTCCTCGCAAGTAAGAGCCTCCACGATTTCTCCTCCCAATTACCCTGCACCCATATTGCTAGGATGTACAAATCTCAGCCACTAATCTCAGAGTTGTTGATGCATCTCAAAGTTACGGCGAATCAAACTTTGCGAAGTTTTCCGTATTTCTGTTATGTTTTTTTTCCTTGTTACCTTTTTATGAAATCAAATATCTAATTTCAAAGCTGTTTTCAAAACTTTGTTTGATATTTTAGCTCCTTGGTCCGTTGTTGCTTTGCCCAAACCTTTGATACTCTTTTCTAAATATAACTTTACTTTTGTCACATTTTTATAAAATACTGCAACTTTTTGATATTTTTACTATACGAGTATCATGATGATATTATTATAAAGGTTCTGAAATATTGCTTAAGTATTAAAATACTATTTCTCGGTAGAACTTTGCTATCAAATTTTTCAGCTGTGAAACACGATATTTAAGTCCAGTTTGTATTTACTTCAATTCTTTCTACTTTTTAGTTGACGAAGGATCGAAAGGAAAGGCGACAAGCATTGGTAAGAGTGTTGCATCATTCATTTATGTTTATACAGCTGCTCTATTTCGTCCGATTCTGTATTACGTACCTTGCCTCACAAGGCGCAGTCTTGTTTAATTGAAGCTGCAATTCTTATTTCATATAGCTTTTCATACGTGTTTAGAAAATTGTCTGTAACACTTGCCCCATCTTGGTGCTTTGATTTTGTTATCATCATCACATCCATCATAATCATGATTATAATCATATAAAAGTCAATCAGTCATCGCCATAATCATCATCAAATCAACCATCATCAGTAGTCATCGCCAGATCAGTCATCATCAAAACCATCATCCACATCATTATATCATCACTGTCATGATCATAACCATCAATCATAGTCATCATCACATCAATGAACATCGTAATCATAATCAATAAACCCTCATGATCACTATCTCCATAAACCAGTAACTCCTCTCATCATCATTCAATTTCAACTTGTGATTAAGTCGTGCCAATGGAACATTTCGTTATGATAGAATCGACTGATTTTCCGTTCGCCTTTATAGTTAAAAAAGAAGGACTGACAACTGGTGGAAAAGCTGCCTTAATTGTGATATTCCTCCTGATGATTATTGCGATCGTTGTTGGTGGATTAATATACTACTTCAGAAAGAAGAAAGGAGGAAAGCAATTTAATCCACAAAGATTTGATAATTTTGAAAACCCTTCATATTCTGCTGCTGCTGAGCGAATAGGAAATCTACCAGCTGAGAATTAGCCTTGTCAATGCGATTTATTTATAAATGATTAGAGCTTCATTGTCACTAGTTCCCTCTATTTTTGAAACATCAAATTTTTAATATTGTAAGGATAAATAATTTTTATTACGGTTGGAATTTAGACAGCTCTTATCAGTGAGTTTTATTTTTCAGATTAATTTATAGATCTTTTTACATTGAAAACTTCGAAAGTGGCCTTAATCCATTTTATGATTTTCCCCTTAATTTGGATAGCTAGTTTGTTCAGTTTTCCCCTGTTTTCGTTAAGTTGATTTATTGAAGTTAATTTTATTTTTCAGGCTATTTTTGTAGGATACTTTGTTTATTCTTGTTAATTATATTGGCGTCCGGTATTAAGTATGCACTTCTCTTAAGCACTCTTCTCAAGCACCCTTCTTAAGCACCCTTCTCAAGCAGTCTCCTAAAGAGGAGAGGGTCTGCTCAAGGGACTCGTGTGCAAGAAATTTTCATATCATCGATTTGGATGATAAAGCCCCTCAATCTATATGTTTGCGAAAAAATTGATCGAGGTTAGAAAATATGTTTTATTTTCCAAAAAATTACATAAGGTAATTATTATTTTTGGTAGCTAAAAACTCGGTATCGTTTCATTACATTTTTCGCGGTAGCTAAAAAAGTCAATATAGCTGCTTTATGTCTCGGAATGCAACTAGTAGTTGTGGTATTGAGGTCATTGTGTGTCAACTGATTTTCAGTCTATGTAGTCGCATGGCAAGTAGGCTAGTTGAGTTTTGATCGTGGAATGACCGCTGTTGTGTAGGAAATCGTCGTCTCTTTTTCTCGTATGTCTTTTCAGCAAAAGTATCAGCAAAGGGTAAGGGAAAATTTTCCCGAAACTTTACAGGGTCCGCGCCAAGCTTTTTAAGCAAGGCTTTTGCTTACAGTATAAAAACCCAACTTCAAATCCATGGGCGAATTCTAGTTAAGCCTTCTTTTAAAATTGCTGGGCGAGGAAATTTGTTTGACGTCAAAAGGCAATTTATTGCAGGTCTTTGAACCACGTTTATGCTCTATGCGTCCAGCCTGCTATTGATTCTCTCTCTCTCTTCTCCTTTTCGAATTCCACTTAACTGCATCCCCCTTCTTCTAAGGTTAGGTAATTGAATGAAGCAGACTCTCTAGTAATAAGCAATAACGAGTATTGAATTTTGGGTTTGAAATAATTATATGCCTTGCCATGCATTTGATAGCTTATATTAGTGGTGCTGCATCATTTCTTTAATACAACATCATTTTGTTTTGTTTCTACCGTAGTAGATTTTGTAGTTATTATTGCAAAGAATTAGAATTATGATTTTAAAGTTAATATGAAACTGTATGTACAGTTGATAGCGAAAGAAACTTTTCTTTTCGTCTCCTTGTCACTACCTTGGCATCTGACAATTGTCACCAACGTTCGTCTTCCTCAGGCAACATTTTCATCATTACTTTAGTTTCCCAAACAATGTTGGTGATGTTTCCATTATCGTCGTCGTTATGTTTAAATTATCATCATTTCTAATCACTCAAATGTAAATAGTACTTCTGTGGATTCTTTGTTGAATTGCCGGCGCAGATAAAAGCCTTAAAAAACCTAAAGCTTTCTTTTGGCTGTCGTAAAGGTTTCTAGCTTTACTAGGAATGGGAATTGCAAAAACGAATCAAGATTTTCATCAATGGATTAGCTTACCTCTGCTCAAATATCTCCTTTCTGAAGTATTGGGAACTTACAGATGTTTAAGCAATCCAATATCTCAGCTTTCAAATATTAATCAAAGATGAGAAGAATACTTTATGCATTGCTGAAAAGCAAAAGTTTCAAATGAGAACCTCAAATCAAGCCAAAAGATAGCCCGCCGATTGGCTTTTATCTTTGTTTTGAGATAAATTAATGGTAGTCAAAGCTGTTTGTCAAAATTTTGTGCAAAATCAGATGCCAGCATGAAATTTTATCCACGAGGGTAGTTTGAGCGCTGAACAAGATAAGATGCAAACCCTAGCTAAGAAATCCCCAAGTGCTATTTTTAGACTGTTGTATTGGGTTCGAAGCCCCAAAAGCAGTTTTTCTTATAATGTTACTGGTAGATTCATATGCTCAAAATGATAGGATATCAAATTGTACAAATAAAAAAAGAATGCACATATCAATCTTGATGGGAATGTACAGTAGATATATCAGGATCGATGAATAGCTTTTTGAATAAAGGAAGAAAAACGGACCAAGAGGAGCAAAACATAACTTTTAGCTAACAATTGTGGGCAAAGGCCCCTCCCAGCCTGCAAAGTTTGGGTATGCGCGGGAAATTTTTGCAAATCCCGTCCGCGCATTTTTGCAAATTTAGATTAATCCGCGCAGCTGGAACACAGACTTGCGTGTTAATTCCGCGCATAGACTCATCGCAAGGCTTAAAAATGGAATTCCGCAGCTTTTAACCTGTTTTTTCAACATGATTTGTTCACGCACAAGCGTAAGCGGCAGAAAATAATTCCTCGCGCACAAAGAAAACTTTACACTCTGGGGACCTCGTCTGTCAAGATTTTGCCGCGGTTGATCCGATTAAAACTGTGTTGTCTCCATGAGAACCGCCTCGTTTTCGCGAGAAACAAATGGCGAAAGTAAAATGGCCTAAGAAGTGATCATTTTAACCTCAAAATCTTGGTTCTAATGTCTCGCAGCATTCCTTGGCGACGGAGTTGCCCGGATATTGTGAAAAGAAGAATAGACAATGCCTTAGAAGCGAGGTTTTATATCCTTCGAGAAAGTGGACCAACAGGCTTCCTTGTAAAACAAGAGGACGAAGAAAAAAAGTATAAGGTGCATGCGCCCCATCATATCTGGTGATTTTTTAATTAAGATTAAACAAATATATATGGGGTTTTTCGGAGTGGCAACTCAAAGCCAAAAGTTCAATGATTTCAAATTTTGCTCATTCTTATTTTTAAATTAGCAAAAATAGTCTGTCATGTGCTGACTTGCTATGCCTCTACAAATAAGATGGCAAAACAAATAACAACATTATGCTTCAGAATACACTCTTGAGGTGCACTGTACTTCATTGTCTGTCAGATTGCACACCTAGGGTTTCTAAATGAGCACCCATGATCTCAGGCAAAATGGCCCTACTTTCCATTCGTACTAGCAACAAAAAAGTCAGTTCAATGATTTTTGTCTTAGACGTTTTTATGTGGGCTGAAGGTTGTTCATTTTTATTTGCATGAAATAGCGTCCCATCGCCCTGTACTGTTCATAAAACTTAGGCATGAAATGGATATGCCCTACGCCCACTGCTTGGCACTTGTCTTGTTTTGTCAGGATTAAACTATATTTCAGCCCCTGATGGAGAAGCCATCCCTATCGCCAGATAATTTGTGGCACTCTCCTTTACATAAAATATAAAGAATAATATGAGCTGTTTCTTGTAAAAGAAAGCTCTTGTTTTTAAAAATTGGAAATTTTCAAACTTGCAAGTGAAGACTTTGGTTTATATTTCAAATTCTTTTATAGGTTTATCTTGGAGACCCAAATTCATGCACATGTACCAGTTTCATCAAAGATAAGGAACTATGCATTCACATTTTATGGTATGCCGCTTTTTATCAAATATAAGTCAAATCAAATGCTTGTTAATATTTTGTGCTCTTTTGCTTGTTCTTAGTGGTTGCCATTTGTCAATGTTCCACCTGGCGACCGGTGACAGTGGTGTCAGCTGCTGGCTACCAAAGAGTGGCGAAAGGGATTCAATGAACATTGGCTTGTGCAACCTTTTTTGAAGCCACATGTTTTTTCCATATGACAGTTTTGTCATCTTTATGGATTTTTTCAGTGCTGCACCCTTCTAGTAAAACCAATTACTTTCAGTAAACATTAGAAAATATGAATCATCCTTTCTGATATATTTATTGATTGTGAGCAGTGCTATGTTGACCATGTTTGACAAGATCAGGAATTACTTCCCCCCAAAAATTTTCTCTTGACATCCCAACTATACTGATAGCCTTGATATCTCTCTAACCCATAGAAGGAAGGGGGTTATGGCCCCCTGTCCTCCTGACTGTTATTAACAAATTCCTAATTTTTGTATAAAGAAATTTGATGATCAGCAGCAATTTTTTTAATGTTTAGCAATTTTTTTTCAAAGGATCTTGCTTCGAAAATTCAGATTGGGAAAAGAAAATTCCTGTGAGTTAGATTTTAGTCTATATGTCTCGTCATCAGTAATTTGGCTGTTTAAAGGATGTATAATTTTGTAGCCACAAATAAGCAACAAAGAAATATAGATATACAATTGTTTTTCTGTAGTTAATTTCAAATTTTATTGTTTGATCTTCTTCCACATATTTAAACCACCAAATTTTAAACTACAAAATCTCACAAGAAGTCTGACAGTGATAAAGTATTTCTATAGTTCATTTTCTTGCTATAGTCAACTTTTGATAATAATGGATTAAGATTACAGTATATAAACGTTTACTGACTACAATAAGACTGTGCATTTCATAAATGCATAGTTAAGTCAACGTTTTTTCATATTGGCGTTATTTTACCAAGCATTTGTGGAAAGAGATCAAGATTGAAGTACAGTGGTATCCCAATATAACGAACCCCGGGTATAACGAACTTCCCGGAATAACGAACTAAATGTATGGTCCCCGAGGATTCTGTCTAACAAACCCCTTAAAAATTATCTCGGTATAACGAACCCCGCATGTAACGATCTCTCAATATTACAAACCAAATTTTGGGTCCCTTTGACATAATTACCCTCGATGTAACAACTTTTCCTAAGTTCTTCATCTGCTTTTTATACTTAATTTTTTTCGGTGTTCGTTTATCACTTTTCTTGGGGGGGGGGTTGTCATTATTTCATCAGCAAAACATGCTCATGCTACATTTTAAGCACTGGCCGATAAACCCAGTGCACTAGAGTAAAGTTTGATCACGTCAGATATAACTGCGAATAAGTACATTGACACTAGCGAACATTTACATATGAGACATTGGCAATGAGCGACGATAAAATGTTATTGAGAGACCCAGATTGACTGCGAAAAGAAAAAAACAAATAAAAATGTCAGACGTCATTTAGGCACCAACTAGAAGTGAAGTGACCTAGTTTTGCCATTCTCTTGGTTCCAACGTATAAGAGGAACATAAAGATTTTAATTTTCGATTACTAACGATTAGAAATATTTGCATTCAGCTTTGTTTTTGGAGTGAAATGTGCACAGAAGTTGGAGATAGCCTAAACAAGCCCACCAAAGGTATTTTTAGGCATGTTCTACCAAAAGAAATAAGAAACATTTTCTCTCGGTTTAGCGAACTCCCGATATAACCAACTATTTTCTGGTTCCCTTCAGAGTTCGTTTTATAGGGATCCCACTGTATATTAACGTTTACTGACAACAATAATACTGTACACTTCATAAATATATAATTAAGACGTTTTTTCATATTAGTGCTATTTCAACAAGCATTGGTGGAAAGAGAGATCAATGAAATTATTCAAGGAGTTCACATTCACAGACGAAGCAGCACAAAAAAAGAAGAATTGGTGCAATTTGAAGAGAAAGGAAAGCTTCCAGCAAAATCTATTGATAACGATGATGTCTGCCCAATTTGCCAAGAAGAAATAAAGAACTGCAAAGAACCTCTTACTCATTGCAAGTACGTGTTTGGCAGATTTTCTTTGCTTTATGATTTTTTAGTTCTATATTTTGCAGGGCCTATTTTATGGAAATTTTCCAAGACCACACTTTAAGAAAAGGAGGCTGTATATGAAGCATGGACTTTCAAAATACCGACCGTTGCTGTAGAAAGCGTTTTTTTTTCAACATAGCACGATTACAGATATGTTTTGTTTATGCATTTACACCATTTGAGAGCAAAACGCTGATTGGCTGTAACATTTTTTGCTCTTGTTGGACCAGATTAATCTGGACCAAGGAACTTGCGCTACGATTCATGGATGATTTGTACTGTTCTGTTAAGTTATAAAGTTTCAAAACTCTATCAACAGAAAAACATATCTATAACAAAAATATAGCTAAAATGAAAAACCCCATTCCACAATTTTGAATTTCCAAGACCGCATTTTGGATTTCCAAGACCAAAAAATGTGGGAAAAACCACACTAAAATATGCTTCCTTTTTAGTTTGATTGCTTTTATACGATAAAAGCACGGAAATTATTGCGCGAAGAGTGCTTTTTGTTTTACCCTCTGTTTTTATTCACTCCATCTTGATTTGAGTGTCAATATCCAGCTTTTTTACAAACAGGTATGGATGTGGTAACAATATACACATCAAATGCATGAAAGTCTGGGCACAACACCGAAAAACAAATGGAGACAATATAATAAAGTGCCCACTGTGCAGGAGCGATTTCGGCAGCTACCAGGTTTGTAATGATTTTTGTATAGTTTGAGTTAAATCTTTAGGATATCCGGGAAAGCTATCTTTTTATAAGAACAATTTATATGTACATAAGCCTCAAGATTGGTAATTGTAAAAAAACAAATTGAGAACAAGATGAAGCTGAGTTACTGTGCATTTTGTAACAATGTTGTAAAACCCCTTTAACCTGTTTATCTTAAACCGAGAAGTTTTTTGCTATCTAGGGATGCTTTTTTGGTAAATTTTGAACTTGTCGGCAAATAAAGGATGGCTCACAAACTTTTTTGGCAAATAAAGCCTGAACACCGCCCTAGTGAACACTAGCTAGCAATTCCACTGCTTCCAGTGAGACATCTGCTAATGACCAAGAAGTTTTTTAAAAATAAAAATTTGATATCATCCTTTTTTCTTCACGTTCTGGCAAGAAATATAAGATTGTACACGATCTCTGCCAAAGTACTTGGAACACCCCACAATTTGGGGTGTTTTTTAAATTTTTCAATTCTTTTCCCGAATACATCTACTTCCGAACCCCCTCCCCCTAAAACAATGATGATGGTTTAGACAGACATCATACAAATCAAAGGAAAAAATGTACTTCTCCTACGTCGTTTTGTAGTAAACAAACACAAGTGGAATGTGCGAGGAGGATGGTTGAATTTGCCATTGATAGCTTCTGTTAGTGTTAAAAAACTAACCAAGCTTTTTCAAACTTTGTAGCTTTCAACCAAGTTATGAATTTTTCAAGTGAGAGTTTTTCAGCATCTTCTAGCTCAAAGAAAAGCTTGATAACGTTCTTTAGATTTTATAAGTTTTTTTACTGCTATAATTGTTATATTTATATGATGTATGATACCACATTTCCTCTCACAAGGATATTATTCAAGAATTTCACAAACTTTCCACAAGGAGCCGAAAGAACATCGAAACAAGTGATGCGCATATTGGTGCAACCTGCCATAACTGTCGAATTTCTCCTATTCAAGGGAAATGCTTCAGGTACATTGTTTTCAACCCAGGGTAATCTTGCAGATTTTTTGAATGGTAGTATGAACCAGGGCATGAAAACCCACCCGACCATGCGACTGGGTGGTCGCAGATAATTTATTCCTGCATAAACTTCTGCAGGAAATATTTTACAAATTACTCTCTTGCAAGAATTATCTGTTTCTTTCAAGTTCATCAAAAGGAAAAAACATTAAGACAAAAGTAATATATCTTATGTAGGTCCCTTGTACAAGTTATATTGATAATCGTACCTAAGAATCTGTGAGAATGTTGTTTATTTGAAAATACAGTTTTTTATCTGGCTTCAAAATATTCTCATCAGTTAGGAAATTAATATCATTGAGCCCCTTTTCCAGTTTAATTTAGACGTTCAAGGGTAAAGAATATTTTTCAGTCACCAAATCAGAAATTGATTTTGTAGTGGGTAGTAAAACTTTAGTTTATAAAAAACTGGTGACATATTATTATGGTTGTTGGAACCTTACCATTTTTTCCGTTTATCTTCCCATTCTTGCAGGAAATTTATGCATGATTTCCCTCCGGTCGCAGGGAGAAAAATAAATTTTTATGCCCTGGTATGAACTGATTGGTATGAATTATGGTCACCGAGACATAAATTTTGCATATTTTGAATGTTCGAGATAGAAAGGCAAAAGCGATTAAACATCTAGCTCTTCAAGAGCTATACCCTGAAAAGTTCTAAATTTACTAGAGAGATACACAGGGCTAAAATTGGTAGAGCCAGCAACGTGTAAAGTCAACCGCCAGATCTCAAATCTATAGCAATATGTATGTGTGAGGATCCATCTCGCGTGCATTTATCTATCCGCATTATTTTGTTGTTGTATGTTGTAATGCTGTATGTTGTATGTATATTTTTTGTGTTAAAGGTGTGTTGTATGTCTGGACTATCACCTATGCCAAGAATGCTTTTTAAAGCAAATACACATGCAACATTCATTTCAGTTCAGAAAGGTAAGTTTATTACTTTTTGTGATTTCATTATCATGCTGCTGTTTTCCATATGACGAATGCAGACATATTCCTCTGTAGTAAAAAAGACGTTAATAAATACCATATAATGTTAATGTTTGCGTTGCAAGAAAATTTTTAATGTAGCTACGTTAAGGATTCGTGATTTTTTTAAAATTATGACGAAGTATTCAGTTTGAGGCTACGGTTAGTCCTCAGTTCAACGCCGGATGTAGGGGGTTGATAGGATTCCAGGCCTCTTAAGGAGGTGCTCTACATAGGAAAAGACATCAAAGATATGTAGGTTTTTTCGATGTTTAATTAAAAGTAGGGAAAAAAATTGAAAGGTTGGTATCACATTTAATATAATGCTATTTTCCAACAGAAGGTTTCATCAAACGTAAAAAATCTTTGTTTTGCATGTAAAATGAAGCAAATGGCTAATGGCTTTCTTCTTTTTGAACCCTAGAACACCAACCAAAGATGGCGCCCAGCTTCTAGGTATCGGAATAAGATTTCACAAAATGGCGATCACAATGACGGTGATCAAGATTTTCTATTAAACCTGAATCGGTAATGCTTTCATCTCATGCAGTAGAAAGATGTAAATCCTTTTGTCATTTTGAATGCGGTATACGGGTTTTTCAAGGCATTCATAATCGGAATGGTATTTTTGATAATCTCTTTAAATTTTAGACACTTTAGACATGCGACAAGAATGTACATTTTAGACATGCAACTATAGACAATCTGTAGTTTTCAGCGATGACCAGCAGTTAAAAGCGATTACACAGCATTGTATTTTAATGTACCAGTTAAGAGTGTTGGTTGTATTACACTTTTTGTCAGTGTGAATATTACATTCTTTTAGGGGTGAAGATAGAGGGGGTACCAGCATTATCTTTTCAGATGTAGCACCCCTTGAGGTACTGACAACTGATTCTCGCGAAGTTACAGAGAGGCTTCAGTGTCAAATGTGTTGCTCGACGTTTCGAGTATCAGATAGTGTTCGCCATCTTGCTTGTCGACATACAGTCAGTATTCTTTTGGCATTATCTGCCTGTCATTCACATATCCCAGTTCTTTTTTGTTTGAATGATAGCACGAGAAACAGAAACATGGGAAATGATACCACAGTACTTTTTGCCCAATAGATTTTCAAGTAAAAACATTGAATATATTGCTATTTTAAATTATTGCAGTATAGCAAAGGTTGTTCTATTATTGCAGTTTACTGGGTTGTTCCATTTTTAAAGCAAATCCATTTAGTACAGTTTTTCATTAGTCATTATAAGTTTCAAAAGTCGTTTTTTCTCATCAAGTTAAAAGTTGTAATTTTTTGCCATTCTTTTATTTTATTCTTCTTAATGTCGGGAATTTAAATTAATTTTTATCACATCACCTGACAGAGATTTGTAATGGCAACAAGTTACATAATCACATTGTAGGTTGCTGAGTAAAATATGTTTCTTTTGCAGCTGCACAAAAACTGCATCGATGATTGGGTGTCCAGAGGTAATTCTCTTTGCCCCCTTGATGGACAGCCATTGTTTACTTCGGCTGTATTTGATTTGCGACCGATGCAAGTGGCGGGAAAATCAAGGGCAGCGGACGGCAACGGAGAACTCCAGCTGTCGATTCAAGGAATCAACTCTTTGAATACGCCTTTAACCAAAAACATTGGAGTAATCTCAAAGCCTACTCGACGAAGAAGCAGGAACATTTCTACAAGTGGTGCTGATGAATTTGTTGGCAGCGTAAATGAACTTGCAATTAATGGTTTATCATCCAGACGGTATAATTGTTACTCTTTTGTTTCATAACGATGTTTTATTTTTTTTGGTATTTTCCATTGAAATCTCATACTGCCAATTCAGAAGCTAAGATTATTTATTTTTCTTATGAAAATTGATAAAAACTGTACTTGAGAATTTTTCTGTCACCGTAATTGTCATTATTCTATTTCTTTCTATCTTGTCTTCCAATAGATGACCATCAACTTTTTCGATTTTTTACCTCTTGTCACATCCGCTACCCAGTCATGTCGCATGTGAAGTTATATTCGTTAAGAAACCTGTCAATAAAAAGACGTTATATTTTCAGGAGAATACGTTCTTTTCCATCTAGATCAAGCAACACCACTGACCAAGAAATAGACTTAGGCCCAAAAGTTCAAACAACACCATCCACACTGGGTGACTACAACAGCTCTACTTCAAACACCCAACTCACTACCACGAGATATTCACATTTTGGTAATGGTTTGCCTCCTGTTCACCCTAAAACAGCCCAACGAAATCGCCCTTCGAGCATTGGTCAAAGACGTAATTTAAACACTGCTAAATCAGAATCGGCTGCATCGAAACAAAGTAACGAAGACCTTACGCTTGGGATTTATGGAACAACCTCCTCTTCTAAGGTATAGCCAAAATATAAGGTATATCTAATAACCAATATGCTTACTTATTCGGAAATAAAGGGTTCCAGGCGTGGAAAACAATGAATCTTTATTAGCTTTTTCACGAAGTTTGAATTTTTCGCATGAAAAGACAACAATTTTGGAAGTTTCGAGGCGTTGCTTTCAACCACTCGCTGTTTGGAAATAGAATAGCCTGCCATATAATTGTATACAACTACATAATGTAAGAACTGTATAATGGAAAAAGACAAATCTCAACAAAGAAGTGTAGAATCAAGCAACTTCGTCTTTTTTATTTTCTTTGTGCAAAACATGATTGTATTTTTCAAAACTATTTATTTATTTTTTCTTCTGAAAAAAATTTGTCATTCTGGATTTGTCATTGGAAATCTCAGACTGGGCATGGGTTAGCAAATTGTTTGGCATTTTTGAAAATCTTTGCTTCATTGTTTATTTTGGTGCTATTTGTAAAAAGGGTGTATATAATGTTGGATTATCTTTTCCAAAAAAACTTTTTTTGGTTCTTTAAAAGATGTTTGAAATTCAGCTCCAAGGTTATTAACAAGCCTTTCACTTTCTTGAGAAATCCTTGGGAACTTAACCAATTGCCTATAACAGTCGGAAAAAAAATCATTTCAATCAACCTCCTTGCCCCCTTCTCAAATGCATAGGACCAAAAACCCTTTTCCTAGATAAACAAGTCAAATCCTATTGTAAGCAGCTTATTCTTTTCCCTTATGTATTATAGGATTTGGTTAAACAAAAGAGAGCACACAGCAACCCAATCAAAAAGAGACTGTCAGGTGGAGCTATGGGGTCAATTTCCTCATCTGAACCAAATTTAGTGGCCCTTACGGATGTTTTTAGAGTAAGTTCAATATCACATTCAAATTATCAAGAAAGATAAAGAGATAAGAAAATATTTGAATAAATTTTTCTTGTGATGTAGTGTCTTGATTTCAGATTATTTTAAATAAAATTTTCACCCCTTTAGTCTGAAAATACTGGGGATTAGATTGTTGTAAACTTTTCTTTGATGAAAATATACTGTGGTACACATTCAATATTTTCTTATTCAAAACTGTTTTTAATCAAAGAAATTATTTGTATGTAATATGTAAACATCAAAATGAAACACCCCTGTGGAAAGTCATCAAAACTAAAGGTTAATTACAATGCTTTTCACATACAAAGCCATTCACATTAGGACTCATTTAATATGCTTTGAAAAATGGAATGGTTTTTGAAACCTCTAGTTTGTAGATGATGTGAAAATCATTCAACAGGTATGAGTGCTGTGGCATGTTATGAGCACTTTGGTAGTTTGAATAGGGTATTAGTCCAATATCGGTTTTACACTGAATTATGTTGGAGAAATAAGTTTTGGAAAATAGGACAAAAAAGACACTTTATATATGTTGTCAATAATTTCAAATTTTGTTATATTGAGCTTTTACAAAAAAAATTTTTCAGCAACTGTTTATATATGCTCATTGATGAAATTCTGATGATATGAAAAAAAAATTGAAAACTTATATATATATATATAGATAGTTTGTTGAATTTGAATGCAACAAAGAGAGTAGACAACAAGAAAGAAAGCTATGCCAAATCATCAAGACAATTTATTGAATTCACTTGAATGCCATTGTTGAAAAATTTCAACAATGACAAAAAATTAACTGACATAACAGGGTCACACACCACTGCTTTCTAAAACTTTCTGCTCCTTAAAACTGTTGTAACAAATGTCTTTTTACAATTTCATTTTTGCTTCATATATTTTTAACCTCCTCTGGGCGGGCCTGCATGTGATCCATAACTTTGGTTATGTCTTTGTGTTGAAAGAACTGTATAAATAAAGAAGAAAGGAGAAATGTAAAGAAACAAGCAAGGGTATGATTTACAAAACAAGGGTAAAATTACAAAACAAAGTTTTTTAGTAGAAAAATTGGCAGACTTTAAGAATGAAAAATAATTTTGGAAGTATATATGGAAAACAAATATAAATCAAATAGACATATCAAATTTTGAAGGAATTGAAACATAAATAGCTAACCTTGATGCTTTCTCCTGATTTTATCTTGAGCCATGGATGTTGGTTGTTTTTCCTATCCCAACTGTATGAAGGGGATTTGAAGATAAATTAGACTGATTTAGAAGCAGTGTACCAATTTTTGTTATTTAATGTTTTTGACCACAGTTTTACAAGGGTTTTAATGACCACATGTATAGGTAAAGTAAAGTTCAATCTAGCAACCAGATAAGTTTTTCAACAGGTGGATTAGTACATCTTATGTTTATTGGATTTCCAATTCTTTTCAGGAATGAATTGTCCCATCCCTTTTCCAACTTTGCGTTCTCTTATTTGAGCACCATTTACAATGAACTTTGGGTTGTAAAGCAGAGCAAAAATCCCAAGTGATTTGTATCCTTACATGATCCACCATTCAATATGTCAGCTCAAGTGGTTTGGGGACCTCTCTTGCTACCAAGTTTCAATTTGTGAATTTAGTATAAGCAGAGCAAAAATCTTCAGTTTTCTTTCAAATCAACCAATTTTGTAGTGTTACATGAAACAGTTATATTTATGAATGTGGAAATTTTGTTGGAGTATTTTCTTGAACTTTTTAATCATAACATACCTCACATCAGGACATTTTAAGGCTAATCTTGCAAGATAATATCCAGCTCCTACCATGCCTATACCAGTGACAGCAAAAAGTGGAATCAACTGCAAGGTAGAGATAATGTAATAAAATAATTTTTACATTGCTTTCCTTGGTATTTGATCATCTTTATAAATATTTTAAATAAAGCAATTTTTGTATACTATGTACGCAATGTGTATAGATAGATTGTTGCAGGCAAGGGAATATTATTTATAAAGATTTTGCAAATTCAAAACTAGATGATAAAGGGCCTTTTTTAAGAGAGGCTTATTGAAAATTTGAAAATCTCCAGGGGAAGCACTTGATACAAGAGTTTTTTGAAAACAACTAAATGGATTAAAAAATTGATAGAAATGCACTCCACATGGTTTATATATGAAACTAGAAATAAGTGTTCTTGTACAAACGTGTATATTTTTTCATTTGATGAACATGAAAGAAACCAAAGTGCTTCTTGCAAAAGTATATTTTAAAAAAATTCCTGTAGAACGGTATTCATGAAAAATTTCCTGTGACCGCCCTGTCACATGGTTTGGTGGGTTTTCATGTCCTGATGTGCACTTTCAGTGAAGGGGCATAATCATGTCATTTCAGTGGATTGAAAAATTGACCAGACTTCAATTATATCCTCAGTAAAGCGGTTAAGACCTATTTTTATATTTAGAAATAACCTCATTGCAAGACACACTGTAAAATAACTGCAGTCTGAAAGTTTTTGAACTGATTAGACAAAATTAAATATTTCTATGTTATTATCTGTTAGACACTGTTTCCTCCTGCTTGGAGTCATTAGCAAAAAAATTTTACAGTGATTCAAATGGTAAAAATTATCAGCAAAAGCAACTTTTGGTTACAAAGCTTTGTGTGTATTTTGGTTTGGATTATTATACGATGGCCTTGACCTCAGGATTTGGTCATGACAAAGGGTTGGGCCATGTACCTTACGATTGGAAAGTAAGAAACAGAAGCCATTTGATTTGGCTTTGCCATGGTATTTCAAAGCCAGTACCAAAAACAGGGTACTAAATGGAATGTTAATGTAAATTTGAATATTTGGCTCTTTGTATGTATGGATAATCAAATTGAAGAATTCGTGCATTAGTGTGTTATATTGTGGTACCTTGTTGATCTTATGTAGAAGAATAGCTTGGTAACATCATTTCAAATTTTGAACACGAAAATTACTTTTTACCAGACAACAATCGCATGGCATCAGGACAGAGCAACACGCACTATAAAAGGTCGATTCTCTATTCATAAACAGCCATAAGATAGAAATTATTTTGTATGAAGTTAAAGTCAACAATTTCATACAGACCTCCTTGTGCTTATTTAAGTAATTCATGGTTATTCCCTTCGACTTTCCTGCAACTTGGAGCAGTTTCGAAAAGTTGGGACGAAAGCTCTTTCTGGCTTAAGTGATTGCGCATGCTCGTAGCTTGTTACTTCAAACGAGGCTTGATCACCCAAAGGAGGGGAAAAGGAAAGGACGACAGAATCTCGCGATCTTTGCCTCATCTTTGAAAGTAGAACACGGTAAAGAACGAAGAAAATGCTGCAAAGAAACTTCATTTGTCTGGTAATAAACGTTTTACTCGTATCGAGTAACATTTTCCATGTACCTAATATTAAATCAAGCTATATTATCTTAGTTTGCTGTTTCCAGTCCAGTTAAATTACATTTATGTGGATGGGAGATAGATAGAGCTCACTTGAACAATTTAGTATGTCTGTATGTAAACCCTTTCATGATAATCTGATGACACGGCGCTGGTAAGGTAGGCATTTTTGTAAACAATAAATATTGCCCGTAGTTGCGAGGATGGCTCAGTGGTTTACAAACCCAAGGGTCTATGGTTCGAGTCCCTGACATCCAGACGATAAAGTATTCTTTCTGCGAGGGAACGCCAGAACAATAATCTTTAAATGCGCAAGTCCACCAGGCTAAAAAACTTGAAAATAAAACATCTCGCTATACTTGATGTCTTAAGCATATTGCACATAAAAAATATTTCTTTGGCTTGCACTTTATCGTGTTTCCAACCAGTGGAAACAAAAACCTGAAGCAGTGAAGTATTAAAACTTTGTGCACGGTGTTTGAAAGTTAACATTTTCCAGCTACATCTCTAATGGAACTGAGATTTTGGCAAAATCCACCATCTACAAACTGGGGGTCTGAAGTTGAGCACAATACAGTGATATGGCAGTCATTTTAATCAACCAGTGACTTTGTCATCATCAGGACAAGGCACAGTAGTGATAACTTAAGCCAGACTGCAGAGTATGCCAAGTGCACACCAGATATGTTTTTTTAAAATGTTCCTGCACACCTGGTAAAAGGTGTAGTATTTTGAGATTTGGGCTTGATATGGGTGTGACCTAATGCTAAGGTCAAATGGAGAATTATGTTTCCTAGATTGACATAACCTTACATTGGTTTGATAGCAAAATAACTATCAATCGTGTACATTTTCTGATCTTCATTTTCATATTCGCTTCTTATTTGATATCCTTTAAATATTCTTTGGCTGATGCATAGTAGAGCACAAAATTGTGTGCAATTGAGGTGCACACTTACACCAAATTGCACACTTGAAATTTTGCTCTTGCTCACCTAAGATCTTGTTGGAAACTGTTGTACTATGCAGGCTTAGATTTAAAGGGATGAGAAATTTAGGTCCCCAAAAAAGCCTATGGGTCAACAAAACTGGCTTTTTTGTTAACTACAATAAATATTTAAAAGTACATAAAAACTTATTTGTGTGACTATGCATAAATTTTCAGGGCTTATTAAACATAACAGTTATGATAACAAGAAGTATGAAGTTCAAATTATCAGTTATCAATTATTTGGCCTTCTAGCCTTACAAGATAATCAGGTTTGTCCAGTCTCAACAAATATTTTTTAAAGGCCGGCTTTTATGTTGGCAGTGCCATGCCAACCTAGATTAAAGGGGTGGCTGCCTAGGCAAATCAGGTGGTAAATGTGCTAATTAAAGCTACAGAGATAAAATCCTATAACCTGTTGGAGCATTCTCTTTAGTTTGGAATAGATAGAGGGTCTGGATTAAATGGGATAGGTAGAAAATTCTCCAAATCCTGTTAAAAAGAACTCATTTGGATGTTAAGGATGCAATTATAAGGATGCTTCCACAGGCCTCTCCAGGAGTAAAAAGCATGCAGGCTTTAAAAGATTCCTGCTTGTTTTGCTTTATGGGCTATTTAGCTCTTGCAGAATTTGTTGTTTAAATATTTATATTTGAGTATATACAAGCCAAAAGATGGATTATCTTTTCTACTAGTAAACACGATTTATCTTAAGAAGACAGTTGTTTTGTGTGCATTACTACTCCTAAAATGGTAATTTGGTTTTTTTGCAAAATGGCAATGTTTTGTGAAAGAACACTGATTTATTGAGTAGTATCCAACAAAACTCATCTTTATTCAAAAAGATATAGAGCAGTACAATGTTATTTGAAGATAATGAAAGATTTAGTTGTTTCGCATTAAAAATTCAAGAAAGAATAACTGAAATACACTTCTTTTCTATTAGAAATGGAGGTCAACTTGGAGTACTCCAGTTTCTTAACAGTATAGTAAATTCCAATACTCATTCTTTCTGAAGATTTCTTTAATCTGAAAAAGCAGGGAAGAGCAAAAAAAATAACATGTTAAAAATTGGTGAATAACATATACATAAACCTCAAAGCAAAAAGGGAAGCAGAAAGACGGATCGAAACTAACAAGAGAGTTCAGAAAGGGTGAATTATTGGTTCTAGCCTGCGCCTCCGGGTAAGATCTGCTTCTAGTGGACAACATCTTTTAGACAACCCACATTGTGCCAAAAACTATAATGACAGTATGTTTTAGATGATTGGCAGAGCCAGGCTATCTGTTCATTGGGCAGTTTTGGAACTGATCTAAATATATTAAGCTGCTATTTTGTAGACAGCTGGGGTTCATGGGAAGACTTAAGTATGATGTAAATTTTATATGTTAGCAAGTTATTTTTAAAATGTGAAAACCTGCAGTTTCTTAAAACTTTTGGCTTGAAAAGACTAAGCTGGAATAAGGATGTTGTTGGTGGATTTTTTCCCAGAAATCATAAAGTGTCCAAACTCATATGTCCAAACTCAGGAGTCGGACAGGCAACTGGAAACTATGAAGTTTGCTCTACACGAGGAATAGAGTTCTTGGAATTAGCAAAAGTCCAAACTCAAGAGTCAGACAGGCAACTGGAAACTATGAAGTTTGGTCTACATGAGGAATAGAGTTCTTGGAATTAGCAAAAGTTGTGGGAGTCAAAGAACAAGCAGTATGCATATTTCAGAATCAAAAAGAGACAATTACGATTTTAAAATACACAAACATTCAAATACCCTGTTTTGAATATTTAACCCCATATTATGCAGATCTTGTGAGCAATTAGGTATGATATTGAAAACATTGTTAGGTTTCCTGATTAACATGAAGCCAAGCTATTGTCATGTAGTCTGTTGGTATAATTTGTAATGAGTGAAGCTTGCAGCATAACAATAATATATCACTTTCCTGCTTTTGCATATGCAATAGTTTCTGTTTATTCTAGCTTAAAGGAAACACATGTCTGACTTCAGCTGTGCTAGATACTTGTGAATTCAGACTGTGGAATGCTGCATACAGTTTTCAAGTAAGGCATAAATCAAAGAAGACTTCTCCTTTTCCACCTCCAAAAGGAAACCCAAAAATATTTGAAGAGCTTGATAAGGAATTTGGTTGGCCAAAGCATGGAAGGAAAAGAGATTCACCATTTGTCCCTGCTGGCCTCCCTTTTATCCCAGTCAACCATCCATTTATTATAGACACTGTTGGTAAGTTTTTGGTTCAGCCCTTTCATTTTTTCTAATTTATTTCACAACATATTTCACAATTTCCTCTAATAATTAACTTCCTTGGATATTTGCCCAAAAAATATAATTTACATGAATCAGAGATTGGATTCATTCCCCATAAACAGGGTCTTAAATGTGACATAATTTGGATCAGATACAAAAAGTCCACTTGGGAAAATGATCCCAAATCTATTTCAAATCTATATATCAAAATGAGATTGAATCTGCAAGGTCTGTGTAACTAGAAAGCTGATTCAATCATATCACAATCTGGTTAGTTCTGATGAGGTGTGGGTAACAGGTCATGTGAAAGTCATTTTTATTTATGCACCCCTGGTAGCTGTACATACATACTTACATACATACATACATACATATTTTTTAAAAGATATTTCTAAAATACAGTGCATTTATAAACCTGATCTAAAAAATGTAAACCAGTTGAATGATTCAATTGAATGCACCCCTTAAACTAACTTAAGGTTACAGTAAATCGTATCTCCTGTAACCCTGGGAGATTCAGAAAGAATAACACCCTGTTTGAATCTAATTTAATAAATTGGTCTGTATTTTGTCCATTGTCAAATGAGATATTTTGCTCTGTATGCACTCCTCAAGAACAACTATTGGCCTTGTTGTGATAGTGATAGTGCTTGGGAAATGAATGACATATTAAAATCACAAAAGCTAGCCACAGTTCTTATGCCATAAAACTGCCTTCTGCCAAAAATATTTAATGAATAGTTCTGTGATCAAAACGATGTGTTCATAGTCAGATAAGTTAATATTTTGTGCTTGAATAACAAATATGTTTTCTTCATTGACCAGGCAATATTATCAGTGAGTATGTTCCTCTCCAGAGAAAAGAGCTGATTCTTACTCCAACAGTAAGTTTCTTTCTCTTTTGCTTTATGTACTTTTCCTACATTAAACGCTTTTTTATAAGGAACCTACCTCAAGGCCTAGTTCCAAAAGTTCTTTATTCTTAGACCTCAAATCATCAAATTGTAGTACCAAACGTTTCTTCATAGTTCCTTCATTTTCACTGCACATCGAGTGCCATAAAAATAGTACAGAAGCAGGAAAAAAAGAAAAAAATTGAATTTTGCCTTTACTTGTGGCTAGAACTCAGGAGCAAAAACACAAAGAAGGCTATCTATAGTGAAAATCTCACTTTCGATGTTTTGAGTACAATAAGCATTAACACTTAATAGAGAGAGGGGTGAAACAGCATATGGGGAAACTACTCAATGAAGCACTTGACACACGAATAGCAATCTATGCGAGTATTGGCTGCAAATGAATGAACCAGCTTTTTAGTTCTTGATGCTTGCAGTTATTTTTCAAATTGAAAAGTAGTATAAGTTCTTTAAATATTTCTTCCATCTACATCTGGGTTCCTTATAAAGTGGTTCCTTATAAAAAAGCATGTATTGCTTTTTTATTCAAATTATCTAAGAATTATTTTGCTAATGCTTGAAATATTTAGTCTTCAATTACAGGGTATGGACATATCAGAACACACAGGGGGTGGCAGGAGGGGGCAGGGGTCCTAGGCCCACCAATATTCTAGAGGGTCCACAAACCAAAACGTTTGCAGATGGTGCTAAGTTTGAAAATGTGCATGTCTCTTAACCCTCTCTCCCATGACTGTGTTGGCCTGTACATGTTTGTGCATTACCACCTGTAGCTTTTTTAAATATAGTAATTTCTATTTGTTGGTAAAAATGATCCCATGATTTATAATGCCAAACATATATTATGTTAAGCGCTGTCCAGGATAGATTATGTCAGATAATGAAAATTAAAAGGTCTGTTTTTACATTACTGATGAATTTGTTTTACTTTTGCATTTGAATATATCTATTCTTAAGAATAGCTTTTCATCTGATATATGCAAAGATTTGTGAGATTTGCAAAAGTTATAAATATCTGATGAAAAAATTGACTGTGTGCCATTATGTTTTAAAGATTGATCGTTCCAGTAGCTTTTCCTTTGTTCCATTTCATTGTGTTTTATTCTGTTACATTTAATTGAGCTTCGCTGGCAATAGTTGTCATTTGGTCAACACCCAACCAGCATATTGGTATAAAGTACATCCACAGCACCTTCATAGATTATGTGCATCATTGATATATTATTGGGATGGTTTTTGAAAAAAATTGTGATAATTAGTGAGCTTTTAAAATCTAGCAAATTTTCATATTTAATTTGAGCAATATCAAATTCACTTTTAAATATGGCCAATATTGCATCAAATTGTTGTCACTTCTTTCCATCTTTATCCTGTTGTAGGGAATAAAGCAGAGATGGGAGGCATTAAAGATGTTCCTTATGTCAACTTACAGGTACTTCACATGTTGAGAAACAATTTGTACTAATGCTCTATTTCTATTTAAATGCTATGTTCTACATATTTGCAACAATGGTGGAATATTTTCAATATTGGGGATGCTCTAAAAATCAATTAAATAGTCTTGCCACATTTTCTCATTGTGCCACCTTCCCTCAGCATTTGCTGGCCCAGAACAATTGCTAATCTTTCTAACAGAAATTTTCATTACATCCCTATTGTATATCAAATTTATCTTTGATTTTTTTCATTGAAAAGAAGGGTGGGTAAAATGCAGCACATAAATCTTGTTTGCAAAATGGGCAGTTGATTTGGAGTACCTTTAATTGCTTTATTTGGACACTCTGGGCTGTTAGACACCTTTCTCTCACTGATCTCCCTCTTATTAATTAAATTACATTGTACACAACATTTTGAAATGTCTTGGGCTGGGCCATCTCTTTATATTCATCCTTGATTTTTCAATTGCAAAATAGGTTTGATATAAAGAAAGTAATGTTATAGGAAATTGTCGGATCAGCATAAACCCCTAAGCCTGGTCTTATTACCAAGTTCATTGTAATTGATTAAATTTTTTCTTTCAAATATGAGAACCTTTTTATTCTCTTTTTAGTATTGCTTTCATCAAAAGATACACAAAGCCATTTAAATTAAGAGATTTTGCTGTTGGTGCTCAGAAAACGTTTATAGAAGTAAATATGGCATTGCAAGAGTGAGTTCATTGAAGTTTACCTAAAAAATTTTCCTTATTCTTTGTGTAATTGTTTGTGTATCATTTCTCCACTTCTAAGCCTTTTTCTTGGATAAAGCTATTAATTATTCACTTGAAAGGGCAGGAGTTATAAATCAATAAGGTTAAGAGAAATATAACAAGGCTATGTTAGATTCAATCTTTTCTTTACAGTAATGATGTCGCAAGATTAAAGGAATTGTGCACAAGCGATGTTTACAATGTAAGTTTTATGTAACTATACGTTTTCTGGTCGAAATTATTTTCAGTAAACTAGTTGTTTGTGACTTCAAGAACCACCTGATCATCTTTCTTTCTAGAGAAGAAGATACAACCAACAACCAATTGATAATATTTATGGACTGCTGTTCTTCTTTTTGTGTTACCTTCAATCTGCACCTAAAAATGAAGTTCTGCTTACCCATTGGTCATAATTTGTTTCTTTCTCAGCCGAATACCAAATGAAAAGACCCCTTTCAGCATGTGGTGAAATTTTTCACAAACTTGAAATGTCTAATTAAAATTATAGAATCAAATTCCTTTGTTGTATAACCCCCCTTCCCCCCAAGATGAGCCGCTATCCCAGAAATAAATTGTTGATAAACCCATCTTTGACTAGATTGCTTTGACTAAGAGACTGCCAGTGAAATTGCAAAGGGAATGTTATTCAGTGAAATTGCAAAAGAAATGAACTTGAAATTCATGTGAAAGCTTCAAAACGAGCCCCCCTTCCCTCGTATAAGCCCTTATCAAACTATTCCCTTGATTAATAAGCCCCCTGTGAGGCTAATTCGAGGGTTCATGGTATTCAGATGAGTAGAGCCATTGGGTTATATTCCAGCAGGACTCTGTGATCTTTGGCAATGTATGTTTTTTGTCCTGGAAAGCTTGCATTACAAAAACATGTAGACAATCAGTACAGCTGGAATTGCTTCTTTGCCAGGTTTTAGAAATTCATTTCACAAGAAAATTCTTCACATTGCATTTGTTTTTGGATAATATTGGAAGTGGTAAAATATTTTTCACTACTTATTCCCTTCAAGGGTCTGAAACGTCAATTCCTTGATGCAAATCGTAGAATACATTGGCGACATGTCAGCACAATCACACCCCCAAGGATAGTTCATGCAAGGGTAGCGCCAGTACAAGATAAAGAGAATCTGTTCGCACAGGTCACAGTGAAAATGAACACAGACCAGGTATAGTACTGTTTCCCACCTAGTCTTGTATGCCACAAGTTCAGTTTGATGTCGCATCCTTCTTTTCTAGTGTCTTTTAACATTCTGTCCTATTTATGTTCTGAACGGAAAAATTTGGAAAAAAACAGAAACCAACCGAGTTAATTCTTACTAACTTTGTATTAGATATTAGAACGTTTGCTAGAGGCAAATCTAGAAGGGGTAATATACTCTACACATACTTGCCAATTCTCAAACCCTCAAGTGCATTAGATACAAAAAGATAACAAATTTCATCACTGAATACCATAGCTGCTACAAAGAAAACATACATCTTCAGTTTATTGTGCCACGTTATGGTAGACATCTTCCAGTAGTTTTGAAGCATGGTAAACTGGTCGTTTTAAATTTTGCTCCAAACATCGTATTACAGTCAATATACCTTTCGTACATTTGTTTGAGTTGGCTGTAAATCATTAACAGTTTAGGGTGGACTAAAATTAGTTCTGTGATGAGAGTTGACTAGAAGATAAAGCTTGCTGCCTTGCGAGTGTTTAGTCGTAGCAAAATAATAGACACTGCTAATATTTCAAGTTATTTTCGTATTTTAAATTTGGCTGTCGTTACATTCTTGGTTCATTTTAATCTCACTAGATCCTGGCAATAACAGACGAGCATGGTCGAAGAGTAAAGGGCGATCTCAAGAAATCAAAGCAAGTCATCGATTACGTTGTGTTTGAGCGACATTTAACAAACCCTTATGGACAGTGGAAAGTGATTGGCAAAATAACACCTCCAGTTCAAGTAAAGGCCCCACACCTTAAAGCCATCAACCAGGGGGCACAGGTTTCTCGTACATAAGTAAGAAATGCCAATGAAATATTTACTCTCTTTTTACGTAACAATTTGCTCTGAATTTTTTGCAGTCTTTCTTTGTAGCAATGTGTTTCTGTCTTTAGTAACTATTTCTTTTCTGCTCTAGTATTTCTGACCAGTTGCAAAAGGATGGTCGTTAATCTTACTTAAGTATACAACACAGCTTAATTTGGCTAAAACTTGCCTAGTAATTACGAGGCCATGCGTGTTGCAGTTAGAAAGTCAAAGAAACGGCAATGTTTGAAAATCCATCACAATCAAATAATCTGCAATGCGATTTTACTTATTAAGTCCATAAGCAAATATTGTTACGTATTTCATGATTACGTAATTTCGTTGCTCCCCGTAAAAAGAATTGGCAACCACAACAAGAAGTACAAAAGAAAATACCAGCCGAGATATTTTACATGATGTAAAATGTAGTTTTACAATGTCCCTATAATTGGTGAAGATATGAAGCTACGAAATGCCATGCCAAAAAACTCTCAGTGTTTGATCACTGAGATTAAAGTGAAACTGTCCTTTTCCAATGAATCCTAAAATGGCTTTGTGTGATGGCTTGATTACTCTTCGTCTTCAGAAGATTCTACGAGAAGAACAGCATGTGATTAACTTTGACCTTCTTGTTTTGTCTTTTCAAATCTATAACAACATTGCTGTAAAACTAAGGCTGTCTGCTTTATGTGTAAGAATCAGAATCAGAGGAAATCCACCTATGTTTTTGCAGCATGACAACAACAAACAATAGAAAAGCAGAGAACTTTCGTACCTTCTTCAGCATTTTCAAGCCATTCTACCATTTTTGCCATTTGTGGCAAAAACACACTCTTCCCTTTAGTTGTGTGGGAGTCTTTGTACCACTTAATGATGGAGTCTTCACTAAGCACATCCACTACAAATAAAAATATTAAGAAATTAACATTGGGTATGCCAAACCTAGGAACGTTTAAATGCCTTTAAATGTTTAAATGTATTTTTCTACGGTTAACTTGATTTCTTGATAACAGTAGCTTATAAATTCTGAATAAGATATTTCAGTGAAGTGAATAAACACCTAAGACTAAAGTAAATACCTTCACAGCAGAGATTTGATATTGTTTCCACGAAGGTATCAGGTAATAAAATCTTATTGCTTATTTCAAATTTCTTGTTTAAATAAGGAGGCGTATAAGAAAAGAGGGCCTAATAGAGGGGATACTAAAATACATCTTTTTATAGTAGCTGAATATAATTGCCAAACCAAGTTAAAATATTTACCCTTATAGAACAGCATTATGATCTTCTGAAAAACTTTCATGAAGTTCATGTTATCATAACAGTAGTCTTGAACCCTTTGAATAAGGATCAGTTCTGACTTCCCTGATGTTGTAAACTCTGCAAACACAGAGGCGTAACTCTGGAAACAAAACAACATAAATGTCATTATTGGGTATGCTATTTGCGTAAAGCAAATCACACTCTACGCCCTCATTTGATAGTATGTCAAAATAAGCGATCTTTTACAAAAATAAAACATATGAAAGGCAACTGATCACCAAAATAAATGTACGAGACAACGCAAATGTACATCATCTAACAATGAGAATTTTCATGACAACCTTTTTTCACGCACCTTCAAATGTTTTAGAGCCTGGTCTGCCACAAGCTCCTCTTTCTTATTCCATTCTACTGAAGCCATGACTGTCTTCCAGAGCTAGGAGAAAAGTTTAGAGTTCAGAAATTTTACAGAAATTACTGTACTTTTGGCGGTATCGGCAGAAATTACAGCTAAAAACATGTGAAACAGCTAAAAACGTGAAACAGGAAGGCAAGCCTTTTGGAAATTCGCTTCCTTTGGAATTCTTCAATTTTAAAATTCAGCATGAAGCTCTTACCTGAAGACAAATCTCAAACTCTTGAAGATTATGCCTGTCTTTGTATTCCTTGCACGTCTGCGATATCTGAAATTCAGAAACGACAATTACCATTTCAGAAGGCATTTGTTGAATACAAAAACATGCAACCCAGCTACTTTTTGTATCTATGCAAATAATTCCTTAATCGACTAAAGTTTTCCATGAGAACAAGCAGGGATACAGATCTGGTATCAATACAAAGGGCGTTTGGGTAGCTCTTACCTCCTTTGGTGTGCTATCGTGTTCCATCATGTTTTTCAACTTCTCTTTTAGTTCACGTCGCATGATGATGTTATATTGATTTCGCTTGAAAAAAAAGTAAGGTATCAAAGTGTACCGTGTCAATTCAGCAGTTGGGCGTAAACTCCATTTTTCAGAAATTTTGCATACCCATTTCCATTTATTAAAACTCCCTAATTGTGTATTTCATGCAAAATTCCTATTTAAACACCCCTAATTTAAACATAATTTCGGAAAATCAACGCATTTCAATATATTATGACCCCCCATTTTAGAGCTTTTTAAAAAAATGTCAACCCCCCCCCCCCTTATTAGAGACTCCAACAATTAGGAACTTGTGAGTATTGTAATAGATATTAGACTAGAATATGTTTGTAGTCACCATCATATTTACTGAATAATAGCAATAAATAGGTGATAATGCTACAATATTTATATCCCTCGTATTTTTACGAATCCATCGGATGAAAGATGAAATCGCCTTATTCCCGAGGAAATTTTAGTGCATTTCAAAATAATTCCTACAGAATTAAGATTCTACTTGTTATAATCTAGGACCAATACTGTCTGAAGGCCTTGTGTTTAGGATAGAAAAAACTGGCACCTACTTGAAAATCAACGATTTCTTTCAGCCCTGCTTTGTTGAAGTATGCTTCAAAGGCTTCCTCTGAACGTTTATTGGCAGGAAACAATTGCTGTTAGGAAAATACGGCTTTGGTCAGTTAAACTCATGATGAAGGAAAATTAAAACACACATTTCTATTGATTCTAGTGAGTGATTTACACTCTCTTCTAAAGTCTCTCTTTTGACTTTTCAATTAAAAAAGAGCTTTTACTGTGTTTGAAAGCTCTGTTTAATCTTTAGTGAAACTGATAAAATATGTGATCTAATTTGTTTCAGTAACTTATAATATATGTTGAGTCGTAAAGATGAGCTGAAGATTCTGTGGTTTCAAGCAGCTGTTTATACTTACAAGCAACTTGCCATCTATCTCTGCTTTTTTCAGGATGCTTATTAAGCTGTTCGTGTCTTTCTCCAAATCTCTTAGCCATGTATTGAAGAATGTGTTTGCAAAGTCTAGACCAAGACCTTTAATAAAAGTATAAATCATTTTTAAGGTCAATATGTATTGAAAAAACATCACAGCTTGTTAACAGCTTGTTAAAATAGTTATCTCACAAGCATCGCCTAGCACGTCTCTACTTTGTATCTGATGGCACATTCGAGAATATCAAAAACCTATGCATAAAGAGTATTGCCCTAGTCATTTTACCTGAAGTGACAACACCTCATGATTCATATACCTGGGTTACAAAGATCTCCTTATTAGAGTCCCCAACAATTAGGAACTTGTGAGTACTGTAATAGATATTACACTAGAATATGTTTGTAGTCACTATCATATTTACTGAATAATAGCAATAAATAGGTGATAATGCTACAATATTTATATCCCTCGTATTTTTACGAATCCATCGGATGAAAGATGAAATCGCCTTATTCCCGAGGAAATGTTAGTGCATTTCAAAATAATTCCTACAGAATTAAGATTCTAATACTGTCCTTTCCGCACTAACCTGAGATGACAATTTTCCTCAAGAGCAGGGACACTTGGTTTTATCCTAATTTGCTTCTACAGATATAACTTTCACAACAATTTAGACATATATTTGGTCACTGTTCTGTTTCTAGAAGAATATAGATACTACATAGGGGTTACCATTTGATTATTACTCTGCAAGATCACTGCAATGCTGGGCAATCAGATATCAATCAGATATCAGAAGCACACCCTTACCTTCTTTTACAAGGTGATCATGAATCAAACCACTCAAAACACCTGCACTGGTCAAACCTGTAAGGAACAAACTAATCTTAAAAAGGGAATTTTTAAGGCATTTCATTTCTTATTTTTTTACCTAGTTTTCTCATATTGAAAGAATTATGAGCATACAAAAAGAATTAACATAGACATTTGTTGTTTCTCAATTACAGAGCCAAGTTAAAAGCAGCTCATTTGAGTTTATAATCCCAGGACGTGACAAGGCCAAACACTCTGCGGTGATAAACTTCCTATTTACAATGGAAAAAATCTTTTAAACACCAGAATAAACAAGAACTTACAATAACAAGAGCTGAAAACAACAAAAGTAGAATTGTAAATTTTAAGGCATCCATAGGCAAAAGCTTCGGTTTACTGGCTAAGCAGCCATTTTTAGACAATTTTCACTTATTTATACTCTCTCTACAAGGTTAATTGTCTACTTCTTAAGTATATGTCAATGAAACTGTGTACAGCAAGGACAACAATCAAAATTGCCTTGCTATTTGATTTATATAGTGTGAGAGGTGACTTTCAAATTATATTAAAAGAGCGTGCATGATGCTCATTTTGTAGAAGAAAACTACAAATGGAAGTTATTACTGACTTGTTCAACAACTCACGTTTATTAACCGGTTATAATCCTTCAGTAGGGTGTACATTATGGATTTTAAACATAATTTATGATTTATCATTACACATGTTCCTTCAAGGTGAATTTATATCAAAAGCCATATCTGTCTGTTCCCCAGAAATACATGAGATGGCTGTGATACAGTACTGCCCGCATATTTTAGAAACATAAAGTTAAGAAATAAAGATACTGATTTTCAAAATAATACCTCATTTTATATATATTTATATCAAAACCTTTACAAAAAACATAACCAAACATTTTGATAAGATAGTGTCAAGATAAAATAAGAGAACTAGGATAGCTTAACTAAAATCCCTCAATTTACCTCCTTTTTCACATCCTGATTCTCGGTAGAACTGGCTCTGTTGTCCGAAACAGTAAAAAAAGTAGCTAGAAACCATACTAAAACATGCTAGAAATGTAAGAGTAACATCTCATTCGCCTTGTCAAGGCTTGCTCTTGTCAAAGGTGGTCTTGTTTTGGACAACCGAGCCCGTTCTACCGAGAATTGGGATGTGAAAAGGGAGGTAAATCAAAGGGTTTTAGTTAGGCTATCTTTGTTCTCTTATTTTATCTTGATAGTGTATATACAGTGCTGGTTGCCAGGTTTAAATGATATGCTTTGTATCAAAATCATAGAGGTCCTGTCTGAGTAGTCAATTGATGATACAAGATTTTCTAATAAGAAACTTTATCCTGATCTGAAGTTTATTTCATTCTATAAACTACTTATATGTGGGACACTACTGTATCCACAAAAATATTTAAACATAAGCCAAATGTTTTCTAGAAGCTCTTTTCACTTTTATACCGAAATATGACAATTCATTGAAGCAACAAGTAGTGGCTGCTGAAGAGCATCATAGGGATGGTGAGGAAGAGTTACTTCCTAATACCGGTTTTACTGTAGTGGTCTTAAATTTCAACGAAAACATGCCTGTATTGAGAAAAACAGCAATTGCTTGAGCAAGACATTTTCTTTGTTCATCTGTAAAGCCTTTGAGAAACAGCAAAACCTTCAAAACAAAATTAGAACAGTTAATTAAACTGCCACTGAAGATTTTACTTTAACAATACTATTTGTACAATTATACAGGAATTGGTGTAGTTTGTAGATTAATCTGAATATTCCTTATTCATGTAAAACAGTATGCAATGAATCAAAACATTTTTAGAATGGCCAAAAAACAAATTTACAGTGAAAGAGCTTAAGGAAATAGTAATGGCAGAAAATAAACTTTGATAACAATGGGTGACATAAAAAAGTAGCCCAAACTTGTAGAGTGTAATAAATTTACAGTAAATTTACAGTGTGATAAACCAGGCTAATCATCACTGTTAAATCTCTGTTAATCTTCCCTGTCCTTCATAGTCACCCCTTACTCTAGAGAAAAACCTCAAAACCTTACCCTCTTGGTCACCCTTCCCTACCTTTGATTTTATTTTGTTGTGTTAGACCTCTCAATAAAAATTCCAGGAGACTTATTGTATTTGAACACATACCAAGTACCTCAACCCACATTATACCTACACACAATACATCTTTATTCTACTTAGATGGTACACAATAGGCATTTAACAGTGAACCTTTTTCAGCTCCTCATCCAGGGATTTTTCCAAATACTTGTACTGTCTAATAAGCCTTGAAAACAACTGCACTGTTGCTTTGATGCCTTCAAGACCATTTTCACTCTTGAAAATGCATATCGATGAAGTTGTGTTATCTCCTCCTTCATTGAAAATTGTTCCACCAGGGGCTTGAAAAAAGAAATTGTTTAACTACTTGTTTTACTGATGTTTTATATCTTGAAGATACTGCAAAGACATTTATGTGCATAAAATCTTTGAAACATAAATTCTAATCAATCTTATCATTGTTGACTTTTGGCATCCACGAGCTGGATTGGAGAAATGAAAATTGTATTTTGGATGCAGGTGACAGTGGTGGCATGTAGTGGTACTAACCATAATAGTTTAGTGCCACTTTTTTCAGTTTTTCTTCAAAATTGTTCTTTCTCTTACTGCATGCACACCTTTGCATAGTGTCACACAGACCTTTGGAATGATGACACATAAGATGCTGTAGGCTTGAAATCCATTCTATTGAATCCCACCCTATTGTGAAACTGTGATCGATTTTTCAAATTCTAGCACTGTTTCTCCATAACTTATTGTTATTATGTATCTTTGGATGATGCCAGTTGCTTTGCATTCACGAAATACTCAGCAGTATTAGTTTCGCATTTCTAGCACTGCCTGCATGCAATGAGTCTTTATCTTTATAAGTTCTGGCGTTTATACTTTTGAACCTCCCTTAATCAATAACAAGAGTTTCTGTAAATTCAGATGAGTTGGATCTAAGAGTTTGACTGCAAAGGTTTCATAGCAATGGAAAGGACTGCAATGGGAGGTTATCGTTGGGGAGTGTCTAAAGGCTCTCGCTCCTTTTAGCACAGAATCGTCTCACACAGGAACAACACCAAAGTTAGAACAAAATAACTGATTGCCTGTGCCCATTTTAAATAACAACCTTGTTATATGTCTGGTATCCAGACTCTGAATACCAAACATGATCGGTGAGGATCTTTGCACTACCAACTTTGGGCAGTGGTAGCAGCAGCAAAAATAGCAGCACCTTTTGACTGAGAGCATGGGGCCGTGAAATACTTATATTCAAATGGTCCAGTCCTGGTAATATTAGGCATGCGATCGCATGTGCACGCCTCCACACACACCTAGAACTCCTGAGGCGTGCTTTCTATCACACGCGCAGTTCCACATTTTGAATGACTATTCTTTTTCTTTTTTGTTTCTTTTAATTTCTTTTGTGTGGGTTATATTGATGGCATTCCCAGAAGCATTTTAACTCTTTACTTCATTTCCATTAGGCCCGGTTTCCATTACTCCGTTATTTCGTTACTCTGTTATTGTATGTCTCTGTTCTCTCTCACCGTTTTTTTCTTATTTTCTTGAACACATTGCCCCGGGCCACTCTCTTTTGGTCAAAACAAAAACGTAGGTGTTTCCATTACTCCATATTTGTACGTTATCATATCCTTAGCTCGAGTTTTTTTTTAAACTGAGATTGAATGACTCTGTTTTTGAATGCCTCTGTCTTCACTGTTCCCAATAAAACAACGCAAATTCAAATGATTCCGTTTTCGGATGACTCCACTTTGAACAGCGTTTTTGAATAACTTTGGTTTGGTATCAAATGACACCGTTTTTGAGCTTATTATTGAAACTCAAATTCGAGTTCTCATACGGAAATGGAGTAATGGCAACAGAGCCAAAAAAACTTGTGTTATTTTTGTTAAATTATTTTGTTTTCAAAAACTTCTTTCCAAAAATTCCACAAAACCTCATACGCTTTTTCAAGCAGTGATACACACATTCTAATACAAAAATGACATCAGGTCTTCATAAAAATCGTAAGGTCTCCATTTTATGGATCGCACATCATCGCAAGTCATTGCACGCCATCGCACGCCTAAACTTTTCAAGGTGTGCGATTACCAAACTTCATATTACCAGGACTGAATGGTCTATCTTTGACCTCCAATAAACTGCACTCCTTTGTGTAGCCTCTAGAAAGGTCATGCCAATGTGACCCCTTTTGTCTTGGCCTTGACCGTACTAGAGTTTCTCACAAACTCTTGTGTCAAATATTGTAATCATATTTCACTGACTAATAATCAGTGTCACAATGAACAATTTTCTCATAAATAACACTGCAACAGATTGTATCACTAAAATGTCATAGATTCAGACACTGTGTAAACAGATTGTGTTTATTCATTTTTGGAACTTTTGAATTAATGAATCTTGTTTCTTTTATCATAAATGTTAAATTAGGGCATGGTCTGCAGCATGTCAGAATCATATTCTGTAGACTAGTACCAACTACTTTTGGTACGTGACACAACTGGTATTTTGTTTGACCAATAAGTGAACAACAAATCAAGTATTTTGTTTTTGAAAAATGTTCTTGAAAGTCGTGCTACAGTGTTTTTTAGCATAAATGGATTAAATAATTTTTTTAAAGCAAGTTAACTTACCAAGCATGCCCCCAGCTATAAGAATGTCAAGGAGTGTCTCTGCATAGGTGCGATAGTTGAGTTTACTACCAGAGGCAACTAGAAATTTTGAGGCCTAGATGCAAGGACAAGAAACTGGTGAAAGGATTGTTTCATGGCATTCTCATTTTTCCTAAAAAGTAGTTTTGCAAATATGTTAAGAAGAAACCTTTGTCTTTTAAAGGTGTGGACTAATTTTATATAATTTATATCTTCAATTATTCTTCACATCATAGCAAACAAAAGCAACCCATCAACTTGTCTACTGCTCAAGAATTGGTAATTAAGTTTGTCATATCTAGCTTACTTGTTCAAGGTCTCCTTTAGCTTCATTCAACCCTGATATTATTTGCTCTGCAAAAGTACCAGGGTCATACTTCTCTTTCTCATCTGCAATATAATATTGTTTGATATGTAAAGACAAAAAATTTGTCACGCTAATCTCATGTTTCACCACATTCAATTATGAGATGAAAAGTTGTATATCAGAACTTCAAGGAAAATACATTGAAGCATGTTTTGGCTAATTTCAGAAGGTTATACAGAATAAGACAGATGCAATAGAGCATGATTTATCTTAATTTTCTAAAAAGCAAATTTCTGGCCATGGAAATATTCAAATTAATTTTTCTTTGTTAATATTCTGATTTATCTACAAATACCTCACCTAGAAATAAAAAAGAGAGCTGTTTACTGCTCCCCTGATAAAATTCTTATGGCCAGGCCTGGTGCTATACATCAATCATTAATTTTATATATACATAAGAAAAGACTTAATGTTACAATAACAAACATAGCTGTATAAATACGCTTCAATTGTGCATCAATAGGGATTGATGTTTGAAAACATACATTTTTTCTCATATTATCTTACGCTATCAACTGAAAAACAAACCTCTTTTGCGGGTTTTTATCCGCTGCCCACTGAGCGTTGGCTTTTGTTGCTTTTGACTCATATAACTACCTTAATATAATGAAAAGATTTAAGGTAAATTCCATCGAGCGGATGAAGGGAAGGGAATGATAAGGCTTGCAAAAGACCATTCAAAAATTATATAGGCTTACTTACATTGAAAAGGGTAGAAGTGGAAACCTCAAAAGCATATTAAAAACACAGATGGTTGTTTGAATAACTTGGCTTTTACATGAGTCTTATGGTAAAACCTTTGCCTTTTCTATTTGCAGTTTATGTTGAAGGACCAGGAGCATTGTGACCGGGGGAAAGGGGGGGGGCTGTGGCCCCCTTCTGCTTTCAGAATTTGGCAGATTTTTGTAAATCATTGTTATGTCGGGAAAATTCTTAAACTTGAGCTGTGAGCAAAAAGGAGAAGTGGAACAAACCTTCAAGCGACATAAATTACTTAGATTAAAATACTCGTCGTATTATCGAGAAGCAATTCACTTTTGTAAAGAAAATTAGGTTTCCACAAAACAAAATGATTTCTCAGGATTTACTGATTTCTACCATAGAGTGATTTGCTGCTCAGATTTCAGTTAAAATCAGTTAAAATCAGAATCTTCAAAGGCCACATTTGGTTATGGAAATTTGCAATATTGGTCATAAGTTATATCTTTTTTTGATATTGAAGACCAGGACAGTGCCTATTTTGTGCTTATCACCAGATTTGAAAATTTTGTCCCAGGTTCAAAAAATTAATGCAGTTATGTTGCATAATGCAAAACAAGGAAAAAGTCAATCAATACTACTGCTTTCTGCCAGTAGATCTTTATTTTGAGAATAAAAGTTTATTATTAAAATTTGCTTCAAAGAAAGCATGCAATTTCCAGCGAACTTGAAGCTTAAGATTGTGAAAAATTTTGACCTTTGGTGGCAACTTTCACAGTAAATATGAAGAAACAGAGACAAAATAAAAAAGTGCATCTTAAATATCTCTCCAGCTAAGGCAAAGGTTACGTGTTTTTCTCTCCCCTCTTACACTAACATAAAATACATCTATTTGATTAAAATAAATCAAAGAAATATTGTTAGAAAATTTTTCTTTCTAGCCCCCTCTAGAATTTTTCGCCATGACGCCTCTGTAAAGGACATGATCAAGTGGTTAAGTAAAAAATTTTGAGGAAAGCACAAATCTTTCACTACAGACAAAAATGTTGACGGAAACATGACAACGGAAACATAGCATAAAAAACAACTACACCTGCGGCAATTTATTAGTTTTGACGTATAGTTTGCCTGCGTTTCAGTTGTGGGTAAATTAACTTATACTTCTGCACGTCGTGTGTCGTGGTTAGGTTGTACAGTTGTAGTAGGCCGTAAGGCAACCAGCCAAATCAAAATCGTCGGTTTAAAATGGGTGCGATCAGAAACTGAACACTGTCACCAAATAAAAACCAATAACATATCATTCATATTTTCATTTAATATCATACCTGTGTAGACGATTTTCGTTCTGGCTTAACAGGATTCTTTTTCGCGTATATTCTGGTTGCAGGAGGGCTCAACTTCAGATCACCCTTCAAGAAGAGACTGATTTTGCGCGTGCGCAAGTATGAGCACCGTGTGTCCCGCGGTTATACGGGACAGAAAACAAAAGAGAGATTTGAAGCGGCCGGGAGATTTGAAAATGGAGTGCGTGACAGGTTTTCTAGAAGAAAGGCCGTGCCCTCCACTTCAGTTCAGTTAAGGTAAAGATAGTCATCCTAATAAATTATAGAACTACAAATACATGACAGTATTCAATCTCGTGCCCAATTTGGTCTTCTTAAGCACCATATTTAGCAGAAGTCGGATCAAAGTCAGGTTTCTCCCCACCTGATTGCTGAGCAAATTCGGGACTAGATATCATGATACTGATTCTTACCTGACTACTGAATAATACATCCAATTTTAGAATTTTCGCTAGCTGTAAGCGTCGGGATTATGAAATTGTCTCGGTTACATCTCTGTCCGAGGAGTTTGATATAAACATACAACACAGCAGGTAAGAATTAAGATATGATATTTGAAATTGTTATACCGATGTAAAAATATAATTTTGCATAATTTTAAATAAAGCTCTAAAGATTTATAGCCATTTCATGTTTCTTTCTGGTAAAATGATTTCATTTCCTATAAATCAAAGAATCTTAATCGCTATCGCTTCGTCATTTTGTTCACATGTCGTCAGATCTAAACCTCGTTTTCAAGATTCTTTTCTACATTTGCCTCGAATTAGAACAATTTGAACAACGAAGAAACGACAAAGATGTCCGCGAACATTTATCATCCATCTAGAGGGGGTGTTCGTGGCGGAAAAGATCAGTTCAATTGGGAAGATGTTAAATCTGACAAGGACAGAGAAAACTATCTTGGTATGTGCGATTCTAATTGAAGTCACAGACCGTCTCATATCATATAAGAACAGGCCAGTCTGCACACACAAGATATTTTCAGAGGCTTGTCTAATGCACACAAAAACATAGGGCTGCACACACATTTTTCTGGGTACTGGAAAATTTTTAAGGACCACCCTTTTTATAAACGTTGCTTTCCTATCTTGGTCTAAACAAAATTTTCTTTGAAATTTTGAAATGCTGATGAATTGGGATTTCAGTATTCATAAAACAACTTTAACTTGTGTTGGTCAGCATCAGAACCATCTGATTGTCACAAGTTGAAAAAGTTGCAGTTTATAATTAAATTAGAAAACATGTACCACTTTTGCAATGTGCATTTTGTGAGCAGATTGAGTTTCTCTAGATGATACTCTCCTCCTGATTTGAAAAGCTCTGGCAAGTAAACGCATTGAATGAAATATGACGCACAGCTTTTTAAGGTTAAGGCTGAGTTCCACCCAGTGATTTTTGTTACACGCTCGACTTTTTGTGATTGCTCACATGGATGAGCATGCATGTAACAATGTTTTTCTGTGCGCAATAGCACAAAAAAGTAGGAGTCCACCCTACTTTTTTCGATTGATGGGATTATCACTAGCCAATCAAAATCCTCAAAAACCATGCCAAGACGAGCCAGTCCAACACAAAAACAACAAAAAGTTCTCAGTTGACAGTCAACATGATGGTGTTGTAAATTACAATAGAGCAACTTCTTCTTTTTAAAATTTTCAAGGGCACACCCTATAGATAAACTTCAAATGGCCTTGTGTCAAAATGGCCTTCAAAATGGTCAAAATTTTGTGGAATGCTTAAAAGTGCTTTGCAGGAAATATTGCTGTGCACACATTGTGAGGCAAATTGACAAATACTTTGCACATTAGAAGCTTGCTGCACACATTGGATAAAAACTGATAGTAGAATATGTTGGCTTAGACCAAAAATTGTGTTCTTCTCCTAATTTCATTCAATTTGGAGGCTGAAATATATTTGTAAAGTTTAGAGATATGCTAAAATTTTTAAATGAAACAATAAATTACATGAAACTGAATGAGAGCTTTTTGGTCATCTTTTCCACAAATAGTCTTATGATCAATTTATTGAGTGTATTTTAAAGCCATCACAATTATCTAACAACCACAATAGAATTGATAGATGAATAAAACAAATGGGCCAATTAATATGTCAATTTTGATATGAAGTATAAAAAGCTATAATAATGGATAGGCCTAATTGCAAAATGTTTACTGCAAATTTAGACCAAAAAAGTACCTTGCAAAATCAGTTTAGCCATCTACTAAAACATGTTTCCATATACATATGGTAAATATCCACATGATTGGATCATCCTTACAAAATCTAGCAAACAAGGGTTTTGAATGAAAGAATTTGATCTTGTGCATTTTCAAATACATGAAAGGTTATTATAAAGAATAAACTATTCATCTATCAGGATCAGCAGCATGCTTGATTTATCTCTGGTCATTTTATTAAACAGGTACTTTCAACTACAAAGAGCTTTGTGTGTCAGTTTGACTTTAGTTGTGTTTCAAAACAGTGTTATTGCATGTGATAATTAATGAAAAATTGAAAAATAAATTGATGAAAGTTTTGGCATATCTATTACTATTACTAACAATGCTCTTGAAGGGCTTTACAGTTTCTGAATATGCTACTAAATGTTTGGAAAGTTTCAGCTAAAATTCTGTTGGTTTGGTAAATAACATTGCTATCTTCTCCATCCACCCATCTCAATTGAACAGCACTAGATCTTGACAGCACTGAAAAAATAGATTACTGGATAGGCTGAGAGTTTGGTTTGGTTGCATAAAATGATCCTGCTCACTGATTTATGTCCCAACATAGAGCATCATTATTGATACCGAGGACCAAAAAAGTATTTTTTGTGCCTTTCTCTTCTCCACATATAGAACAACACCATTCAAGCTGAAATATCCTGCCATTGTCGTAAAAGTTCTAGGGATCCGCATGAGTAGTTACTGCTTGACAATAAGCTTTTGGTTGCATTTTACTTACAGAGCATTACCTCCCATCTCATGGAACTAGCCACAGCAGTGCTGCCATCATTGATAAATGCTGCCTCGCATTCTCATTGACAAAGTAACACAAGATGGTTCTGATGATTATAATGATGGTCATTCCCTCTGGAAATGGCATGACTAGCCTTTGTTCTCTCCTGCGTCACTCCTATTGTTTGGCATGACCAAACATAGTGAACCAGTGTTATAGGCATAGGGTTTGGTCATGCTCATAGCTATGGGCATGACTAAATTGGAAACCCTCTGTTTTAGTCCTGCCCGACAATGGAAGAGTGCCTTCGGAGGGCTCCATATTCTTGCGTAGAAACAAAGGGCTCCAAAGGCGAATGCCCTTGAGCTATTACATCAGGAGCAAAGGACTTTATTTTTATGAAAAGTAAATATTTTGAAAAATGTTATCTCTGCAAATAGATGATCATGCCCAGCATGACCGCTAGCTACACCATTGCATATGAATATGATGTAAAATATACAGAATGCAGCAGGCTAGAACTGCAACTAAGGTAGTTTGAATTCTAAATATATCAGGATATTTTGGAATGCAGTATCAAAAACGACTTTGAATGCAGTATCTTATATGTTGGACCCTTAACCAATGAATGTTGGAGTAAGAATGAGCTCTGATTACAAAAAGCTATTGTGAAAAATATAATTTGGAATGAAATTAATTGCTTGCCTAGAGGACATTTATAAGCAATCTTGTGCCTATGCAAAAAGCAAACCATTGTTGTATTGAATTAACTGCAAAAAGTATGTTTCTATGTTTTCCTGGCAGATTCTAATGGTATGTCATAATCATTGAAAATGTGTTTATTTCTTATTTTATAAAAGCAGGATCAACAGTTGTGACTGGTGTCTGGAGAGAAACAAATGAACAAAATCTCTATAATAAAAGTCTTTACCAAAGATGCTCAGATGCTTGTGTAACTTTTTCAACTTGAAAAAAGGTTCTTTTCCTTTTGGCAACTAAACTAAAAGCCAACTACAAGAACATTTTATTGTAGTCTTCAATGCAAATTTGACAATGAAATAACTTTCCATAAGACAAGGCTCTTCACAAAAAAACTAGCAGAGCCTCTTGAATGGAATATGTTTGATTAAAAATTTTGAATTTCTGGTATGAGAGCAATGCTCTAACGTTATTGCTAATGTGTCTATAAACCATTTGGAGTATTTGATGTCCTTGGTGTAAAGTAACTAACATTGCTTAGAGTTGAATTGTGTTGAAAGATCACAAATATACATTAAATTGAAATACAAAAGATGCTTTTCTTCCTACACTGTCCCTTGTATGTTCATAGATGCACTGATCTTGTTGGTCTACTTTTATACCTTCATAAATTATGCTAATAAACATTGATTCAAAATATTTGCTTAATGTGCTTCTGTACACTACCCAAAAATATAACTAAACTGATAATCAAATTATCCTAGAGGCAAATATAGCATAAACAAGGCATGATGTAGGCTTAGCTAGGTTGCTCCAAGGGATTCTGCATGTTGGGTTGTCGTTTTTGTAGGCATGGGACTGCTATTCTGCTGCTTGGTATAATTTGGCATTTTTAGTCTTCAGAAACATAAAGACTATGAAACACAGATATAGCCATTTCAGCATTTAAATGGTTTTCAATATTTGTCTTCAAAGCCATTAGTTTAAGAAACAGTATGGAAAATGAATTATTATTTGGGAAATGTTTCACCCACCCTGTTTATTAAACAGATTCCAGAGTAAAATCTGTTTGTCTGTTTTAGATTTGAGCACTTGCCTTTATCAAGATTTATAGAAATCGATCTAAAAAATGTAGAAAATCAAATGAAATCTGATGAGAAAAGTTTTTGGAAAAGATAATCGTAAAAGTTGTTTGCTTTCATGTAGTCTTTCATTGTAAAGCTTTATGGAGTTTTTTTATTGTAAAGTAGATTGTGAGTTTTTTTGAGTAATTATAGCTAGGAAAAAAATTGAATTTCAGAAGTGTTTGAAGTAGAACAATTTTTTTGAATGTTAATCTTCTTGTGTGCCAAAACTGTTCCAACTGTTAAAGATTCTTTGAACTATTTTCAATTTTTGTTATCCCTCCATTTTTAGGTCATTCTTTGAAAGCACCAGTAGGTAGATGGCAAAAAGGAAAAGATCTTGTATGGTAATTTTTATTTACAATCAACTCATAGACGACTATTTTGTTGTTTACCTTTCTTACAAATTTTATTTTTTTTTTAATTTCTTAGTTTTTTTAACTCTTGCCTGATGAAAAAGCAAGAAACTTGATTTGCATTTAAAAGTGTCCTGTTCCTCATTGCTAGCTGATTCACAACAACAACAAATTTTGATTGATCCTTTGAAGGCTGAATACAAAATGTTTTAACTAGATTTTATGTTTTTTTATTAAAAAGGTACACCAAAGATAAGGAAGATGGGATTTCAGAAGAAGATAGAAGAAAAAAGGTGTGTTTTTTAAAAAAGATAATTTGCAATGAAATTTAAAAATCAAAATACTTTTTGACAAAAATACAACTTTTTTGAACTTTAAGCTTCATGGCCATGTTTGATGTTGTTTCAATTCTGTTTCTCAACTGATTTCAGGAACATAACATTACTTACTTGGACCTTTTATTGATTCCATAAGGAGTATTTATTGGTTTTTGAATTATTTGGTTCCACACAGTAAATGCAAAATGCATCCATAATTCTTTTCATGGTTGACCTCATTCTACAACTGTCTATTTCCTTCACAATTCCTCTCACGTTTGTTTTCTGAATTGTGTAAGGCAAGGAAGCTCTACGTGTGAAAACTGTTTTTCCAAATTTGTAAGCAAATATCTAAAAATTATAAACAGTATTCAAAAGTTGCAAACTAAGTCTGTTCTACTTGGAGTAAAATCGCCGACAAGCATTTCAGAATCCAGGTTTTTTAAGGATTGAAGCACTTTTGCATTTTAATTTCTATTTTATCTGGAATGTCTAAAGAATGCGAAGGACTTTTCTATGTAAACCCAAAAAACGAGGGAATATTGTGAAACATTCAGTAACCTTACAAACGAGTGCGAGCAGAAAATGTTTGCGACAACGATTAGCTTAAAAACATTTCAGAACGTCTTAATTTTGTTTGAAAGATCAACAGTCTTGGCTAAACCACTGGTTATGTTTCGGCTAAACCACTGGTTAATCAACATTGTCTGTGCAAAGAAATCAACAGTGAGCTGCCCGCGGATCTAATCCTTTTTTATGTCGCGTTTGTCTGGAAACACAGATGCCTGATAACTACGAGGCTCTTACGCAACTTCTTGCTGGGCTGCTGAGCTTGAGATCAACGTCTTTGTATCTGCATTTCAATGTTCGTCTTATTTTTCTGTTTTTCTGTCCTACAATGTTTATTAATTATGCTATTCATGCTTTTTGATTTATACCAACTGTTATGTTAATCAAATCATATTGTTTTATATCGAATCATTGAAATTCTGTTGCACACATACGTCAAAATGCAACGATTTCACGTGTCTCTGAAATGATACATTTCCTTTTCAACATAATATGCTCTAAATTGCTACATACACGCAATTGGCTGCTTCAGTACACTCGAGTATGTAAGCGGTACATTCAGTTTATTAAATGCTTTTTCGACATCTAAGTGCAAACCCCGCGTATTTTATTATTGGGTTGGGTTTATATTTCTGCAACTTATTTTTGTTTCATCTACGAGCACAATCTGATCAAAAAGAGATATACTTTTTTGACTAAAGTAAATTAGGTGCCGTTATTGTTAAAGTTATCATATTATAAGGCAAGCTTAAATTTGATTTTCAAGGAACTACAAGGCGTCAGAGATTTGGAAGCCCAAGCAATGGCTGAAGCTTTGTAAGTATTACAATCATAAAAAACCACTGAGATTTTTACACTCTGCATAGAATGCTTTGTGGAAGGAGCTGCAAAGTAACTGTCTGCACTCAATGTCTGCTTTCCTGTAAAGTGACAACGCCCATTTTCTACCGCAATGCATATAACAAGTCGGTTGTGCTACAGCAGTTTTTATTTAGCTCCAGCAGAATACTTGAGTTTTTTTAAAAATTCCTCTCAAAGTCACCGCTTTAATAATGTTTTGAGTTCTTAACAATATCTTAATTGCAATATTGGGACAAGGTACTTATTAGTTGTGGCCTTATAGAACCTTTTTTACCCTAATAAAATATTTCTAAACTTTAAAAGCGAACTTTAAGAGAGAGTTTATTTTTAACGTAATTGTAATATTTTTTGAAATACCAAATGCTTTATTGTCAAGATAGTCTAATTCCTCTTTATCTATCCTTCCTTTCCACAGGGGTTTTAAGGTACCACCCTACCCCGTTACAAAGGTAAGCGAACTCAAGTCTTTCTCCTTACTCATCTTTCAATCTTCAACTCTCAAGAATATATTTCTGTACGAATGACCCTTTGCTGCAACAGATAAGTTGCAAATGTTGTTTGCTGTACTTTGCGTTATCGACCTAAAGCTTTTGCGACTAACGAAATTTTCATGGTTTGTTTATTTACCATCTTTCTGTACGGCAAATTAAATTCAACGCTCTATGTGGTAGTGAAATTGTTGCTCTCTCAAGAGCTAATTGGTTTAACTGAGGGAGGCGTTTAATGGAAGATGCTTTGAAATCTTGTTTTATGAATATTGTTACATTGCTAGGCGTTTTAAGATGGTGAAAAGATTTAAAACCGCGTAAATTCTATAATCTCTATGATATCAACAACAATAACAACAACAACAACAACATCAACAAGCTATTTATAAGCTCCTTAATAACTTTTTGTATAACTTTTTGCCAAAATCCTTCGAAGTTACAAACCTAAAAATAAACAAAAACATGACAGGAGGTAGCTCCTTGCGCCTAACATAGAAACATATTACTATTTAGGTAAACCATTAATTGGATTAGTTTCCAATAGCTTGCACCAGCACCCCAACTTTAAAAATTTGCCAATGAATATTTTTAAGCTTCTTAGCCCTGTATTCATCTTCCTTCCATTTTTCATTGCGATTGACATCTCAAGGCAATTCTCCTTAATCAGTTCTTAATCCGCCCTTTTGTTGGCACACATTTTGCTGACCGTCGATAGTGAAGTAATCTATTCAAAATGAGCAGTCCAGCAATGCTGGAACTATTCAATTCGATATCTCTAATCATTTCATTCAAAAACTGTAGGCTGACGATAAGGTTCAAGATAGCATCAAAAGTTCTGAAGGTCAGCGCGATCGGTAGGTTTTTGGCTTTTTTTCGTACAAATTTTGTGATGATGCCATTAGAAGTTCAACCCATTTTCAAAATACTGTACGCAACTACCATTTCCAAATGTGGTACACAGCTCCAATTTACAGATGCCGAAATGCTTTTGCCAAGTGTTGAACTAGTCATTTGAGCAATTTATTCAATTATAGTGTAGTTCAACTACATTTAAGGTACGTCAAAAGTTTGACCCGAACCAAATTAGGTCTTGAAAAAGCACTTCGCAAGCTTTGTGTAAAATCTTTTGCGATTTTGGAGCTTTTAGATTGTTGCAATCGAAGGCGCTAACACCACAGGAAATCGAAAGAGTACATGTTGAAAACTTGTTATCGAAATTTGTTCTCCATAAAGCTTTTTCTGTGTTTGCTGTGTGCGATCTTTGCAGCCGTTTATTTGCAGGTGAATTTACATTGTTCGGTGTTTTTAGGGAATCGAGAAAGAAAAGTAAACGTAAGAAGGATAAAAAAGACAAGAAAAGTAAGAAGAAAAAGCGAAGATATGAATCAAGTGATCATGAAGATAGTGAAGAAGATCTGGTTGCAAGAGCTACTATGGGGCGTCATGAAGAAAAAGACAAATACGGTGATGATAATTATTTATCAAAAAAGAAAAAACGTATAGATGATTGGAAGGACCCACATGGCAGGGATTCTGAAGAGAAACATAAGAGACGAAGAGATGATTACGATAATCGTAACAGATACAAGGAACGGTACACCAAGGACAGTAGATCAGATGATGACAGGAAAGAGGAAAGAGAACATAGGGCTGAAAAAGTGAATCGAAACGTTCGCCAGGATAATGGTTTTTATAAACGGGACTCTAATAGAAGTGATCGCAGGCGTTATGATGGAGAGTGATGTATTGTGTATGATGTATAATGTAAAGATGCAAAGTAGTTTTAGAAAGAACGAAATCGTCGATATAAAGTGAAGTAACGTATAAGAACGTTGCTCTTAGCCGTTTCCAAAGTCCTTTGATAGAATCAGATCTCTTTTCCTTTATTTGCTTTAAGAATATTATGTAAGATTTCTTGCTAAGTCGTACAAAAGTGTTGAAGTAATCGTGAATGGTTTAGCTCGCTTAAAGACTACTTGCATTTACACAGTGTATTTAAAGCAAGGCATGTTCGATTATAATGCCCTACTTTAAATAGCTCTTTGTAGTGCAGATCTACAAATGAGGGAAGATCAGAAACGACTCATTAGACGGAATTGGTTGAGCTTTACAGATGATCTAGAGAGCAGTGTTCAGCAGAGTCTGAAATGATGATTTTTGCATCAATGATGATTAGCCCGTTTTGAAAGAATGCCAAATTAAGCAATAGAAGGCCCATTTTTATCGGTTTGCTGAAAGTCAACGCTACCTTCCCCTTTTGGTTCCGTGTACTATTATCTTGCAAACGAAATCCTCTTTAATCTTAGTCAACGATCTCCAATACTTCATGATACACTATGTTGATGAAATAAAGCAAACGTACATCACCTAACGAATGTTCGAGCTGTGCTCTACAGAACAGCTCCAAAGACGCCAGTAAAAAAAGCATGGAATCTAAAAGCAAACCAACTAAGAAGTATGCCCAATGATTCTTGCTTAACGTCACAAAGCAAGGACAAACTGTGAGATTTACGTACATTTCATTTCAATGTTTGAATTTACGTACGATTTCGTTTCTTCGAAACAGCTCACCATTGTGCATCTGGTCATAAATTAGTTATTATTCTCGTTTTTTGACTCATTCTAAAAATAATTGACCAAGTCATTCGTTTTTGATAGATTTTTATTAATATTTTAACACAGCTAGCGATGGGTTGTTTCTATGCACAAATGACGTCTTTTTGCTTTTTACTCAAAATTGCTGTTTTTAAGAAATGTTTTAATACAATTTTGAAAATAGGTTACTTCAAAAGCACATTATTTCATAAAGACAATAACTTTCATTTTGTACTGCCTTCTCTCTGCCAATTGGTTCAAGATCCGGTCAAATTAGTACTAGTGAGTTTTGAAACCAAAGGCAGAAAATTAACGATCTTCAAAGAAAAGTAACTCGTTGGCTACTTATTTGCCCAGCCTACTCTCAGATGAGTTGTCAATAACTTCCAGTAGTGACAGAACAATAGACAATGAGTGTTTCCATCACAAATCACGTAAAAGTGGAAATAGGCCATCAGTTTCTAAACTGATCTGCTATGCCCTGCAAGTATCACGGTCTATTTATTCTTGTGATATATTCAGTCAATTAGAATTTACCACAGTGGGATATGGAATAGTAATTGCTTCTTGCTTTGCTTGCTACCTGCCCTGACACCTGTCAAATGACCACAAGCCATGGCCGGCAGTTTACTTCTCTCAATACCTATTCAGAGCTGTAATTCAACTCCTTTCTAACACGAGATGATGACGTTGTGAATAAAACATGATAAGGATATTCATAATCAATTTGTTCCCTTCAAATTGTTCCAAGAAAATGGTTGCTACTGTGGTAAACAGGAAGACCATAATTTATTCTAGTTTACTAAATTCAAGCAAAATGTTTTTTCGTTGGCTTCAACAATCTCGGACAAAATTGTTGAGAGAAAATGCATTTTTTGCAATTTTCCACTTTACGTCACCCCGGTAAATTCGAGTACTAGGGTTCCAACTGCGCATTGAGCTTCTAGGGTTCCAACTGCCGTATTGAGCTTCTAAAAAACTTAAAGGCTTTGGCAAACGAGTTTCTCTTAAAAACTGGAGTAACCTAACCGGCCTTTTCACGAGAAATCACTTCAACAAAACTCTGGCCTGCGTGCAGACTTGCTTTCCTTCTCCTTCGCAATGGAAAATAAAATTTGCACGCCGGCTACGAAAATTGCTTCCCGCCCGCGTAGATATCATCACAAAAGCTGGCTATGGTTTCGTAATCGCGTTTGCAAACGTTGCCTAGTGACTTCGCTCTACTGAAAAGTGATTTTGTTTTTAACCGTCTGGCGAAGAATAACATTTTTCAGAGAAACAACGCTTTGTATTATGCCTATTGTTTTTAGTCTTATTGTTCAAGCCCATTTTGCCACCAGAAAAAGATTCTGCAATTTACCACCGAAACTATTCTTTGATAATGCGTTTTCTCGTTTAACTGGCCTACAAAATTCTAGTGTCTTGTGTATCCAGATACTTTTAGGAAATTATCATTTGCAGTGAAATGGATAAACTCTGCTGAATCGGAAGCTATGGATATTGTTCAAATGCTACGCGTATTATCCTTACTGAATGCTGCCGCAGTTGCCGGTTTGTTTTGACTCACTTTCATAACTTCTAGGCCAGTTTTGTTCTAGCTTTGTGTTCTCTAGCGAAATTCTTGCAGTGTTAGACTTTAAAAGTAGACGAGTAATAATGCACTAATTTGCACAAGCTTAGAATACATGGTTCTGCTAAAGATAGATCGCCATTCTGCATTGTTTTGCTTTTACAAAATAAACTGCAGCTGAAATTCTGCTCAAGATAAGAGGTTTACATTCCTGCAGTAACCATGTATTTACATGAAGTATCAAGGGTAATCATATCCCTTTCCTAGCTGCTTGCAACTATAACCTAAATGTGGTTTTATTGCTTCCTATCATGGCTCATAGACAAACTGCACTTGCTGAGGATTATGTAGGTTCTTTAGCGGCCTTTAAGTTTGCATCAATATTCTTGCTATTGATATTGCATATTGCCTTTAGAGCCCGCTCGCCGCAAAGTCCCGGTCTTATTTACCTGTTCATGGGGCACAGGCATATAACCGCTTTTAAAATTTGCCAGTTTGCAGAGTATGGCCAACTTTGTCAAAGTAATGGGTACTCAAAAATTCTCGCACGTCGGGTGCGAGTGCGCAAAAATCATCCAAAAATACCAGTTGCGCCAGCACCGGTCAGCACCCTATATCAACTTTACTGTTAGTAAATCTAGATTTTAGGTACATTATCGTCCTGCTCTGCATACTGAAAAAAATGGCTTTTCCGCTTTGAAGCTTGCAATCATAGCTGTAGTGACTCCCCCTTTCGAAAAGTTACTTTTCAAAAACGAAAAACAATCTTTGGTTGCTGCATCAGCGAATATTCAGTCTTGTTGGTAAATAAAAAGGATGGTGCACCCAGTTTGTCGGCAAATGGTACCTAAACACCCACCCCCCTCCCCAGAAAGCAATAACTAATGACTCCCCTGCTTTTAATTTCAAAGTACATTTCATAGCAAACGTAATGATTCATGTAAGCAGAGTAAAATCATTTGTTGTTCGAATGCCTTGTTCTCATACTGTTTGTTCATCAAAGTCTGAAAAAGAAGTTAAGAGCCTCACTAGAAAAAATTATAGTCATATTTTTTTGATTGGTAAATTCTTACAATTATACTTTTGATAATTTTATAACACTGTGAGAATTTGAATTAAGCAGCAGCCGAACAAATTATGTGTTTGGGGAAGAAAATTGCCGTTCAAAAATTGACTCATACGAAGTTGCAGTGAACAGAAGCCGTCTTAACAAACTCTTTCATCGAGAATAAAGACGAAAGCAATAAATACTTAAAAGAGAATGAAGCACTTAATAGATATCTCACTGACGAAAAAGCTAACAAAGAATGTCATACTCAATCTCTGTTACTGCAAGGAGACTTCTTACTGGGGAATTCAGCTGCTTCGTTTGCATAGACAGCAAAGCCAGAGATATCCATTAACTACCTTCCATATCCTATAATACTCTTTGTAACACGCAAGCACTGAAATGTCTTTTCTTGTAAATTGTAAATGTATTTAATAAAATTACAAAAGAATGTGACCACCAAGAACTCACATTTGGAGTTTGTTCCAAGAACAGGAAGCTCCAGTCACTGCTCATTCGCCCTTGAAATCTCAGTTTTAAATCAAGACAATAAGCTTTTGGGCTTTTGATTGTGTAGAAAACTTTTTTTATCAGAAAGCATTTTACTAGAGCGTCATTTTCGCTTTCTGCCACCTCAAAGGAGGCTTTTTTAATGAACAAAATAAATACTAGGCTCGATTGTCTTACTATGAACCCTTAACATTAGAATCGCTGCTTATTCTGTTAAAATTGTTGCTAAGGTCCTTTTTCAAAGTTACCAACGAAACCGTCTCATTCCTAAAATACTGATCCTGTTTTATGCTTACAAGAAAGCAAAATTACAACTTCTACTGTATTTGGAGTTGGATCTTGTAGTGGGGCTTGTATGATCAACCAAAAAATTATTTGAAAAATTGCATGCAAGACAATTCATTCGTAACACATTTTATAGAATTGATATTAATACAAAAAAGATACTATTCAAAATTTTTCAGTCTCACCAACTTTCTTTGCAGGAACGACATGTGTTGAACCATGCCTGTACTATGCGGAAAGGGATGCCATAAAAAGGGTTCAATTGCAAAACAGCACGGGCACGGCAGCGAGTGGCACCCCAATCCAAACAATATACCAAGGTGGAAGAGGTATCAATGTCTTAGCTCTGGATCATTCTGGTGGGCGGATCTTCTGGTATGATTATGGCAGTAGAATGATTTACAGAGGTTATCAAAATGGCACTGGTGTTATGCAGCTCATTAAGTATGGAGTAAGTTTCTGTGAAGGAATTGCATTCGACTGGACTGCAAACAATATTTATTGGACGGACAGCTGGCACGACTGGATTGAAGTGGCAAAGGCTGATGGAAAGCATCGAAAAGTCTTAATCAGTGGAGGCATGGAGCAACCACGTGGCATTATTGTTGCCCCAAACGACGGGTAGGAATTGATTGCCTTAATACCACTGTGAATATGCTTTCCCCCAAACATGGTGGCTAAATTTTTGATTTTGAAATAGCAATGAAACAAGCAATGATGCTATGCTGAAATAATTCTCGTCCAGTAAGCATTCTAAATACTTTTTCGAAAGTTAATGAGAAAATTGTCAAAAATCTACTTGGACCATACTTAGACTGATGTCTTTTACATTTTATTGCTGCATACAGATATAGCAGGCAGCATGTTTATTCGACTTGTGGAAGTTGGTACAGTGTTGTGGATCTTTCAAAGATTTTTAACTGTGTGCCCTATGATCTGCACACAGATAAACTATTTGCATATTTGTTCTAATTTAAACCAGCGAGAGCAAGCTGTTAAGATAACGAAGGCTCATAGTGCCTTTCGGTGGTACCTCAGGGATCTGTCTTAAGACCCATACTTTTTAAAATATACACATAGGAACTTTTCCTTGCTTATCAAGTACGTAACCCCGCATAATTGGGCTGGAGAAGTCATTTGTCTTATTTCTCTAAAAATTTAATGACTTTGTTACAAATGTGGAATCTGATACAGTCGTAGTTCTAAAATAGTTAACAGATAATGCAATTTTCGCGAATCCTGAAAAATTCATGCCATCGCTGTTTCCAAAGACAGAAAAGATACCTCGGACATCAAATTATCTTTTGATTGAAACGATGTTCTGCGTGAATGTTCAGTTACGCTTCCAGTTTGACAGCATATTAGATTTTGAGACCCATGAATCAAACTTTTACAGACAGAAAGTATTCGCAATTTAATGTATTTTAAACAATGAGGTCTTTCATTGGCTTTCAGGCCGATCTTAAAAAGTCTAAGAGTTGATTTCTTGTACAAAGTTTTGTTTTCTAAAATACCATTTCACCCTCAAGACTATCGCATAAAATTGGGAAAATTTTAGACAACTTTTTGATCAAGCAACATTGGATCCCGTGGACACAAGATTTGAAAAGATTTCCTTTCAACTTTTATATCAGAGAAAAACTTTGAATATATTACAAGAATGATAAGATATTGGGATTGGGTAATCAATGCAATTGCTAAGGATCTTGAAATTATCAAGGACCTCATTACCAATTACTACTATCAGTCGATTTAGATTGAAATGAAATCACTCGACGAGGGTTCGTTTACATCTAGTCAGCCAAAATGAAATTTTATCTTTAAAATCTCATTGAAATATAATTACACACAAAGTAAGCCTTCTGAAGATTGGTTTTCTTTCAGGTACCTCTTTTGGACAGAGTTTGGAAAGAAACCACGAATAGAGCGGGCAAATCTAGACGGGACTGCCCGCCAAGTAATAGCAGAAAGTAACCTTGTTTACCCAAATGATCTTCAAATTGATTATGGGGCAAAGAGATTGTATTGGATAGATGCCTATACGGACAAGGTTGAATCGAGTGATTTTTCAGGAGGAGGCCGTAGGATTGAAGTTGATGTTTCATACGCTGGTACCGTGGCTATGCACCCGTACAGCATGGCGTTATTCGCCCAGCACTCTTCGATATTCTTCACAGACTGGTACAGGAGCTGGGTCATTTACAAGTCACTGACGTCAGCTGCGATAAGCATATTGCAGACAAGCACAGCACGATTAAAGCAGATTGGCCAAGTGAGGATCCTACACGCTTCAAATCAACCGCCAGGTATGCCACTTGTGATATTGTTACATTAGAAGATAGAGAACAGTAACAGTCTACTCTTAAATAACAATAAGACGACATTCCAAGCCTTCAGTTGCAAAAATTTCCTTCTAGTTCTACTGAGGTACTCAATGCAATTATTCCTTTCCTTCACCAAACTATCAAACCAGAGCTGAAGGTTGGGTAGATGAAATTGAAGACAGCCAAGGATTGGCCTGGAAAACTATAATAATTTCGGAACAATCAAATCGTCGTAAATATAACTTTGATTAAAAAAAGTGTTGACTATCAGAACTTATTCTTTATAATATAATTTTTTGTTCTAGGAAGCAGTCAATGCCAGCAAAACAATGGCAACTGCTCCCATCTCTGCTTGCGACTGAACGGGAGAAGCTACACATGCGCATGTTCCACTGGCTTTGTATTTCGGAATAACGAATGCACAGTGGCAGAGCTCGACTACCAAGCATTTTTGCTAGATGGAAGTGATGCAAACAGCAAAATTTTCCATATGTCAAAATTTGTCAATCAGTCACAATATCTGTTTGAAGCCTTGAAGCCCCCGGAGTCAGGTCGTCCAGTTGGCGTCGACTTTGACCAAAGGCAGAATCTCATTTACTGGGGTGACGTCAGATTAAACAAGGTTAGAAAATCTTGTGCTTTTTATCAGTGTTTACTATGTTATGTTGATCATTTAATATTTTTATTGAGCATTTCATATTAATTTTCTTGCCTTTACAAGCAATCCACCATTTTAACTTTGATCGTGCATACTTTTGACCATCCTACCTCCTTTCGATCCTGCATATCATCCCTGCAATCCTTTACCTGCTTTCAAAACTGGACCACCCCTCTTGCCTCTCCATTTACCCAGCTCAATTCTAAAATGTCAACAGTCAAATTACACACGCTCTACCTTTAAAAGGGGAGTAACAGATTGTACATTTGGCATGATTTTACGGGCCAATTTTACGGGCTAATTCTACACATCGAGTTATTTTGATGACCTTTTGTACATAAATTGTAAACGGAAAATGAGGCATAGAGAAACTAGATATAATTACAACTTAGCAAACATCTAATGCTATACCCATTAAAATAAATAAGATTTTTCCTGGTAAGTGGTGCAAACGCCAGTATAATGGCCCATAATTTTTCTTTTCTGCTAAGTACAAACTGGAATACTGTGAGTTTTGCGTTAGAAAAGAGCCTTTTTTGTTGAGTGTAAATAATGCGTTAGGAAATGTAGCAGTCAGGTTCTCATTGGCTCCAAAGGTAAATCTCAATAATGTTGACAAAGCTGATCAAAAATTGTATTCATTTTATTGAGATGTACCAGTTTCTCTCACTTAACAGCTACCACGTTATAAAAATATAGAAGATGCTTTAATCCTGCATAAATGAGTTTTTAGTTGACTTAGCTTTTTGTAAGATATTTTAGCACGGTGATATAGAATCGAAAATGAGGCCAATCGAAAAGGAATTCAGTAGAATTTCTTGTGATTGATTCGCTAAAATTTACCTTAAAAAATTTTTTAAAATGTTTATGTTTAGATCTACAAGATGTATTTGAACGGAACTGGTTTTCAAGTGATTTCAAACACAGGAATTGAGACACCCGAGGGTCTCGCCATTGATGCAGCCACTGGACTTTTGTACTTCGCAGATTACAATTACGAAAAGATTGAGGTGATGAAGGTTGATGGCTCAATGAGAAAGATTTTAATCAAAAGCAATATAGTAAACCCAAGAGATATTCAGCTGTATCACGAAAAAGGGTGAGTTTTTGTCCTCCTTGTTCACGTTGGTCATCTCTCAAATTCAAGGAAATCTTCTAGAATTGAATCTTTAAAGGCAATCGACAGATACTATCGTGGCATTAGTCATCTGTAAATAAACCATTGGCGAATCAATAAGTTGTGAGCGATATCACGCTTATTGACTGGCCAACTTTGATTGTCTGGTGGCTTAAGCCACTTTAGTATCTGTCTATTGCCTTTTAAATGTTTGCAGGTAAAAGCGCATAGCAAATTAATATCTTTTTGAGCAAACCCATTTTGCGACAACTTTTAACTTTAAAATGCTCAATCTCTCAGTAGCGTTAACATTTAACTGAATATTTTGATCTCTTTATAAACTTTTTATGATATAGGAATTAACAGCTTTATCATAGTACTTTGCAGCAAGAAAATCCATAACAAAATATTGCTCTTTGTTTCTTAGTTTGATGTTCTTCAGTGACTGGGCCTCAGACAACCCAAGGATTGAATCTTCATTTATGGATGGAACAAACAGGAAAGTTATAATAAGCAGTGCTATAGAAACACCAAGTGGCCTAGCCGTGGACAAAGCGGAGGAGAGGTTGTATTGGTGTGATATGTCATTGAATAGAATTGAATCTGCAAATCTGGATGGCACAGACAGACGAGTCCTGTTTGATCATGGTGGCTATGATCCAAATTTCCCATTGGAGTCAGTGAGCGGAGAAATTCAATCACCATATGGACTTGCTATTCACCGTGATCACGTTTATTGGACGGATTGGACACGAAGAGCAGTTTTTGCTGCTGACAAGAGGTTTGGGGGGAAGATCAATTTTGTGACTGGAGGATTGGTAAAACCAATGCAAATCCATGTTTATTCAAAGAAGACTGCAAAAGGTATGCTTCAAGTTGGTTCCTTAGTTGATGACAGAATTAACTCTATTCTAGGAAAGCTAACATTTTTGCAAAAATTATCAAATATAATATTTTATGTTATAAAAGTTTTCAATGATTCCCCATTTTCAATGATGCCGGTAAAAATAAATATATATCCAGAATTTAATTTGTCTAACAGGACAAATAGTAGAAAGATTTCAGTGGAATTTGATACGATACTATCAACGTTTCCTTTTCTCGTGTTTTAGATTACAAAAAACTTTACTTTTTCTCACGAGCTCGAGAAGACCCAGCAAACCCTCTTTCACAGCCATGCTTTGCCAGGAACTGTACGGGGACGTTCTTTCAAGAGCCCGCGCTTTGCCCGCAGGGATATGTTCAGTCACGTTTTGGCTCAACTTGTGCAAACTGTTCAGCTCCTTTTGGTGTTTATGGCCGAAGATGTAAATGTCAGGATTGGATGAGTTGTGCACACCGTGTATATATGAAACTGAGTTGCTCTGCAAGTAGGCCTTTCATGCAAATTAAAGTCAGGGAATGTATAAAAGGTATGGTTACTCTGCCTTAAATTCTTTTGAAATCTTTTCATAACTGATAATTTTCTAATTTCAAGCAAGTAAATATATTGGCATTCCAAAAAGAGTATGACCGTAAGCCCAGACAAGTAACACTACTTCATGTAATCTAACATTTATGACAATAACAATTCCTTTTACTCCATTTACCATTTGCAGATCATTTTTGAGAGGTATGCTGCCAAACATAGCTATCACTCACCCCAAGTCTGATATTTTCTTTGATTTTTATAAGCGCTTGATATTTAGCAAAAATATTTTTTCAGTTATCAACCCAGGACATTGTCCAACAACATCCGGATGCCCTGGAACATCTGTTCAAAACTGTTCTTCGGATGGGGATTGTACAGATGTTCAGAAATGCTGCAAGACAGGCTGTGGAAAGAAATGTTTACATAGCAGCCCATTACCAGGTTTGCTTGATAAATCAACGTACTTTGGTCATCTTTAAAAATAGCCAGATTTGAAGCAGTCAGTGTATATGATTCCCTTTCTTATTACTCAAACATCGAATAATTTTTAAAGCGATTCAGTCGTATTGACACTGTCTGCAAAAAGCCAATTACATTTTTGCCATGCAAACGAACTCTCCTTTAGAAATCAAGGCTCAGGCCTGTGTTACTTTGTTCCATTTGCTATTGTGTTCTTTTCAAGTACGTGGCTATAGCAAATAAATACATATGGCAACGATATTTTAAAGTTTCTGAAAGTTTCGATGAAGTTTTCTTTGTGGCACTTTGCCAAATTCGTATGCTTGTCAGGCAAAGGTTATTTACACCGGGAATTGAAAAGTATGAAAATCGGAGGGTTTTAGGGGGTAATGGGGAAAGAAGGGTCACATCGAAAAGAAGGATCAGGAGGTCAAAGGGTCAAGCAAAATAAGACCAATGGAAAGTGTTGTTTGATGTCTGCTAGGGTTAATTATCATAATTCTGTGATATGATTGAAGTATAATTGCCTAGCTATTTTGTATAAATAATTTTATTGGGTCCTAACAATGAATCCAGACAGTTTATCAGACCTTTCTGTATATGTTTCAAGATACCAGCGTAATAGAGACTACATCTAAAGCACACACGATTGCAGAAAAGACTTCACCTGCCTCTTACAGCCTTTGATGATGCCTTAAAAATATAAATAATTATATAATCTTTAATCCATGTCTTCGATACATTTTTTCTAGCTACGCATCCCTGCCAGGAAAATAACGGTGGCTGCAGCCATTTTTGTTTTCGAGTTCCAAATAGCTATTCTTGTGGGTGCCCAGACACGATGACACTTCAGCAGGCGGATAACAAAACATGCATTTTAAAATCTGGTAAGAATTCTCAAACAACATTCACAGTTCCATTGTAAATGATGATATTTTATGGATGAAGGTCCTGCTTCAGAGATGTCTGACTATAAATTTGAAGGTAGCTTGGTGTGGAAGAGAGAAGTGCCAAGAAAAATGGGAAACCGACAGAATATTAAGAAAGTTGCTAAACTGCCCTTTTCTCTGTCCCCGTGATACTCGAGTCCTTAATAATACAGGGCCCACGCCACCGCGGGGGCCGGGGTTGCCATGCCCCCCTCCCACTATTTTGCGAAGGAAGTAGCTTTGAAGCTGCAGCAAAAGGGAAAGAAGCCATGACCCCCTACTCTAGCTAGCCTTGGCTCCCTACTTTAGCTAGCCTAGGCCCCCCACCCACTTTCAAATTCGTGGCGTTGGCCAATCTGTTATAAGGGGTTGATAGAGGGAGTGGCTTCTTTTATTACATTGAAATGTTAGTATGAATGATAGATAGCATGAAATTTTCCACATGATATAAATGGTATGTCAGTATTACGATTGATTCCTCTTTTAAAGAAATTTTTTTGTTTAATAAGTATAAGAGGTAATTAGGTATTTTTTATAATATTAATTCGATTTTATTTTAGGTCTATGTAGCACGAAAATGCCTTGCCTCAACGAAGGAATTTGCCGAGATAGCAGTGCCAGTTCCTATGAATGCACCTGCAAGCCTGGGTTTACTGGCATTCATTGTGAAAGATGCTCTGTATGCCCAGTCAACACAACCTGTAGTAAAAATGGTGAAAATGTAACATGCAACTGCTCTCCTGACTATTGCAATAACAACGGAACTTGTATTGCTACAGGAAACAAAACTGTTTGTACCTGTTTAAACGGTTTTGTTGGCGAAAGATGTCAGACATACAACCCATGTCCAGAGAATTACTGCAATACGAATGGCATATGTTTCTTTGATAACGGAAAACATAAATGCAATTGTACCGTGGATTTTACAGGTGAAAGATGCGAACATTTCACAGCTTGCCTGTCGAATACTTGTGTTAATGGAGGCACATGCTCTTACCGTAGACTTGGTCACATTATAACACGTATTTGCATATGTCCAGGCAACTTCACCGGATCGATGTGCGAAACAACAATTGCTTGCAGTCCGAACCCCTGTCTGCACGATGGGTATTGTAAACCCTCTGGAAATCATTATCAGTGTGTTTGCTTAAATGGTTACAGTGGAGATCAATGCCAGTTTTATGATACATGCCTAGCAACGCCGTGTCAAAACAATGCCAACTGCTCCTCAAGAGAAAATGTCACACATTGCCAATGCTTACCGAACTTCACTGGAAGATTATGCGAAACGGAGATAACCTGCCCCAGGGACTATTGTAAAAACGGTGGTGATTGTGTTGTTACCAATTTTCAAAGAATGTGTAACTGCCCTAAATTTTACATTGGAGAGTACTGTGAGACATACATTCCATGCAAATCAAACCCTTGCATGCGAAATAGTCCATGTAGACCTGTGCCTGGAGGGGATTTCAAATGCGACTGCCCAGCTGGCTACTGGGGGAAGACCTGTCAGCATGAGGACAAGTGTATATCAGGTCCCTGTGCCAATGGGGGCACTTGCAAGAAGGTTGAATCAGGTTTGGCATCAAAAGGTTTTCAATAATTTATCTAAGACAGATAAATTCAAAAATTTAATAAAAGTATCTACAGTTAAAAAGAAGTTGCAAGGAAAACACCCCTACTAACTTTTTTATCTACAACAATATTAAACTAAGCTGTGCTACTAAAACTTCTCATTTATTGCTTGGATACATTTAGAGATGATCAATCGGATGTCGAGCTAGGAGCACAGTTGATTTAGGTTTCCATAGTGTATGTATAATTAAAATCAAGTATGGATAGTATGAAGATTGGTACTAGTAGTTATTTATCTGTATATTTACGAATATTTCCAAGAGTTCATATTTGTTTAAAATTGGAATTACACTAAGCTTTTTTCATTTTTAGATGCTGGTTATGTCTGTGATTGTGCAAAGGGATACATTGGAGCTAAATGTCAAACTTTCAATAGTTGTTCTAGCAATCCTTGTCAAAACTCTGGTAACTGCCATTTGATTGGCAATAGTTACAGTTGCAATTGCACTCAAGGGTACGTATTGGATAGAAATTAGCTTAAACAACTAGTATAAACATACGGATTTTTTACAGAAGACAATTTCTGTACAAATGTCAATGACAAACTACGCTTTGGTATAAAGAACAAGATAATTCGATCATGAGGATAATTTTATCATCAGGATAATTCGATATGTTTCATTAAATATTTCATTTACCACAGCTGAGTCTTTATGGAAGGTATAACAACGCTCTTAGTATTGAAATTTTCCTTTTGAATCGAATGTTCTCAGATGCTCATGCCGTGTTCTCTAAAGTATCAGTGCAAAAATAAACTCGCAGCGAATGTAAATATTTCGCCATTAACTTTAGATAGCTGAATATATATAAAGCTCATTTTGGTAGGTATGTTGGTGCAAATTGTGAGACAAGGGACTATTGTTTAGAGAGTGAATGTCGGAAGATCAGTCAATGTGTAAATGCCTCAACTGGCTACACCTGCTCCTGTGATATTGGATACACTGGCCGGTATTGTAAAACGCTCGTGGATCACTGTCAGCTAGCTGGAAACGTCTGCCAAAATGGTGGCACATGTATCAATAGGCTAGATAGGGCCTACTGTAACTGCTCCCTCTTCTTTGCTGGAAAAAATTGCCAGATTAACTACCGTAAGTATTATGATTTTATGTTGATGCCTCTTTTGCTTTATACTCTCCTTTGCGTCTGGATTCAATTCCTGAGAGTCTCAGTCGACTAAATGAATACGTTCTCGTCTGATGCGGTATTGGCCAGCGCCTTCGTTTTTATCTTCAGCGTTTCAGTGTAAACAGAAGGCAAATACGATTTCTTGCCGTCTTCACTTGAGTTTTGTGTTGGATAGTCTGCTTGAATTGATGTTTGTCCCTTGCCTTTCTATCTTTCCTATTTTTCCCAACCTGTATTTGCAAGTAATAACAGTGTGCAGAGCCAAGCGAAATAGAGCTAAAGTTTGCCTCTGTATTATCTGATACAATTTCTACCAAGTAAAAATAGTATTGCTTAAGCCTTTTATTTACTAACCAATGACAACATCTTAAGGCTGTCAACTGAATATGTTTTATCTGATTATGGCTCTAAAATTAAACATCTCCCTTTTCAATGAGTATTTCATAACTGGCTGGCTTTTTTTCACTGTCAAAGTCTTGATTAAAAGGGTCTTGCTAAGAAATATCTAAATGTTTGCTGCTCTGGGCTGGTCCAAGTTTTTTGTTGCAAACATGTGCTGAAACGTAGTACGAAAGTAAATGATTGAAAGTTTGGAGATGAGAAGACATCAATAAAAGAGCTGCAGGAATTGCCGAGATGCCAAATGAACTGATGGGAGATTTGACAAAAGAAACCGACTTTAAATGAATATTATAAATCTTATATAAGGGTAACAATTCTCAGGCTTTCTGCTTGACTTGCAATTACAAGTATCAAAACCAATGACTGGCCCTGAATAGTAAAAACAATTTTTCTTGGAAGTGAGAAGAACCAGTCATTTAAGCAGTCCGATCATTTATACATTCTTATTATTTCCATTGCCAGTAAACGTTCTCAAAAGCTCTCGGTCAAAAAGCCTTTACAGTGAATTAAGTTAATTCAACATGATGTGCCTTGGGCACGCCTACCAACTTTGTAAACAATGTGTTGAGGGATTTTTGATGCAAAACTTAATACTCTTTTACAGATGATCACATCACTGTTATCAATTACATGCCAGATCCTTCTACATCCGTAAGAAAATCCATCTTTGCATATTTTTACCTTGAAGTTTTTGTTTTGCAAGCTAAGTGATCAAGAGAATTGCCGTTATAAGTTATACTTATTTCAATATCATGGCATTTTTTGACTCATGATATGTACATATTCTCGATGGTAAAGAATAGATACTTTTTTTACTCATACTGCAAATATTTTATTCGGGATGTCAATAAAGTGACTCAAATCAAAGAAGTATTATTTTTTTCATTTTTATTGGAGTAATTTTATTTTACTATTTTCGTTTATTTGAGTGATTTTTTTAAACTCTCTTACATAGAATTATTAGAATATCTCTGAAATGTTTTTGTATGTATTTTAAAACCATCTTGAATTAGAAGTATAGTTTTTATTTATTCATTTAGTCTAAGATTTTTGCTCTATTTTTGCATTTTCATTACGCGAGGAAAAATCTAAAGTATATAATCGTGTTTTTCATCAGCTTTCAACTGACCAGATTCGGGAAAAACTCGCCCAAGAATACACGGCGTATTGCTTAAAGGCTGACTGCAAGCAGGATTCTGTTCTTTCCAGGAAACGAAGGTTAGGAATACTAAATGATAGATTCATTTTATTTTTGCAAAATACCGTAAGAGAGTGGGTTGTATTTTTCTAAACTTCTTAGGTTATATATAGGCTTAGGAAGTTTCAAGAATGCTTGTGAAATGTTAACAAACCTGATAACTAAAATATGATAAAAAATGTTTTACATGAATGTTTCTTGTAAATAATTGTTTACATATTTTTACGACGAATTGAAAGAATGATGAATGCAGTTAATTCTGAGGTCCAGATCCAGGTCATTTTAAGGGCCTTAAAAGCAGTACAGAACTGCAATTCAAGCAATTGTTCATATTAACACATCCTTTTGGTTTTTTTTCGTGTGAGGGTTGTCAGGAAAATCTTACTGGTATTTTTAGGGATGTTAAGAAGACAGTCGAAGTTAGAGGGGATGATATCATCGTTATGACCGGATATCCAAAGAAAATATCAGACTCAAGCATGGAACTGCGGTATGCCGTTCTGGGAAACGATGGCACAGCATTTCTTATTTCTTCCTCAGTTGCCGTGAACGGATTCGAAAGTTTCAAGTCGTCATTTGCAGCTTCCCTTAATATCAAAGTGATAAAAGTGTATAAGATTAGCACCGTCGCTCCTAAATCTGGCAAAAATAAAGGAAGGGATACAGACTCATCAACAGGTGGACTTGCCGCTGGAATGGTTATTTTGGTTTTATGCCTTATTACTGCCATGGCGCTTCTTACGTATTTTTACAAAAAGAGGAGGTATGGAAAACTCTATTTTTACAATTCTGTCCTGATTTTCCGAGCGATAGCTGCTAGTATCAGTTTTCATGCCTTGACTTGTCCCAGTTTACTCTCGACCATATGTACTAAGAAGGCTAGCTTCTATGAAGAAAGATTCTATGCTTTATTTTACGAAAATGCTTGGCCTCATTTTAGATAACTTTTTGGTCTCGTTCTTCTAACAAATGAAATATTTCCCAAAGGATCGGTTTAAGACTTTAAAACATTCTGAGAACATTTCTACACTGGATAATTTCCGATTTGTTTTTATCAAAACCAGTTTACTGCCTATTATTATAATCAGTATATCATTTTTATGAATACAGATATTTGAGCACAAAGTATCAAATAAACTACTAATGCCAGCATGAATACATTTCTTCAGCCAAGAGCCATTGATGATGTGCCAAAACTATAGCAACACTTAGAACTGAAAACATACTACTTAAAAAAAAACCTGAGCGTTGTATGCGTACAAAATGCTGACGTCCTGTTGTTTTACTTTCCAGTTCTTTAGTTTAAACATACACATTTTTTATAATTTAATATACCAGTGATTTCTTCAATTTTAAGCAACAGATTTAAACAATGGCTGTTGCAGAAAAATGTCTTAAATAATAACTTTGACTTGACGAACCATTTAGCGAATACACCAATTGTTAGCTGACACAATTTTTCCCCACTCTAGAAATAATGCATCGAAATCATTTACTGCGTTTGACAATGCCCTCTACCGTTCTAATACGGATCTTCAGGAAGCAAAAGAGCCTTCTGTTGTGATTAACAACAAAGCAAATATTCAGAGTGAATCCAGTACCAAATTGAATGCACTGGAGTTTGATAATAGTATTTATGATGCACGGGACGACTATGCTGAAGTGGTAACTGTTGATTTTGCACGTGAGGATTATTCGAAACAAGAAGATGGTCGAATTGTTTTTGACAGTGGAAAGGGCATGACAGGGTTAGTTAACCCTTACATAGATTTGCCGGAAAATGAGAAAAGCCAGTCGAGTTTAGTAAGAACAGACTCTGTCAGTATCGTCTCATCTTCAGATGTTAGAGTTGGAACTGTTGCAGCCATTGAGGTGTATGAGGATGATTTTATGTCCAAAATAAAGTCTAAGCAGGCTGATCGATTGCAGGACAACTTTAGGCCTGTGAGAAGCTTGCAAGTGAAGTCGATTAATGAAGATGCTGTTGATGGCTTGACTGGCTTTGCTAACCCTTGTGTTGCCATGGACGATAACATCTTCTCTGAGGAAGACACCAAAGATGCCACAGAACTTGCGGCTGCTTTGGACCTGGCAGCTGATGATGATGTGAATGGTGCAGATGAAAATACTTTAGGTACCCAAGATTTTGATGCGGGTACCCGCAAAATAACTGAGAAAGAAAAGGACATTGAGAAAAAAAAAGTTACTTGGGCAAAGTTAGAAGACGATTTGGAAAGCTCTGCTTGATCATTTTAAGTCATATTTACTTTTGCAGTAGACTGATGTACAGATTTTGGCTTCAGGAATTGAAAATGCTATTAAATTGCCATTCCACAGACAAGCTGTTTTAGACTTTTATACGAAGCATGAACTTTATGTTGTTGTGTAATATTTTCTTCCACATTTGGCTTTTTATCTTTTTTAAAATAGGTTAAACAGTGATCAAGGAAATTTTAAGCAAACTGCTTTCCTCACAGAAGAAACCATTTCTTATCAACTTGCTTTGCTTTTCAATTTTTGTTAGCATAAAGCACGAACAGCCATTTTCCTGGTGACAAATAAACATGTAAGATATATTCTTCTTCCTGGCAGAAAACAGGACTAGGCAGGGTTCAAATGTCGAGATCTGAATGAACGTTTCTCATCTTGTGCTTATCAACCATGCAAGTTGTGAATTCCACTCTGCATTGATGCTGGACATCATTTCCCAAATATTGAAGCCATTTGTGAAACAAAGATTAAATCATATTTACGTACTCAAATTGTGGAATGTGTTGTCCATTCCTTAGCACGTCTCATGATCAGGATTACATAAAGTATTCCAATTCACCAACTGTCTCAATCTAAACATTCCTTTTCAGCTTTTATAGTTGGGTTTTTTTAGTAGCTTAGTTAGATTTTTACAATCTTGTTCTCACGACAAATATACCAAGTTTGTCCATAATTCTTTGCAATTTTTAGAAATATTTAGAAGCCCAAGAAAGGATATATGCTAAGCTATTGAGGGCTTTACGCTGTAGCTATGAAATTCAACACAGTACAAAATTTGATGCGATCGTTAGTAATGGATGGATCCACCTCCATGTCGTCGGATTATTTCACGTAATGTTTGCATATTTAAGGTACAATTTCATTGACTATTTATTGCATATTTGTTACCTAATGATGTATTTATTGGCTTTGCATTAAAACTTGTAGAATTGGATCAGCATTAACCTCGGTTTCATCGATTGTCGTTATCTCACTGCCAATTTAACAGCGTCAAAGTATTTTCCTTGCTCTTTGCTAGCCTGAGTACGGGTAATGTTGATTGGAAATCATTGAATAGCACCATAATGGGATTTCGAAAGATTGAGTAATTTTACTTCCTAATAACCGGACAACCAGACCCTACTAACTCAGGCTAGCTTTCTACATGCCTTCTACCTTTTATAACAATGTTTTCTATCATGATTGGTGTTTAATTTAAGATTTTTTGACGGCACGGTAACTGAAATATCTTGCAGATTCAAAATTAACATAGTAAAAACGTTATACGCGATCCTCAGTTCAAATAATGCTAAAAATCGATACACGGAAGAAAATACCACTAAATAGATAGAACAGTCCAGGGCATCCTAGAAAGCAGTATACACTGAGAATATATTTGAGTACAGGCTTCATTCAGCATTTCCAGTCTACATTAAACTGCGTCTTGTTTTGTACATATTAGTAGCATAAACCCTTATATTTTACCCTAAGATAATCTGATCAGATCAGAATGCAGTGGTCTTTAGTCGCACACTTCCAGCCTCCAAATCTTTCAAAGCAGTTTTGATTGATTTTAGTTCATCGAGAACAAGTGTGAGCTGCTCTGACTCTTTCGATTGCACGCAGGGCTTCACTACGGCGCTTCGTGTTTCTAAAAATTAGATGTTCATTCTTGTTGTCAGTAAAGCAAATGAAATTTTCATGGAAATATATTGATGGCTTCTTTGCTAAGTGTTGAACTCCACAGGAATAAGCTTTTACTGTGAATTATCATTCTCCAACTTATAGTTTATCGAAATTTTTCATTATATAATCATTTTGCTTGACTTTTAGAAAGATCTGAGAGTGCCATGCTTTGTTTATGACAACGTCTAGTGTACGGTACCGTGGCATATGCATTTTAAGACAATAAAAGCATTCATTTACAGGTTGGTCATTAGATTTTTAACTAGAATTGAGTGTACTATACTGTAGAACCTATCACGCCTTCCCCATTCAAAGTTGAGGCATGTTCTTCTTGTAGCAGATATATTAATGTTATCTATATCATAAATGTTGAAGGATGATTCATATCGTTTGGGAGAGGAGATGAGAAACTGTTAATATGAATGACAAAAATGGTGCTGGTGTTCCAAGACCTCTGGCTGGCAAGGTAGTACAGGATGTCCACATCGTACTTTAGAAGAACTAGAACACCGTATGGTAGCTACCCACCTAAAATACACTTTCATTTGGGCAGGTAACAACACTGCACAGAGTAATATAAAATGTTTATGGAAAAACGAAAAGAAGATAGTAAGAAGTCTTCTGTTTCGATGTTACCTGCACTTGCCACTTTATTAGCCTTTCTGTAGACCCTCCACAGCTCAACAAGGACTCCAAGGAAGATCAGTGCTCCCGTTGATATATAGAAGTAAAAGAATATGTTGAAAGACATGCCTACTCCAGTGAGTACTTCGTAAATAGTAGCAATGCGCTCCGCCTACCAAAAGAAAAGAAAACCTTTTCCAATCTGATATCGTGATTAAATGATAATATGATTAAATTATGATATGTTGAAATGATTGATTTTGAGTGCATCCATGACCCACCTATGTATTGTTTTTATTATTCAGCCTACTCCATGTACTCAGTGAAAATATAGAAAGAGGGTAAAACGACATTGGTACACCGCAACGACTTGTTTTGACATAGCAATGACTTACACTAATGGATGAAATCATATGGCTTATAAGAATCAAGGGAAGATTTGATAGCCAACCATCAAAGTACTAGATCTGTGGATGGTCCAAATTTGAAATTATGAAAAAAAATCCCAATGTCATGGTGCAAAAACGTTTAATGTTTTCTAGAAATTGGAGGCATTGTTGCTTGTTAATTAATTGTCATGCTTAACCTATTAAACTAGCCAGTTTTTCGATCAAATTATACGTTTTTCTAAAAGGGAAAAGATATTGAATACCTTTAAGACAGGTCTCATTGCATCAGCATGTTTTAGCAGCGTCCTATCTAAGCATTCGATGTATGCCTTTGCCCCTGTTATCTGCTTTAATTCACTTTGCAGGTACAAAATGGTGACGTTTTGCTCCTCGTCAATCGACTGCTGTATTCCTAGGCCACCCTCGAAAAGTCCGTCTTGGAAATGTGCCACAACATTTGTATCAAGAAGTGCACCAACAACCCTTAGAGAAACTGCTTTTTGTAAGGCATCCTCGTATGAATTGACCACTTTATGGATAAAGAAGGTAGGTTAGATAGAGTATTATTACAATAATTTCTTTGAAATGTCACTAATCTGGTTACTCAAAAGCATACCAATTGCAAGCATACAAATATCATCTTTATTCTTGTTTGGTAAATTAAGAACAAGTTTAAGCTTACTAGAATCCTATGAATTATTATATATTTCTGTGAGCACAATTATGATAAGATGATCAGATTGTCATGGTTTATGATTTTCGGAAGGATGCATGGGCTCCGACACAGGTTGGAAAGTGAGGGGGCAAAGGGAAACAAAACAAAAGAGTTGGGGGGAGTATGGCCCCTCCCCCCGCCCACCTTTGTAGTTGGATTACATGTCATTTATTAACATACTTAATTATTACACTAACCTCGCTTTCGTTTGTATATAAATAACACTTAGTCTTTTGTTTAGTAATTCAGTCAGTGATTAATCTCAACACGAGTCGCTCCCTTTTTAGACTCACTCTCGAACCATTTCATTAACTACTCATAGTGACAAGGGATTTCGAGGAAGTCTAATCTTGTGACACCTTCGTCGAAGGCCCTGGGATGTAATTTAATGGTTTGTTGCCGAGAAATTATTCTAGCGAATGCAAGTTAAGTAATTTGTAATTGGCTAGCTTTAACTGTAAAGAAAAATAATAAATATCGTTAGTCTTATTGATCAACAAAATGTTTCCCACATGTCAAGAAAGACGCTCCAAGATCAATCAAAAATGATGTGAGCGTTTTCGTTTTCATCAATCGTCATAATCTTGTAATCCTAATATGACCATGAATCCATTACATTACTTACCAATTTTTGTTCCTCTTTTGTTGTTAACGTAGAAAGATTGGACACTGTCATTCAGTACGACAACCTGTTAAGAGATTAATATTAGTGCTGTCAAGTTATCAAATCTGGAAAAACCTTTAAGCGAAAAACTTTTCGAGCTTCTTTAAGGCTTTTCTTCAAAAATTGAGGTATGCGTCAGTCGAAGGCGTTATTCATCGATGATAATATCGATCGATTATATTCATCGAGCTACCAGCCATTGCTCGTTGATGACAATGATGGCCATTAAGGCAGGTGCACTCACCCTGGGTGACACCCAACCCCACACCCCCTTCAGAAATGCCCCTGAAGATCTTGGATAAATGTTTCACAAAGAGAACAAACCTGTTGGGAGGCGAACTCAGGGTTGGCATCCAAGCTGCTAGTCATCAGGGCAGTAAATCCTGCCATAAGAGCAGCGCTCATAAACAACCACAGCATCCCAATGAAACGTCCTAGATTGCTTTTTGGAGTTTTATCACCATACCTAAAATGAAGTTTTTCATAGCATTAGAAAAACCTGAATTTGCCTAGGAAGCTCTGTCTTTATTTATTTTCATTTCAACCAAACTGATTCTACTTTCATGAACCTCACTTTTTACCGAAGCAAGCAGCCAGGAGATGAAAGAATCACAAATAGCTTGTCCACTTTGGAATAACAGCAGAGTTGCGGAGCTTGAGATTCATCAAAAACTAAAGGAAGGTGTTAAAAGTGAGGAAGAGGACTATGATGTTAAAAAGTATACTAGATTGTCAATCCACTCATTAATTTCCAATACATAAATATACCTGTTTAATGACAGATACTAAAATGACTTAACCCGTTTGTCAATCAACAATTGCCCAATCAGCGAGGGTGATACAACTCCACGCTTACTGATTGGCTAATATTGATGGACAGATAGCTTAAGCCATGTTCCCGAAAGTGACCTTACCCAACGGTTGTCATTGTCACAGCCGCCCACCACACGGCGTCCCAAACTCCAGTTACAAAGCCAGGTCTGAAGTCTCCACTCCTTCTGTGCAAATGACGCTCCTGAAACGAATGACAAATGGTTGCTTTCATTTCATGTTTGGTACGTTACTGTCTCATAGATATGCAGGGTCATCCATTTCAAATGACACTATTTGAGAGACTGCAATTTACAGTTACTTCGTGGTCCTAGTTAGCAACTTAGGGCACTAAATATCTAGAGCAACGCACGTGTCGAGGACTACTACAAGATATTAGATTGAATGCCTTGCAGACACTAAACATGTCATTTAAGATTTAAGTTAACACCGTACCTTAGTTCATGTTACCTCTTCACTCCAATTCTTACTTTACTTGTTGTTTTAGACAACTGTTATTCATGTTTTCAAGCATGATTGAGCATATTTTGCTTTGATACACTTCTATAATTTTCGGGCGAGGAAGTAGAAGATAGGAGCGGGGAAGGAGATGCTCCTTCGCTTCTCCGCTCCTATGTTCTATTTTCTTGCTCAAACATTGAAATGATGGAAGTGGCGCTGGTACCCAGGGTATAAAAGTGGTGGAAGTAAATTCACACCACATATAGAAACTCTTTTTGGTGACCCGATAGGCAGCATATCCTAGTAGAATGTCTTGCTTCTTTAATTTTACTTAGAAAGATGAGCTGATAAAGGTAGCTACATAACAACTTCCTACTGGCACAGTTATTTGTAAATGGCTTTGGAAAAAGCAAACAATTTACAACATACTAAAAGCTTTTTCGTCTGACACTCCTCAGACGAAAAGCTTTAAGTATATTGTAAAATAATTGCTTTTTTCAAAGCCATTTTCAAATTTTGTGTTTTTAAAAAATTGTTCACAGAAATTTGAATGGTCCATGCTAGGATCTGCTTTCAGCCAAACGTACGCCTTAAAAAACACAAGAAAACTTCGTCCCAATAGAATCAGTGTAAAAGAAGGCTTGAAAGTCCAGATAACAGCATACCCTAATAACCAGCACAGTCATACCAATTGGGTCATACTTTGTGTTTTTTATAGTATTAATTATAGAAATGTTGATGCTGGAGTTTTGAGTTCATTTTTCATACGCAATGTTAATTACGTGTAACAGGGATGCATCTAAAAGTCATGTCTGATAAACATATTTGGATCAAGGCAACGGGTTTGCACGATTTGTTGATTATTGTTAGTTTAAGTGAAATTTTATGCAGATTTGGTGCTCAAAAGGATGCAATAGAAATTGTAAATTGCCTCAGAAAACATACGGAACGCGTGCATATACAAGCAGCTGCATTGACGGCATTATCCACAAGGTATTATGTAGTTCATACGTCTTAGATACAATGTGATAGTAATCCATTTAAACAAAATGAAATATTTTTGTTTTACTAAGCAGGACACAACACAACTAATTCATGTATTGAAGAAAGCTATTCAAACCACCAACGCAAAAAATGAAAATTGACCGAGCTCGGTTCAGACCAACTACACAATAAAAAGTGAAATAAAGCTAAATCGAATCAGGTCAGGGGCACTATCAATCTAAAGAGCGTCACCAGAAATGCCTATTGATTTCACAACTGCACCATAAAATGTCCACATCTACTCCGCTGTTTTAGCATTGGCTAAGCCGAAAGGCTCAGACGCCCTAGCAGCTTTTTATACAGCTGAGGACAGCGGATATTATATAGCATGATTAAGAACAAGCTGAGGCTGAGCTTCTGCAAAATGCAATTTTGAACAACGTTTTTTCTCAAAATCGAGAATTTTTAGCGATGTGTGGGTGCTTTTTCGGTGAATATTCAAATTTGTCAGCAAATTAAGGCTGTCTCACTCACTTTGTTGGCAAATGAGGCCTGAACACCTCCTTAAAGCGAAAAAGCTAGCAATAGCACTGCCTACACCCTCTTAATTTAAGAACAAATTAAGAACAATCCAGCCTCAGATTTTCGAAAAAATTAATAACAGTCAGCCTGAACTTAAATTTACTGGTTCTTATAAAAAAAAGTGTAGTCGAGAATCTTTATCAGAATAACATTGCCTTTTTATAAAAATATTTCAATTTCAATCTCTTGCCACCCCTGGAAACCAGAGGCATCGTAGCCAGGGGGTGGGGGGCAAGAGGGTCGTGGCCTGATCATTTTTTGGAAAAATCATTGTTTGGTCGCAAAATTCTCGGATTTGAGCTGTAGGTAATTCTCAAACTTTTAGCAACAAAAATTACTTGTACCACAGTACTTACTGTAATTTTGAGGGGGGAGTTCACTTTTGTAAAAGAATACTATGTTTCCACAAATCAAAATGATTTCTCAGGATTTACATATTTCTATCATAGAATGATTTGCTGCTCGGATTTTGTCAGATAAAATCTGAATCTTTAAGGGTCAAATTTGGTTATTGAAATTGATCAATATTGACCATAAACTATATCTTTATTTGATATTGAAGACCGGGACAGTGCCAATTTTGTGCCGATTATCAGATTTTTGAAAATTTTGTCCCAGATTTGAAATTTTATGCAGATATGTTGCGTAAGGTAAAACAAGGAAGAAGTCGATAAAAACCATCGATCGCTTCCCCCCAGTGGATATGAAAATAACATTTGATTATCAAAATTTGCTTCAAAGAATGCAATTTCCGGCGAATTTGAAGCAATAGATTATAAAATGTTTTCCCTTTTGCTGCAACAAAGGTGTCGCTTCAGGTAGTAGCTTTATTTTACCCTTGTCCTAACCTAACCTACAGATGGCAGGGATGTTCACTGTAAATATAAAGAAACAGAGACAAGACGAAAGTTCATTTTGAATATTTTTCCAGCCAAAGCAAAAGTTATGAGTCTTTCTGCCCTGACCCTTACACTTACATGAAATTCTTCTATTCAAGTAAAATAAATCAAAGAAATTTTGTCGGAAAATGTTTCTTTCTTGCCCCTCTAGAATTCATTCACCACGACGCCTCTGCTGGTAACATGGTAAACCATAGTTAGTAACATATCTTTTATGTTAGTGACAGGCTTCAAAGGATTTAAAGTTGCTATTGCTTTTAAGGTATTGAAGTGCGTTGTGTGCAAAGCTTGCTAGAAAGCTTTCGAAAAGTAAGCTTTAGATCTGAACAGAAAGGATGCACTTTTCTTAAAGTGCCTGTGACATGATTTTCGTACTTTTGGGTTTATATATCTATTCTTATGTAAAAAGGCCTGTTTTTTCATTTCTGAGGTTAGTTTTTACGTTTCGTGAGAAATGAAGGAGTTATTGGTGATCTTCTACACCAAAATTCGCCATCTTGGTTTTCAGAATAAGTAGACAGTGACCCGATCGCCTCCTCCTTCGAGTTTTTGTATCGTAGTCAATGAGGGAAATCTAACAGGTTCAAGATGAGCGATATTTCCAGAGAAAGTAGTGGCAGCGAGGAGGAGATTTTTGAAGGTAGCGCTTACATTGTTACAATAACGAGTTCCTCCCATGACGTCACAAGAGAACGGCGAATGATGATAAAGCGACTTGGCTAGGCCGCACTATTTTGCTTAGTTTCAATATCAAAACGCTTTCATTTCAAAAAAATAGTTCAGATCTACTAAAGGGGAGTGAAACGTTTCAATTAAGAGAATAAAAAAAATCATGTCACAGGCACTTTCAATTTAGCACCTTATTAATATTTATGTACTTGTTTAAAGTAGAATATGCTATTGAACTGATTAAAGACTCAATAATCTGCTTGCTTTATCGCCAAACGTCCAATGTTACACTATCATATCAGATACTGATTTAGGTTATTAATTGACTCTACTTCCACGCCATTGGGCACCATTATTTGCAGTAAAACAATTTGAAACCAACACCAATTAAGCTTACGTTCTGAAGTAAATCAATCACGGATACCGTGGAGGGGGCTAGGAGAAAGGAGGGAGACTCAACTTCCTTATCAGCACTAAGAGAGATTCGGCCTGAACATTAACAGCCTCCATTAACAAGCGAACAAATGTTTGGTTTGACGAATTTTGTGTTAGTAACCCGTTATCATACTATAAATGTATTTCGTGTCATATACACAAGAGAGAATCATATCCACAAATACACAAAAAGAACGTATATTGCTTAAGCTAATGTTTTTGGACATAGGTGTGGACATGGTTGTGGCTTGCAGTAGTTGCCTACAGCATAGCGCCTCCTCCGGACTTTTCAGAACGGCACCCTTAAGGTCAATGGATGATCATTATCGCATCATCCAAAAGTTGAAGTTCAGAGATAGATGCACTATTAAAATTTATATAACATAAAGATACTTACGCATATCCAAATAACGATTCCAAAGTCAATCATGAATAAAACCATGATCACGAGAAAAGCTTTGGCATTTTCAAAACCCTTCACGGCAAGTGTATAAAGCCTGGATTTCAAAATGCGATTAGCAACGAGTGTCATCCCAGGTGATTTTACCAACCCAATCTCACCAAACAGATACTTTTTATTTGTGATTGAGTTTTGGTATGCTGGCAGAAAGAGCCTCAGTTTGTCTTTTTGGGTCGTTTTGTTGTCAACTTCATTCACGTGGTTAATAAACTCTGCATAGCTCTGGAACTTTGGTCCATATGAAAAGCTACCGACGTGACATCCATGCTCAGAGGTACGTTTGAAAGCAGTGAAAATGCTGTAATCGTGTTCTGTAGAGTTTTTGTAGATATAAGGCGGGCTGTGCCACCATACTAGTTCAACTTGCAGGCTAGAAACCAATGACATCTGGAACAATGGTGCAAAAAGTAGAGGTGACAACAGCAATGTGTGAGTCATCTTCCTCTGTGGAAAATGTGTCTAGTGATCGGGAGTTTGACTTGAAGTGAAGTGAAGTTTCAAGTGAAGTAAAAGTTCAATATGACAGCGCATGTTTGAATAGAAACCTATTTTAAATAAAAATTCAAAAGACGGGGGAAGTGTGATGCTTGAATCATTCAATATCATCTTTATTTCGATGATCTTGTTCCCGTGGATATTTTGTAGCTGTCAATCGAATGGTAATCAAATGTACTGTATAAGAAAAACAAAAACCCGATGTCGGTCTATCAAACGTTGCATAATTTTACTCGACAATGCACAGTGACATCTCAATGTACTGGTGGCTCAATTCATTTAAAAAAATGTAGTAATCCCTATCCAAATGGTTGCTTTAAAGAGTGACGTATTTTGCTCTTACCATAAGAAGATAAAATTCATTTCTATTTATCAACATCTAGTAGATAAGACACAGACAGACCAGCAATGTCAAGCAGTTTATGTTGCACGACTTCTTGTCGCAGTGCTTGATATTTCAAGCGGATAATAAAAGAATCCAATTTCAATTTGGTTCAAACATTTGTATTCAAAGATGCATGACCCAAAGCAATGGCTTGTCCCCTTCAAACAGTTGCAGAAAACCTGAAAATAGAATTTGTAGAGATGCGTTCTTAAAGATGAATTTCAAGAGATGCAAATAAAAATACAATAATGCATTTTTACCAAACCCTTTAAAATCAAACTCTCATGAAAAATGGTCTATCAATACATTTATTTACAGAAAAGGTTGTTAGGCTTAACAGCCAGTAGTTGAACAAATCTAACTCTGCTTTAACAACGTTTTTCTTCAAAATTGACAAATTGCTGGCTTAAATAATTTAATCAAAAATTTTTGTGCCGAACACTAATAGCATTATATTGTTCGTACGCTAATATGATCTAAGGCTTAAGCAACCTTCCAAGATATAATGTTGTAAACTTACAAAAAAAATGGTTTTGACCAAAACTTTCCCTACCAAATTTCTGTAAAAATTCATTTATTAATTTCGAGTAAAAAAACTCAATAATAATAATAATAATAATAATAATAATAATAATAATAATAATAATAATAATAATAATAATAATAATAATAATAATACGAAGCTTTCTACAGGATTTTACATTTAAACATGTCATGCTGCTATCAACGTGTGTCCTGATATCATCTATTCATTTCGTCAAGATTTAGTCATTCTTAACAAAATATTTTCAGGTAAATATTCAAAAATCTGTGCATTGATTTTTGAAAAATTCAATATCAGGCAAAGAGCAGAATTTTTCATTTGATTATGCTGGGAATCGATCTTTTAATATCATTTTTGAGTTGGAAAGATTTAATTTTCATTCGTTTTCTAATTTTTGTAAAAAATTTATCCAATGCAAAAGGCTATGGACTAAAAAATGAGTGATTTCCAATTAATGATTTTTCAGCAAAATCTGTCTATTATTTTTGTTAATGTAATCTTATAGGCTTGAAAAAAAACAATTTTGACCAACATTTTAGCCTATTCTTTGCTGATTTTTAAAAGTTTTCAAGATTCCTTGGAGACAGTCTTTTTGCCAATGCTGTAGCCTAAAATAAATGAGTGACTTTGAAAGAGAGAATATTCCACCAAATATTCTCGAGAATTTGCATATCATTTCTTTAAAAAGTAATCCTATAGGCTTATAAAAGTCTATTACTTTTTGCCAAAACATTTCCAACCAAATTAGGATTGAAATTTTTAAAATGAAAACGACGTTATGACTACATAATTTTTTCCTTTACTTGTATATAGTATTTTGCAAAAATGTAAAGCTGAAATGAATTATTTTCAGTAAGATGATTCCCCAATTGCAGATGAACCTAGGCCAACCAATGTTAAGTTTGTGGCAAATTCCATTTTGTTCTAATAAAACTTTTCTACAAAAGATGCTAAAGTCCAAAGGGTTGGCTAGCAAGCTATCTTTTGAAAATTTCAAGGGTTTTTGTTAAAATTTTTCCCAAAAATTTACAATTAAAGGCTTACAGAAAAATTTTTCTGTCGTTTTAGGCGGCACTGTTTATGTTCTAAATAACTTCCCATTAAGGTGATACCAGCCTGTCGACAGTAATTAGCATCAATTAGGTCCTTATCATCTGTTTGCTGAAAATTTAAACAAATATATTTTTAACCTGCATGTTGTTCAAAATAACTGTTTGAATCAAGGATAAATAAGCAAGATTGGATGCTAACTTTGAATTTGGGGAGCACGAGCTTCCTTGTTCACTGCGCAGCCACTCCTGCTTCAATTTGTAGGAAAGATCCTGCCCAGAACATGGTTGCTGTCCTTAAAGTGGGGTGTGCTGTAGGCATCTTCTGGAAGTCACACCCATGACCACACCTGATGTACTTGCATTTGTGGTAAAGGTTCTCTACTGTTTATATGAAACCATTCAAACTATTAATTGGCTCAAAAGTACTGATAAGAAAAAGCTAATTCGCAGTAAATCTAAAGCATAGAGAGTGTTGCAAACACAGAATTTGTATCTCTCTCAAATTTAACAAGTAGAGTGGGCCCTGAGACCCCATCAACGACACCCCTGTCCTAGGTTATCCAGTATATTAGCAATCAAGATTCAATCGTTTTGGTTAGATAACAAGAAGATTAAATTCATTGCTCTTAATCATGGAAAGGATTGTAGGATTTCACGTGAACGCCGACTCAATCAGATGAAATCATTAAGATTTAGATGCTATTTAATCAATTATTAATTAGTATAGATTCAATGTCATAAAGCGTCAATGGCTATCACGTTACTCACTATTGATAGCAAGTGGGGATAAGCATTTCGATAGCAGGTATCTTTAATTTGCTAAAAGCTGGCGCCAACGGAAATCTGTTGGAAACGGACACTCGAAACAACAGACAAATTGATCTTGCCCAAAACTTCCTTCAGTGTGGTCAGAACTCCTTTTTTGAGCCCAAATAAAAACCTTGTATAAGAAAATCTTCACTTTAAGTTACATAATATCAAAGCTGCTTTTGGTTTGCTCTTTAAAAGAACCATTACCGAAAATTTTGCAATGGTCTCCCACTTACAAGAAAAAATATGTAGTAGAAAAATAGTGAAGTACTTTGCAAAATTCTTATCAATATCACCTAAAAATATAAAGTGAGTAGGTCGATTCAATATGTTTTGGAAATTGCATGTAGAAACCAATTTTCATGAGAACTAGCTTAGTTTTTCTAAGACAATGGCTCAGAGTTTTCTGCTTATAAAAGCAAAAAGTTGGTACCAAAAAGGCCCTCGTAAATTTTGGTATGGATAATTACTTCTAAGTAGTCTGATGTGCCGAGTTCGTTGTCGCATAGGGGCTGTACATGCTTTGGGATACATAAAGATTATGTATTTTGGTAACGGAATTGATTCTGGTTAGGAAAGATTATTATACTTCCAAAAAAGTTTTCTAGTTTTGCCATCAAATTTCACTTATCAGAACGGTCCTTTTTCAGAATTTCAGAAAGGTTATCGCTGTAGTTTGTGTATGGATATGAAATAGATATGTCTATCAAAATGCTTTTTAAAGTTGCAATTTCTTTCATCGGAACCTGTTTTTCATATGACATTCTTTCGGGTATAAAAATGTCAGGTTTCACTGGTAATTGTTCATCATCCTATGTTATACACACCGAGAAGTGTCAGAAGAGAACAGTTTCAGTCTAATCCCCTGTTTCCATTTTTTCGTGTTACTAAGTTACTCCCTACTCAAAATATAGCAATAGCTTTCATTCATCAAACATTCAACGAAATTAAGAAAGATTCCCAGCTGGTTTTTGGGTTGTAGTTTAAATCAAGACAAAGCTAAAACAGAAAACACTTGAGATGAAGTCAACATGATCTGAGCTTTGTATGTTTTCGAATATTACTATGTACAGAAGATTTGTAAATATTAACAACGAGAAATGACAAAATGTACATCACTAATATTGCTCCTAATATATTAAATTTCATGAATTAAACAGAAAAAGATGCTGGACGAATGACACATCCAACAGCATGTGCAGATTTGAGCAAATTATCCCAGCTTGCCAAACAGTCTTTCTATCCTTTGTAACGCATCCTTCAGCATCAACAACAAAGCTACAGATTTTTACTACCAGCAACAAAAATCCTCTTTTATTCATGTTTCTCCTTCCATGTTGACGGCTGCTTTTAGTTATTGAACCGTGTTTTGCTTGCATATCTATAAAAGGCGGCATCGTTGTTGCTTGAAAATCTACAGATTTCAGTCTATGCTTAGAGACATGGTCTTTATCATTGACTTAGAGTAATCAATGACTTAATGATTGACCTTGGGTGAAATTTGTGAATAATGCAGCAACTAAGGCAATAATTTTGTAAATATCTCAATAAGCTAGATTTTAATTAAAGAAGTTACTCGCTATCTAGAGATCCCGCTGACCATGTCCCGTATTTTCTCTTCATTTCGTATTATGTTGCTTTTCACAGATCCAATTCGATCGACCTAGAAAAGATTCATTCCTCTAATTAACATACGCCTTCGTTTCTTAAAGGTCTTGAGAAGAAAATTAATGATTTTCGCTATTAAAGGTTAAGTGAAATCAACCCATAGAGATAACTTTTTCAATGGGTAAATAACATTCATTTGCCATATATCTTAAATCATCATATATCATATTATCTTATTGTCATCCTATTCATTATCAGCTGCTACAACAATAAAACCATTAATTTATCATCATAATCAAATCAAGTCAAACTTTTAGAGCATCAGTCCAGGGCCCTTGATAAAGATGAAACTTAAAATTCGCAGAACAATGTAAACTATTGGAGTGAGAGGGGAGAACCTTGATAACCAAGTTGCCTATCACACCGCAGCCTTAATTCAAACTGAGAGTTATACTGAACATTATACCATGCACACAATTAATTCAGGTCAATAAATGGCTTTTTATGGTCGATTCGTCGAGGCATTAACATTGAGGGGCCTGTCGAGGCTGCTTGCACTCACCATATCTGCAATTTCCAGCTCAAGTTCGCCCAATTGTGCATGCAATGGTTCGATATCATTTTCGGTTACGCTGAAATACAAATGAGTATTTTCACCTTAACAAAAATAATAAGCGTTTCAAAGCGAACCTTTTTTATCCTAAATATTTGCATAAATATTTTGCCAGCGTAGAGAAGTCACAGCTGTCAGTACGACCTGATTGGTTGGTTTATTGCATATAATCCGAACAACATTTGCAATAATTGTTAAGCTTCAAATCTAAAAGTGACAATTTGTTACAGTGTGTAACACGAGCAGCTTGCGCCTTGTTAGAATATTTTTTCCTTTTAAGAGTTTTCAAGTACCAATTATGCAAGCAAGATTTATAAAACAAATTAAGTGTTATTTTTCAATAGTAGCGTAAGTAGAAGTAATACTGGTAGTAAACAAACAACAATAAAGAGTAATGATTTATGACCAGAAAAGAAACACAAAAATTGCATCAAACTAACCTCTGCTCTGCCTTCAGCGCGAGATGGTACTTCTTATTTTGTTCTTTCCAGTTTTCTAACTCTTTCTGCATACTATCCATGTCTTCCTGTAAAAATTTTTTAAAGGAGTGTAAATGTTATGGCACTATACTTCCTCCTTAGTTAGACTAAAAACTTCAACAACAAGACATTGCTTGGCTAAAAAAGCAGCAACTTTTGGAATAAGACAGTCTTATATAATGAATTTACCTTCTTTTGCTTTGCTAGGAATAATAAATGAATCTTGAAAGAATTTATCAACCTTTGTGTTAGGAACACTTATCAAAGAAAGACCCGAGCAAAAACCAAAAGAAAGAAGAGCTTACTTGTAAATAATCCATAATTTTGCCTAGAGGGTGTGCACTTCTACACAGTGTTTGGATGCTGTTCCGGAGCTTTTCAATCTGTATTGAAGAAAGAATTAATAGAGAATTAGTTTTACGCGCATTTCATAAAAGTCTCTAGATACGTGCATTTGGAAGACCAAAAAGATTGAAATGACAAAAATACCTCCTTTTGAGCCATTTCCTTCTCTTTCTTTCTTGTTGCATCAATAATAATAGGTTTTTCCTAAGAGACAAAGAGACAAAAATCACACTAAAGGTGCTAATACTAATTGAATCCGAATGCAAACACAAAAAGTAAATTTAAAACTATCTACTTGTATAAAAATGCAATCTTTAATGAGCGGGAAATGTGTTAAAAGGCATTTAACATAGCCCCTGCAAACCTAAATTCCTAATCAACCATATAACTTAGTATGAAGCATGGCACGGTATATACCCCGCGTAGTCAAATTTTTGACTTAGGTACTAAAATGACGACTTTCAAATCAGCTTTCAGTCGTTAAGTTTTTATTGATGCCACTGTTATGGCAATGATCAAGAAAAAAATTAACTGTTTATCAGGAACTTTTAAGAACCAAACAATTATTGCTTTCAAGCCTGAATGAAATTTAAAACAGATAATGATGCTGCAACAGTTTTAAGTCGCAATGAAAATGGTTCAGCAAAGAAAAACAAACCTTATTTTGCAAGGACTTTGACTGAACTATTTCAGCTTCTCTCTTACTGTCAAGCATCTTTTTCACAAGGCTTCCTACAGTGGTAAAGAAGAGCTCCATGAAATGATCAAAATCGCTAAAGTTTAATAAAATTGAAAAAAAACATCACCAAAGAAGCAATTGCCGTATTTCGTCTAATAAGCACCTATCTTATTTAAACGCCCACCCCTAATTCTAAAATCAAGCGATCCCTTTATTAAGCGCCGCCTATAATAATTAGCGCCTAGGCTGCTTAAAATAGCAATAAAACCCATTAACCGTATTGAATGGTTTTGATGACCTGTTTGAGATCGCAGCATCCAGCGTTGAGGATAATCCGGACCAAGTAATTGGCGACGGTTTGGAAAAGGTCGGGAACGTCAACATAGGCTCAAAATTAGAAATTTTACGATAGTTGAAGGTTGAAATAACTTTTCTTTCATGCTTTAAGGTTTTTTCTGTCAAGATTGATGGGGAATATACAATATTTTGGTCAAAAAGTTGTGCTTTATTAAATTATCAATTGTCTTTTGGCCTCCTAAGACATTTTGCAAACTTTGAAACGAGAACACTTATCTTTTTTAGCACACGCCTTTAATAAGCGCCTGTCTCTAAGAAGCACCCGTCTCTAGCAAGCACCCGCCTCTTAATAGCATCCGCCCTTAAAAGCACCCATCTCTTAGAAGCACCCGCATCAAACAGGGTGTGTTTCAAAACTGAGACTTTCTCAATAACACCAAAAAACCGAAACATTCCATTACAATACATATATTCAATGCTTCATTTATTGAAAAATCCAATAATAACAGACTCACCGTGTTGTCCATCTTCGACTTCTGCTGGATTTTCGTTGACATTCTATAACAGTAGGAGTTTAGTTATCAACATCTTACGTTTGATTTTCAGAAAAAAGTGAACAACAATACTGGCAAAATTAAAGCAGTCTCTGCCTGTTTGCCCTTTCTTTGGGGGAGGACATATCCACTTTTAAATGGATAAGAGATTTTTCTGAAAACATGGGACTCATAGCGGTCGACACTCTTGTTTTATAAAACACAAATATTCTTATAAAATTTTTTTTCAAAAATTTTTTTCATGGAATGTCACCTGTTCCTGCATATTGAATTTCAGCCTAGCAGAAGTTAGCCTAGAAATTTTCGAATGTTTGCTTCAAGTGATTCAAGTCTGGAAACTCTCTCAAGGAACGGTTAAAAAAACATGAAAATACCTCTTCAAGAAACGAATCCTGCGGTGCGTTATCTTCAACGACAAATAAGTCATCTTCATCATCCTGTTCCTTGCCATTATCCACGATAACAGCATTGACCTGTTTGCCAGAGCCCAACCTTGAGTAGAAATTGATAGTGAATAGATCAAAGAAATGAATAGAGAGAAAAAATAGTAATATAACAGAACAGCTTGTACATTGTGTGGTGGAAATAAGCAAAATTAACCTAAAAATAATAAAATTTCTAGCGGGAGCTGAAAACAAGAGCCAGGTAAAAACTATGTGTAAATATGCAAAGGAATTTTGTTCACGAAGCCATGAAACTGGCCTTTGTTTTTAAGATTGGGGCGATCTCAAGCAAGTAAACAATACATCCATACATACAATGCTTACAATTCCAAAACTTAACAAAATCTTTTAAAATTATATTTAGAGATTTTTAGAAAACAATCTAAGGCTTTACAATTTTATTGGCGCATAAAACCCGTGCAACAAATGACAATAACATTCGGTTAAGCTGACCTTAAACCTGGATCTTCTATCTCTTCATTTCGCTTGATTTTTGGCGGAGCTGGCCTGGCACTGCTTGGTCGAGCAGGCCGTCGCCTGATGAAAAAGAAAATTGAATCATTTTTAACAAATAAATTATAAATTCAAAAGAAAATCAAACTGCTTATCTTAATGATTAGAAATTCAGAACCGTCTATCCAACTTTCAAACTAAGAGACATTGAGAACTAAGAGAACTTTTTTAGAGCATTGTCCCAGGGGTGACAATGCCGGGAAAAAGTGCTCCTCCGGTGGGAGACCAGCAGCTCTTACAGTCATCTCCTGCACAGGGTCTATGGTCACCCAAAAGAGAACTCTGGCAACAGGAATGGACAATTCCAGAAGGTGACCGTCTGTAACAATAAGCGGTTTCCCGCAGATAACTGCCCACCCCTGACTGACCCTCTCATGGAATCTTTGATTTTCATCGTTTCTTAAAACATGTTAAAAAATTTAAATATTTTCAACTAAAAACATAGATGCGCATTTAAAATATACATCTTTCGACCCGCTTGGATTGGATAGTTCCACCATAAACAGGGGGTCTATATTGAACAATTTGTAGACCCGTGACAAAACTAATGAGATAATATATTGTATTTGTTGATTGTGCTTGTATTTGCATTTGTATTTTTGGCTTAAACGATTCTTACACAGATGAAGGCTGTCGTTGAATCACATCGTCTTCCTGGAGATCGCTTTCGTCAGCGTTTTCTGTTTGCTTTGGAGCCGGAGCTGAGTCCATAATTACATCTGGAATTATGAATAAAAGAAGGGATTAAAATATGTAGTTTTCTATATTAATAATATAAAATAATTCCAGAATAAATTCCCGCTTAAACCTTCATTTTGATACTATCTCAGATTTTGGTACTAAATTAATATGATTTTCATTACATATATATTTTCATTACATATATATTATCATTACATATTTTCAAGTGTTTTCAAGACTGTCTACTTGCTCAGCTCATGAAAGCACGATTTCTCAAAAACTCATCTTAAACCATCACAGGTAATAAAATGACAGACAATTTAATTGACATATTTAATTGGAGAACATTAGACAGAAATTGTTTGGGAGAAAATTCTACACACTTTCCCATCACTCTACAATTTTCAAATACAGTGACAAGTCCTGCTCCGAGTGTTAAAAGCAATTTTCAAATGACACTTAAGAATTAATTTCTTCTAACATTTCTCCGTTGCTCCCTACAAGCAAGCCCCATCACGCTAAGAAAAACCAAAGCAGGAGATAGTTTTTCGTCCTGTTCTCCTTTTTTGGTATACCTGACCAGATAGCTGATATTTGAGATATTTTGAGGCTGAGAAAATTCCACTTACCATTGGTAACGTCTTTGTTTTCCTTATCTATAAAAGATTCAATGTCTTCATAATTAAAATGGTATATCATAATGAAATTTTAAAATGTTGAATTGAGAGCATACCATTTATATTTTCATTTTATTTATGAACAGGATAATAGTCAGCTGGTAGATAGGAAAGTGTTCAGCGTTTTTGTCTTCTACGTGCGAGGCTGCAGATTCCAAAAATCTGGAGTATTACCTACACTTTTACCAGAAATATTTATTGCTGTAAATTTCCATGTTCACAAGAAGCTTTTTCAAACGATTTTGCCGTCCACATGCATTCTAAACTATTAAAGTTCAAAGCGTATTAAAAAATCTTTATTCTACAGCTTCAACGTCTCCATAGTAATTCAAGACGTTAGGGATGTGATGGTGTATATTTGTCAAATACGCGTGGACGGAAAAAATTTTCAGAACGAAAAATATTTTTGCATGCGTGGTTGGGACCTAAGGGGCTAGCGTTTTGCCGGCAGGTTTGGTTACGTTGATCGTGCACTAAATGTAAGAACAATGACCAACCAAAACATTAGGCTATCAAAAAGACAATACTTATTGTACAAGGGCAACGGGTGTGACATTTTTCGTTACCCACCTGTTTCACTGTTGGTTGGTCTTCTTCGCTGTCCTTTTGCAGATGACGGCCTCTGCATAACCCTATTACCGGCATTTTCATCCTAAAATAAAATGTCATACGAAACATTTCAGACGCGAATTTTGCTAGGTCAACTATTAAAGGAGGTTAAAATGTTCATGATCCGTATGGACACTTCAGAGAGGTTTTGGTATTCAACATTACCTCGTTCTCTGCATCATTTGGTGTTGGTTCTGCATTTGTGCTTGGCTAAAAAAGACAAATTATGGAGAATTTTTTCAGGCGAAGATAGAAGGGAGAAAGACATGTCTGTTGATATCTTGATGGATATGCAAAATAGGAAATTAAAATTCGTCAAAATAAATAGTGATTTGGAAAGCTGATACTTGATTGGGTTGGGCTCTACCAGGGTGATAGCTTCGTAGCTGTATTGTTTACTTAAGAGGGAATCTTAAGAAGAAAAGGGACCATGTACTCCGAGGTGTGAAATAATCGGGGTTCCCATTTTGTTTTCAATTTTTTATGATTTTCAATAAAGAATACAGATTTTTTAAGACTCCTAGTCCTTAAACAACCCCCTTTTTGCTCGATGACAGCGTTCGACTAAAATCTTCTTTCATACTTCAATCTTCTTTAACATTGTTAAACTTTGGACCTGACAATGACCCCCATGTTTATTTCAAACAACCGCAGCCCCTACCCGATCTTTCCTGATCGCTAAATATTCAAAAGTTACAGTTCCGTCATAGATTATTGGAAGAGCCTCATTGCAAGCGGAACGACTGGAATTCCTTTATTTCACTATCGGATTCAAAATGTTATATTTTCATAGAGCTATACACCAATATCGCCTTCATTTCTCTCCCATTGCCAGCCTTGAAACCACTGAATGATATAGACAAAATGCGAGCATACTGATTGTTTTACTTCGACAAAAACTCAAGCAGACAACAAACAATTCTTTAAAAGATATTCTTATATGGGCATTGGATTTCAAGACTCATTCCCAACAATGAGCCATTGCGCTACACAAGCATCCCATAATGCATTTTTAGACTGTTTGAAATCAATTTTGGTAATCCGTAGAAGTTTACTGCCATTGTTTGGACCGTCGCCACGCTCGCAAAGGCCCATTGTTAGCAAAGAGTCTTTAACATCAAATCTTCACTTCAATGGGCGCAGAAAATGTGCGCTGTGTAGACCATTGGAAACAAAGAAACAGCAAAGCTACCAATATTTACGCATCTAAATGCAGCCTATACAATCACAAGTTTCCAGCTTTATCTAGAATACGATATCAAAACAATTTGATAGCTGGATAATGCATTCGGAAAAAAGCGGACAGCACTTTCTGGTATTAATTTTGACAAGATTAAATAGGTTTAGCATTCAGTTACTTAAAGAAAGTGGGTTTATCTAATGTTTATATAAAAAGTTTCTACAAATGCTGAAAATCAAACATCCTATTAAAGCATTGTATTTGTTGACAAGGAAAAAGGTGGATAGATTAATGTTACGGGAACAAAACTACAGTCCTCGGTTTTGCAAAATGTTAGTTTTCCTTGCTGGGATTGTATAAGGCTGCAATTGTGGTTAAAAATCCTAACACAAACGTGAAACAGCTTAGTCTTGAAATTGCAAAGATTTATAGAAGTGAACAGGTTTAATTCCTCGATACATACGAAACTGTCCAGTAAGCCGATCTAGTTGTTGAAAAGCAAGATGTAGAAAAAGAAAAAACAACGTTTTGCGAATGGAAGAGATTTGTTAACGGAAGAATTATCTACATAAAAACGAAAAAGCCGCCATTGTGTAGACAAAAGGAGTTCGTTTTCTCTCTTGGACTCCATTGGTAATTTTTCTTTAGGCTCGCGGCACTGATTGGTCAACTATACCGGTCTTGTGCTTGCGTTTTTCTGATTGGCCAATTTCGATCCACAACTGGGTATATATTTTTTCAAACATGTTTTTCGGAACCTATTCTGACGTTTTATGCTCTGAGGAGTGTCAGACGAAAAAGCTTTAAGTATGTTGTAAAATGTTTGCTTTTTTCAAAGCCATTTTCAAATTCTGTACCGCAAAAAAATTGTTCACATTTTTCAGGAAGAATTATCCTTGCATCGCACATTTTGAAAGTTTTTTAATGCCTTTCCAACTGCTTTCGAAGAAGGAAATTTGCTTGCAATTCGGAAACGAAAAGCTTTTGATATTATCTACATAGATCTACATTTCTACACCCCGAATTTCAGGAAAATGAAAGTTTGGACATTGAAAGCAAATAAATAAAATCAAATAAAAAGAAAACCAACTGATAGAAAAACCAAGTAGCCTACCTTAATTTCATCATCAGGCTGTTTGCTAACGTCTTTCGATCTTTCTTGTTCTTGCTCTTTCTTCCTATCTTTTTCTTTTGATCTATCTCTATCTCTACTTCTCTCTTTTTCTTTCTCTTTTTCTTTTTCTTTCTCTTTTTCGGAGTTCCTATCTCTCTCTTCGCGTCCTTTTCGTGATGTGTCCTTTTCCTTGTCTCGATCTTTACCAGAAGAACTACCCCGCTCTTTCTTATCGTCTCTCTGCAAAACAAGTTCATTGCCAAAATTAAAAGATACTCTCTGAAGAACAACATACTCATTATCAGCTATATGACCATCTGACCAAGAAGATTGTACCAATTTAGCTTTGACTTTTAACATCACATGACTTAGGTCCTTGAGATTGAGAAGGGACAGGGTATTGTTTTAAAGAATAATGTGGTATTTTAAGATCCTTCAAGTCTTGATAGAGCTATGATTCAAAGCTTTGTCAGATATATAAAAGAGGCTATGCACTACTAGGTAAAAAAATTGCAACAAAAAAATTTAATAACTAGTAGAATATGACTAAACAAACAGACAAAAGTTGGTAAACAGAAAAGCAAAATAGAACTATACTTTTCGGCTATCCTTTTCATCTTTTTTGCTATCTTTATCCTTTGATTTGTCACCACCTTCTTTAGGTCTTTCCTTACTTGAAGTTCTGGAGCTTTCCTTCTTTCTGCAAACGATTTTATAATGTATTTAGTTTACCTAATTTGTAGTTTGGCTGCAATGATAAAGTTATAAGCTGCCAATTTTGTACACAAAAATGTTAGCTTTTATGTGAACATGCAGGTATGACTGTGCTTAAATAAATGCAAGCAATTCAACAAAGGCAATAGTACATCATTGTGATAGGAAAACAGGATTTGGGAAAGACCAAAAAGAGAAGAGAGCTGATGGTTCATCCTGGGTTTGAGTCCTGCCCTGGTTGTGTTTAGCCCCCTCATACTTCTCTCAGAGTATATTTTTCCAAACTGCTTCTCTGATCAATTAAGGCATTGATCAGCGTAAAGCATTTAGTATCTCTGATGGTATTTCAAATAAATAGTAGAAAAAAGAATTGATGAGCTGAGCTCAGGGCATTATGGATAAGAGCTAATTTTTCAACAAAGAATCTCTAGACCATACCAGAGGGAAAGCAAAAATTTACCAGTACTAGGTGTTTCCATTTTCAAAATGAAATTTTTATGTTATGTTTACAATGAAAGATGTTTACAATGGACAGCACAAGAAAATTTGAGATTACCTTGATTTTCCAGAAGAAGGCTTCTCTCCTGATAGGGTCTTCTTTACTGCATCAGCACTATCCATCTGTAAAAGTCAGAAAATCTTTTAAAACTATGTCCTATTGCCAATAAATAAATTGCAAGAAATGGAGCAATCATGAGTAACAAAAAGAGCACAGAAAAAAACTTTCAGATTAAATTCAAATAAAATGAAGACTTTCATTTTTCTGAATTGGAAAAGTAAATTTTTAGAAATTTTCATAACAAATAATATAACTAAAAGCAAATAAATTATTGAAATCTTATCATATTGCACTAAATCTCATGGTGACCAGAAACAACAAGCTTAACCTCTGCCAGGAACATTAAAAAGTAGCTGGTCTTGGGTTCAGTCTTTGCCCATCCTCATTCTTCAAAGTTGAAATTAATTGCCTATTATTTGCAGTGCCTGGGGATGGGTTATAGGTTTTAAATCTAGTGAAAAAGTTACATTGTAGAAATTTGTTGATTGGTACTAAAATATTTCTTTTTAAAGAACATCAACTTATTGGTAAGACAAAACAACAAAATTGACAAAAACTAGAAAATTAGGTTGAGGTGATAGACTAAAGAGAGCATATTTTGTCCTTTTATTATCTATCCAAACAACCTTTTTTAAGCAAACTTTTCCCAATGACTGCAAAAACTCATTTGTCTTTTCAGGCTCATGACCAGCCACAATCTTTGATGGTCTGACACTAAGGGTTTCTCCTATCAAGATACCTACAAAAGAGAAACAATTTATCATTCTCATCACATCTTTATCATTACTACACATTGAGAAGAAACAAAGGGATGGAAGAAAGGAGGGGAACAATAAGATTTGGGGGTGAGAGGAAGGGGACAAATGTGGCTGACTCTCCTTAACCCTTTGCATAATGCATCATTTATGACAAAAGTCTTACTGAAAACTCAAACCATTTATATTTACTTAATGTACACTATTTCTTATGTAAGAAATTAATAGTTGATGCAAGTGCAAAGTTGATGTTGTGTATATTACATGTGTATGCCAAGGGATATTATTTTAATCTCTTCCTTTATTATGGTTTTAATAACATTTCACAAGCATAAATATCTTTAAAATATCAGACAAATCAAAGAATCAACACAAATATATGCAATACAGATTACAATCTGTACATACCAACACAATCTATTGCTTTTTGAAGAAAATACATTTTTGCTTCTTTGTCCTACAAAAATAAGAATTGAATTTTTTCTCTTTAAAAAGCTTTTAATACATTATGATATAGTTATCTTGTCTGATGAGCAAAATTATCATTTGCTATGAGTAGTTCAGCAATCAATTACTTACAGGGCAAAAGCCGGCCTAGAATCATCATTTTAAATTCTTACAGGTCTTTTCACATCAATTGAGGAAATACATGCAAAATCATTTACTGAAAATGGCTACAAGAAGTTTTTTGGTGAAAAATTAAAACTAAATCTTGAAAACACCAGATGTAATTGTGCAAAGGGCAAATTACAAACAGCTAAATTTATGTTAAAAATTGAATTCACTGTAGGGACAGATTTACACAAAGGTTTTGAAATATTTTTGAAGAATTAGATAAATATATAAGGATGAAATACAGCAAAATGACTATACTTACTTTAACATTTTCTGAATTCATTTCCTCTGGTTTAAACAGTCCTTTTAGCACACCAGTAACTTTTATAACCTCCGTCAAAATGTCATGAAGAAACCTGAATGGTGGCTTGCTTAGCAATTTATCTGTCAGGGGAGGCTTTTTTATCACTTTCCCAAGAGTTTCTTGAGTCTTTTTAATGACAGCAGGATCCATGGCTGTCTCTAGATGGTGAATTCCTAGAAGAAAAAATTGTATTTATGACCTTAGCTTAAAGCTATACTGACTTACTTTTATCAATTAATCTAAACTTTTCATGATTTAAAATCAAAACTTCCAGAAACTTACAGCATTTTGGCGATTTTAAATTTAACTAAGCATTTTGAAATGGTTCAATTTGGTTGTCAACAGCATGCAATTGTTTGTTTGTCAAAACAAGAAATTGTAATACTTATGGCATCATTAAACAACATTAAACATACAATCAGAAAATCGACGAGAAATACCAAAATAAGCCTTTTTAGCAAACTTACAGTTCTTTCAGTGGAAAAATGAGCGGAAAGACCTTGGAACAATTTTTAAAAACCAGATTGCACAATCTACTGAAAAATTATCTAGATTTCCACTGAACGAAGATCTGCAGCATCGTGTATTGATAACATAAACACTTTCTCTTTCAATAGTAGTGCCTAAGACTTTGAAAAAATTTTACATCTAAAAGTTAATCTTACCACAATGCACACACTTGTGTCGTCGACGGTGGTTGGCCTAGGCTGCCTTGTTGGTTCAGGTCTTTATGCAGGTCCGAGGAACTTTGAAGAAAACCTACGGCGAATATATTCACTTTTGTAACACTAAGCCGTCTGTGTTAGGTCAAACAACAATATGTGTGGGCAAAATCAGCCGCAAAACATTAATAAAATTTCCTGAATCAATGCAATTGCTCGGCTACGATTTGTTGATACCCATCACCATCTTAGAATTATTGCGCGCAAACTCAATCCAGACCTCCAGCTTCCAATGGCAACAGTCAAACTGCAGTAAAGCTTGGACAACCAAACGATTACCCATGCGAAACTGAGCAAACCAAATTCGGTTTGTCATTGCCAAAATATTGAAAACACTGATTTAAATCAAATGTTTGCAAAATTATGATAAAGTTCTAGAAAGTTGTTCATATTGAAAAAATCATATAGATTATCTAGTATGGCGTTCAGAGTTGAAAACTCCTTCGCCCAGTACGAAAGATCTTTTATTATAGATAATATGGAACACAGACTATGCAAAATCTGATAACACATCACACCCCAAAAAAGCAAATAAAGAATAATAACAAAGGTAATTATTGTTGTAATGATTAAAGAGTTTGTAGAATATTGGGGGGGGGGGGTGCTCATATTTTTTCCTACCAACTTCGCTCATAGAAAGTAAATAACACTCTCTACTCTAAAAGCAGTAATTTTTAGACAAAGATTCGCCATCTTAAAAATTTACAATGATGATATCTTGAGCCGACTACAACTACAAAGTCAAGGAATTTTTACAAATTTATTTCTAATCTACAGTACCTTCAATGCGTTTGTTATGTACAGTTATTTGCAATTTTTTCTTGTTACAAACTGACTTCAACAAGCTACCAGCTATACCTATTATTTTTTTCTGGTCATTCTAACAATTTTAGCAATCGTTATTTCCTGGTAACTTAACTTTTTGCTTGATTTTGGCAAGGTAAAAGTTAATTTAAAGCTGACGAATCGATTAGAATCGATTAACTAAGACGCATGAAAGCGAGGTCGCATTATACGCGCGGCTTTAATCTCGCGTCTTAGGTTATGGATGTGACGTAAGATACTTTTAACTATAGGTTAGTGTTATATTTTTAATCAGTACCACTTTTCGTACGTGTTCCTGTATATTGGATCGTTTATTCGAAGAGAGAGAAAAAGATTGTTTTCGGAGAGTTAAATCACCATTGATTGCAACCATGGGTGGTTGCAATATGTCAAAGATGTGCGGATGCCTCGGTACGTACTTTTTAAGAATAATTATAGTAAATTTTGGACCAAGGCCCCTTCTTTTCATGTTTAGGCCCATTTTTATACATAGACCCGTGTCTTAGTATCGGCTTCATCATTTCTTCTACTTAGAACAAATAAACAACATGCAAAAAAGATTAAAATGAATATTTGATTAAATGTTTCTTTTAATTTTGATACTAGGGCAGCGATCTAACCGTGTCGGCCCAGCAGACGACAGGCGTGTCAGACCTTATGATTCACAAACATCGAAAGGTACCCAGACACCTAAGCACGACATCTTTGAGCTTTATAAAAGAGGTAAGAGTTGGAATAAAAGTATAAAAGAGAGTTGGAATTCAAGTATAAAAGAGAGTATAAAAGATAGTTGGAAATCAAATGTGAAATATTGCAAAAAATATTGCAAAATTGTGCAAATGTATGAATATATTAAAATATATCAGTTAAGAATCTCAAATTATGAATAGTAAAGTAAGTTTTGTCCAGGGAAGAAATGGTTACATTGAATCTTTAACTAAAAGAGTTTAGCCCCCTTGTGCCCCCTTGAACATCATTGAGCCCTTTTTAGCCCTCTTCAGCCCCTTTGAGCCTCCCCAAGCCTCATGGCTCTACATCCTTGCATTTATATTTATTGGAAGACTTGCCTTAACAGTTCACAAAGAAAATTGCATCTATCAAAAGTTCAAGTCTTAATCTCATCTGTATAGTAGAAAAATATTTTTAAGGCAACTAAAGATAAGTCTCAATTTACTTAAAGCTTTTTTAGGTAATTCTTTAGGAAATTCTTCACTACCAGAACTAGTTTAGAGATAATATCATAAGTAATGCTTTGTTTCAGGGTCTATAGCCGTTGACGCTACGACAGCAAAGTCAAATGAGGCCAGGAAAACCCCCTCACTGAAACAAAAGCCAAAGGTATGAAACACTTAGGCCGATAAAAGAGAATTCAGATTAATTTTTTCTCGAAAATTGAACAAATTACAAACAAAATTAAAGTAAAAGCATCAATACTACAGTAAAAATTGTTTTATTTCCAGAACTCTTCAAAAAAAGTTTAAATTTCAATGCTTGAACCTTTTCTCTTTTTACAATAACTTTGAGTATGAAGAAGACTATCTTATTTACATAGTTTTAAGGGTTGCTTATCTGAAATTGATTTCACACGAAAAGAGGTGCATAGTTCCAACTTTTTGTATTAAAGATGCAGAAAGATGTTGGAACATCTCCACTTGAGCCATACGACTTCGGAAAAGGCAAGATTAATGAATCTTCTGATAACCAGTGCCTTGTTGACATCGAAGATGACGCTGAAGTCCAAAAGTTGTCGAATTTAGAGCTAAGCCAAGTTAGCAGCAAGACAAGAGCAAGTATGGCTTATGACGAGTTGAAGATGGAAATGTATGCCAAAATATTTGAGGGTTCTCACTATTCCATCGATGTGAAGGCAGAAACCTGCAAAGAAACAGCTAACTCCGATGTTATGGAGATTCCAGACATTCCAGGCCAAGTGCAAGATGAGCCAGCCATTGGAGATAAGTCAGCAGGTCCAGTGTACAGCAATACCTTCATCGGTAGCAAAGATTTTGAGACCATTCCAATTGACATCGAAGCAAAAGATGTTCAAAACAGTGGCTTACCAGTGGGTCAAGTTAAATTGTTGGAGGAAACAGAAGCCAGCAATGTTGTAGCTGTTGATATTGATGGAAACTTCATAAAGGAGCAACAGAAGTGCATTGGAACCTCTGTTCCAGAAGCTGAGCCAGTGGACCAGAATTGCAAAGTCCCTGCAGAGTGCGAATCAGCCAAAGCCGAGACCAGCTCAAATCCTCAGACAGCAATTCAATGCCTACAGCCATTCAAGAACCCTGCAGCTCACCTTGTTGAGGCAGTCAGTGTTTCCGTACTGATTGAGGACCTTGAAAACATGATGGAAGTGGAAAACCCAGTAAAGGAAGATGCCACCACTGCTGCTCATGACCCTGCTGATATGAAAAACGAGACTGTTGAGAGTGTCTCTGCCAACATAAATGCCGAAACTGATGCCAACACAAAGCCCCAAGCCATTGTCCCAACCAATGCTCCAGCTATTGCCCCAGCTGTTGTTATTGTTGATGTCCCAATTGATGCTCCTGAAGATGCTAATGCCCTAGAGAATGTTCTTCCTGCTTCTCCTGTTCAAGCCCCTGCCAATGCTTCTACTGATGCCCCTGCCGATGCCCCTGCCGATGCCTCTGCCGATGCCCCTGCCGATGCCCCTGCCGATGCCCCTGCCAATGCATCTGCTGATGCCCCTGCCAATGTTCCAATGGATGCTCCTACTGATACTTCTGTTGATGTTCCTGATGATGCCCCTGCCAATGCCACTGCCAATGGCCTTGCTGATGCCCCTGCTGATGCCCCTACCAATGCTCCTGCCGATGCCCCTGCTGATGCCTCTACCGATGTTCTAATGGATGCTCCCATTGATACTTCAACTGAAGTTTTTGCTGATGTTCCAATTGATGTTCCAGCTGTAGCCCCTGTCGATGCTCCTGCCGATACCCCTGCCGATGCCCCTGCCAATGCATCTGCTGATGCCCCTGCCAATGTTCCAATGGATGCTCCTACTGATACTTCTGTTGATGTTCCTGATGATGCCCCTGCCAATGCCACTGCCAATGGCCTTGCTGATGCCCCTGCTGATGCCCCTGCCGATGTCCTTGCCGATGCCCCTGCCAATGCATCTGCTGATGCCCCTGCCAATGTTCCAATGGATGCTCCTACTGATACTTCAACTGAAGTTTTTGCCGATGTTCCAGCTGAAGCCCCTGTCGATGCCCCTGTCGATGCCCCTGTCGTTGCCCCTGCCGATGCCCCTGCCGATGCCTCTGCCGATGCCTCTGCTGATGCCCCTGTCGATGCCCCTGCCGATGCCCCTGCCAATGCCCCTGCCGATGTCCCTGCCGACGCCCCTGCCGATGCCCTTGCCGATGCCTCTCATGATGCATGTGCTGATGCCCCTGCCGTTATTCCAATGGATGCTCCTACTGATACTTCAACTGAAGTTTTTGCTGATGTTCCAATTGATATTTCAGCTGAAGCCCCTGCCGATGTTCCACCTGAAGCCCCTGCCAATGTCCCAATGAAAGCCCCTGCCGACAGTCCAAGTGAGGCCCCTGCCAATGTCTCAATGGATGTACCTGCCAAAGGTCCAACTGAAGCCCATGCCGATCTCCCAACAGATGCTATTGCCCAATCTTCTACTGTGGCTTTTGCCATTGACCAAGAGAATGCTCCTGCCATTGCTGAAACTATTGCCCCTGCCGATGTTCCAATTGAAACTGATGCTTATGCTCCAATTGAAGCCCTTGCTCATAATGCTATTGATGTAGCTCCTGATGTACTTGTCAATATCCCGAATGATGATCTTCCCAATATTCCAAACAATGCCCCTGCTGACGTCCCAATTGATGCTGATGCTGCTGTTCCAGCTGAAGCCTCTGCCGATGTGCCTGTTGATGAAGCCCCTGATGTATGTAACAATGTCCCAAATGATGTGCCAAACGAACTTGATGATGAACCTGCCATTGCCCAAGCCAATACCGCACCAATAGTCCCCGGTGTTGTAGAAAGCAACCAAAACTCTGACAAATTTGCAGACGCCTCTGTAAATCAAGAAGTCAGCTCATCAGCAGTTTCTCTAGCTGATTCCCTTGCCGATGTGGTGGCTATTACAGCTGCCAATGCGACAGAAGATAAACCTGTGGATAAACCAGGTGATTCTACTGTTGAACAAAGTGCCCATACTGAGGCTCTTGCCAATGAAACTACTGTAGTACCTGTGGACGACGATGACAACGCTAATGGTGCGAAGACTGTCATTGCCAACATGTCCCAAATCGAGGCTACAGATTCAGCTGCCAGTGATGATATGACAGCTGAAGTTTTTGCCGAGACGACCACCACGGATGACATAAGTGCCCTGGGTGGAGAAGGCAAAGACGATTCTAACTGAAAAACTACAAAAATGGATCTTTAAAAAAATAAAAAAACTATTTTAAAAAAATAAGAATAACGTGACTGATATTTTTGTGAATGATTTTGTTTTTGTTGAAAAATCTCAAAACCTTGTGTGTATGTATATGAATCAAGCAAATAAACAAATATTTATAACCATGAAATGCCGTATAAAACATGTATATTATGCCAATCAAAGTTTTCATTGTGCTTAGACAATATTTTTATTCGCCTTTCTGCTCTTATGGAAATCAAATTCAATGAGCCAAACTTAGAAGTGAACAGAGCACCATGACAACAGCTGGGAAAGTCATATCCAGGAAATATTGCAAAACTGAACAGAAGATGAATAACTCAGTGAGTAAGCAAGCATGGAAGTAAAAAAGTAAGCATGAAAGTAAATAATAAATGTGTTTCAGCATTGAAGAGGTTGAATTTTGTCATGCAGAAACAGTGAACGAGGTTTATGATGGGATGGCGAGATTCTGTTGCGCTGCTGCGTTGAATCTGTCACCTGATTGGAAACCGGAAAAACAAGAGTAATGAAAGTTCTCCGCTAGTGTCCATTAGTCTGTTTCTACCTTGACTTTGCCTCGAATTTGCTCGTCAGCTTTGTTTGTTTCTGATTAATTTGACAGTTTTAGAAAGTCTCACTGAGTAATTACAATGCCAGAAGCAAGCACATTCAAAAGAAATGATATCTATGAACCGATTTCAATGCATCACAACCTGACATAAACGCATCAAAGGAGATGAATTGTAAACAAAAGACAGAGCTTTGATTGTTTCTTTCAATTTGATTGTTAAAGATCATTACAATTGATTGGTTTTTAAAAAAACAACGATCTAGTTCCCTATCACTTACAAGTTTAGGGAGCAGCACTGGTACCTGTTTGGCGAGATGATGGCAGCAAATAAGAAGATTCAGAAAGGGTAAGGGAAATTTTTTGGTACTCAATTGCTTATAGCGCATAAATTTATTTACTGTGACATAGGCCTAAATTCTGATCTAGACCTATTACCATTCTTAATTAAACCGTCTCTAAGATTAACGATTGTCTCTTCCTTCTGGCATCGAATAGTTTCGTGGCTACCTAGCCTTTGTATTATCAGACAGAGAAGTAATGTAAACTTCCAAAATGAACAAAATCATTAGCATGTAGATTTTTCTTTTTGAATTGTGATGGTTCTGCCATTCATAAGTTAGCTTCTTATAGTAAACACCAGTCCAGGTCCTTTCATTGTTTCGCCTGAAAACACAAACGTTTATGATGCCTCCAAATGGCATGTAAATTTTCTTGAGGAGAGAAAAGTTTCCTAACTGACTCAAGATAATAAACATGCAAACAGGTAGCGTGTTTTTGCAGTGCCTTGTTGTTCCGTTTTACGTAATCTTAAAGCGTAGCTTGAATTGATTTCGCAAATTATTGAAAATTGTTCTGTCGATAGGCGTAATTAGTAAGCTATAGCAAGATAAAATAAGAGAACTAGCTCTGTTCTCTTATTTTATATTGACTATAGAAATAATCAACGCAAATATGCGAAGGCTTGTCTCCGGTAATTCTTATTAGGAATTTGAAGATCCCGTTCGACTAACAATTCAGCGCCATGTTATTTTGACCAAGTTCAACATTACTTTTATTTATTTAAGTTTTCATAAACAAGAGTTTCTCCGCTTATTAAACCTCTACTTATCAAGCCCCCAATTTATGAAGTTTTTGACTTTTCCCCCATTTATTCCAACTCCCGTTTTTGCCTGACCTCCGAGTACGATTGATAAATAATGCGTTCGCGTAATTTTTTTCCATTGGGGGTGGGGTCGTGTAAATCTTTTTTCACATATATTTTAGTCAATTTTCTGCAATCATTGCTAAGATTTTAATCAGTTTTGCAAAATTCTTGGTTCACCCTTAGATAAGGAGCATACGTAAACGTAATCAGTATACCCAATTCCAAGCCATATACGCAATCCTTGTCATTTCACGGGAATCCAAAGGATTAGGATGGACCATTCTTTAGAGCCGTGGCTACAGGAGGGGGAGGGGGCCGTTGTCCTCCTACTTTTTGCTAAATTTACGATTTAAGCTAGCCCAAATTTTCATATAGATAAATCTGTAGATACAGTAATACATTGAATCAAAGTCTACAATTAAACATCGCCAGCAAATATTTTGCCAAAACAGGGGCTAGGCCTGTTGTATCTCAGTCCAAATGTGTACTCCCTAATGCTCTGAGATTGTCGAACCAGCAAAACTTCCTTTATACTCAATACTCTTGCTGGGAGAATCCCTGCAGTATCTAGTTATAGCTGGTGTCTTCCCATTGTCATTTTTCAACTGGTGTGCATAGAATTTAAATTCAATACGCCTTTCCTGATTCGCAACACTTAACCATTCCATAAGATCGCTTTTACTGAGAGGTTTTGTGTGCACAACAGAGGTGGAAATGATTTGCTTGTCTCAGATTTACTGTTGCTGAGCGTTGACGCTATTACATCTTACAACCGTTGAGTTAAAAAGCAGGTACCCTTACTCACTCCTATTGATATTTTGGTAATTTTTAATTGCTTTAAATTTTTTATAGTGCACTATTCAGCGATATGGCACTTCTTGAAAAAACTAATGCACCTATTTCACTGCCCTTGTTCATCTTAATTTTTGCCTAGAATGTTTCAAATTCCTCGCTTATAAATCTATTCCCAATCTTAATGTGGTAAAACGTGGCAGTGCTATGGACTTGGAGAAATGGTGGTCGTTCCCTCAATGAATATTGTAACCTGCAAAAACTTTATAGAAACAAAAACTATATGTATTTTCTACACAAAGAGTTGCGATTCTCTTCTCCAATACAAAATATTTTTACAAGTATTTTTAGTAGAAAGCTTCGGTAACGTTGCCAAAGCTTCGGAAAAACTGTTTGTTAGGCAGAATAAACCCTTCAATCCAGTGTTTAAGTGTTCAAGCTTATCAGTGCAGTTGATAAACCTTTATGCAATATCCTGCTCAACAAAGGCACTTCACCAACGTGTATTTTATTTGTCGCTCAGTTGACAAGCAAACTGAACCCTTACTTATATGCAGATGATAATCCAGAACCACATATTGGCAGCTGCATGGTCATTCAATTAATCATAGAATCTGCTTAGTATCAAGTGTTTAATTTTCATAATTTAATTTTGTTCTATGGAAATGGATTATGTTTTATAAAAGTGCATTGAGTTAATAGTATATTCCGCTTTCTTTGTTAAGTATTCGGATAAGCCAAAGCTCAGTGCGAGAAAGCAGGTCAAAGTCAAGACTTTTCAAATTTTGATTACTTTCTTTGCTGTGTCAAATAATATCATCTTGATCTTAGATTTGTAATTTAAGGTTTCGTTTTGCAAATTATATACAAACTTATCGCTAAGGGCACTAACATTCCAGAAACATATGTAGGTTCACTATGAAAGCACACAAAAGAGGTCCAATTGCAGGGCCTATTTTATGGAAATTTTCCACGACCACACTTTAAGAAAAGAAGGCTGTATATGAAAGCATGGAATTTCAAAATATCGACCGTTGCCGTAGAAAGCGTTTTTCTTTATTCGTGTGAAACAAAAATATTCAACATAACACGATTACAAATATGTTTTGTTTATGCTTTTGCGCCATTTGAGAGCAAAAAGCTGATCGGCTGTAAGATTTTTCGCTTTTGTTGGACCAGATTAATCTGGACCAAGGAACTTGCGCTACGATTCATGGAAGTTTTTTTAGTACTGTTCTATTTTGATATAAAGTTTCAAAACTCTATCAACAGAAAAACATATCTATAACAAGAATATAGCTAAAATGAAAAACCCCATTCCTCAATTTTGAATTTCCAAGACCGCATTTTGGATTTCCAAGACCACAAAATGTGGGAAAAACCACACTTAAATAGGCCCTGTCCATTTGGCACTCTTAGCATCTCCTGCTTAGACTTTTGCCACAAATGTGAGAAGCCAAAAAAATATTCGCAAGACAAACTAGTGTTCTTCTAAAATTTCCAATAGATCTAGCATATAAAGGGAATGAGAAATAAGAACACTGAGATTTCATGGACATGAAATTAAAAAAAGATTGTCATTTCTTTTCAGTAAGGAGAACCTTGCGAGAAACCAAGCTTAAATATATTTTTGATTGAACAATTAATAACTGTGTATGTCACTTTTATTGACATTCTTCAAGACCTGTAGAGATTTTGACCACTGAAAAATTTTGGAAACAAGGCTTAAAATGCCTCTTTTACTCATTAGAAACTAAGGAATGATGTTATGAAATCAAGTGAGTACTTTAAAAGGAAGAAAAAACGGTGAAGCCAGATTTATTCTTTACTTGATGTTAAAAAGAAGACTACAAAACCACGTGTCCCAACCCTTACCCGAGATCAGTCTTTTCCAATGAAATAAGTTTGTTGAAATATGTGAGACATAACCAATAGCCCAAACATTGCCTTTGCTTTACTTCCCTGAAATAATGAAATCTACTTTTTTAGTATTATATTGCATATATTTGAATAGGTTAGGTAGATAATAGAAAACTCTTTACCAGTGTGCCATATAGTTCTCGATGCCGTATAAGCAGAGCTATACACGTTATTTGGTGTTTAGTTTACTTACTCGGGAATGAAATACCAATCCAACATAAAGGGCATAAAGCTCCCTCAGAAAAACTGCCATAGACATCAGAAAGGTCAGTCATGAGGCTACGTTCCCACATCATCGAGAGCGAGTTGGGCCGTTGGTGCATCGACGCCAATCGCTCAACCTACCATAAAGGAGTTATTAAGGGAAGTTACACAATAACCCCCAAATATGATTGATAATTGGGAAAGAATGGACAAGAACAGCCTCTTTTCTCCACTAATAGCCAATGCACCAGTCTACCTAATAGCATCAGAAAACGCTAAGAAGCATAAAAGATGCCTAAAAGTATGAGAGGTTTTAATGATGCCATAAAAGAAACTCAACACGCAAAGTTATACTGAAAAGGCATTTAGCATAAAGAAGCAAAATAAGGGAGGGAGGGCTGGGAAAATACAATAAAACAGCCTAGTTGTATTGTGGCTTCACCAAGCAAGGTGAGACCCACGCTATGCCAAAACCTTAAATACCACTAGATTAACCAAGGGAATGAAAACGCCACGAAACACACATCTTACCCTAGTTATACAAATCAAATTCACAGGAGGCCGAAAGACTCCCCGCATTGCCAATAGACTAGTAGAGTAGATACAAGAAAAACGCGAGAAAGCGTGGCACAAGAAAACATAACGAAATAGTAATAACAACAATCTCAAGCGATTTAGTTAACGCTCAAAAGCCCCTAGTTAAAATATCATTTAATCATCATATAAAACAGGACAGTTGTTAAGTTTCACTCCGAGTTTCGGATAGATAAGATAGATAAATATAAGTAGATAAGGGGCCACGTATACGACTCTTTGTGAACGTAAACGACCATAGCGTAAGCAGTTCAGAAACTATAGAGGAGTTGGCTGATACTCAGCTGCTGATTAGATGCTTTGATAGTAAGCCTTTCATTCTCCCGCTCTCTGCAAATGCTTTTACCGCTTGCTTTCGAGTATTATTGGTTCATAGAATCAGTAGCAGAGTTCTGTAAAATTGAGATTCTTATTGGAAATCTGCGTATTGTTTTAAAACCGATAACACAGATTTCATTAGGAGAATATTGTGGATATACAGCTGTTCAGCGTTTCATCTGTTTTCACAAAGGGCAATATGCTGTGATGGTTAATAAATTTCCTAAAGCCTTTCCTAACTCAAGTGTTTTGAAATTCAGGCTGTGGCCGACAGCGTTGCTACTCACCTCGAGCTATAGGCACAGTTACAAACACTATTGCCACGAGAATTCGAAAAGAAAAACACATGCTTGCCTTGCGCAAATCCCGTAATCAAAGCTTGTCAACCTAACAAATTCTAACAGAATAGCTTTGCATAGGTTAACCCCTGCTTATCACCATAGCAAAATTTCCATTTAGACAAGGACTTGCTTGACGATGACTTATTGAAATGGGTAGTAAGGCTGCCACAGTCAATAGATGTGCTTTTATATTCAAGGGTTCCTAATTCCACGCTACGATGGAGTAAACACATTAATCTGATCAACAGCTTACTTGCTATCATATGCTTGAATAATTATAGAAGAAGAAGAACAATGACAGAATCAGTGAATCGACGGAGATGGAAAAGTCCATTGGAAGGAGGGCAGAGTCCCATTATCTTAGCCCTATTCTCAAACTTTCTTCTTAATTCTACCAAATACTTTAATGATAAGATCACGAAATTTTCAATTTACACAAACAGACATCATGCAGCTTTTATGATTACTGCTTTATATGGTCCTATAGCATACAAGCTATAGCTTGGTAATTCCTGGATTATTGACTTACACGGGCGGACGGTGACTGAATCGGGCAGCTTTTCTTTGAAAACTCCAACTTCCAGGATGACTTTTTCCAACATTTCGCCCAACATTGGAGGGCCCCTTGTAAGCTACTTTCGTTAAATTTTTGAAAGCGAGCAAAAATAACTTTATTTAGCCCACAAGAAGTTGTCATAAAGAAGCACAACACCCACTAGCGGAACTTTAGCCTCTAGTCACACGGGGCATAGCTTTATTTAGCCCGCATATAGTGAATCTCTGTTTAATAGATATTCACAATTTTTTCCACTAGTTTTTTTAATGTTTAGAAGAAGTAGCAATTGTGAAGATACAATGCAATTCTCAATCAAAATTTCATGCCATTCTGTAAACATTTTTTTGCAAATTCTGTTTTGGACAGTTTACGTATTAAGAAATTTTCTGTGTAGCAGCTACAAAATAGCTGTGCAGCGGCAAAAGTTTAACTTTGTAGAAAATCTAGACTTGTTGTGGCTATCTTTTCGTTATGTTAAAAGGGTTTTGGCTTCTAGACTTGGCTTTTTGTTTAAGTCAATAAAGCATTTATTCTGGTAGAGCACTTATCTATTGTGCAATCGCTTCTAAAATTGAATCGATAATGGTCTCATGAATTGCATATGGAACTGTTTTAACTTGCCAGTTGTCAACAGTCACATGTAGACAACATGTTAACAGAATTTGCAAAAGCCACATCGTCTGAAAATGGTTTTTGATATCCACAAAGAGAATAAATGACGGTCCCATGTCTCATCATCAATGAATAAAAACTGCAACCTTTTTTGAGTTCGGAGGAAGATCGGAGAGAAGAGCACAAAAAAAGCTTAAACAAGTGGTTGTCTATGTTTTAGGCCGTCGTTCCAATTTACGCAGCTTTTATCCCACTTATGTAATGGCATTGCGAACTCCGAAATCGTTTAGTATAGGCAGGAACAACGCCAAACCTCAAGGAGCAATCCAAATATAGTTGATAAACTAAACTTTTCAAAATAAAGTGCTAATGTTCCTTAATTTCACAGAGATGGGCAAGTGTTTTTCTCTTTACATTTTATCTAAAAAAGATTGCAAGCGAGGCTGGCCGCTTCAGGGGTCATACTGGTCCAACCAGAGTCATACTGGACTGGGAGTCATATTGTTCTGAACCGATATGACCCTGGGTTCATATTGGTCTGAAGGGTCATATTGGTCTGAAGGGTCATATTGGTCTGGAACATTTCCATTAAAATTTTCAGTCATCGTCGACGTCGCCGATAGAAAAAAGTTGAACTAGATTCAACTTTTGCAGGGCACTGCCGACACGTCGGCGACAACCTTGTGGGAGTGTTTCCATTAAACTTTCACTCGTCGGCGACCTGTCGGCGATGAATCGCCGACGCATAAAAGTTCTATGGAAACCAGGCTTTATAAATGCAAAATTTTCTTCAGCAAACTGTGCTTTGTTTTTTCTGAGCTGTGTTTTGATGTTTTGTCTCAATGCGTTACATATTTTAAAAAATTCGTAATCAGTTTGATGACATTTGTATCAACCACCTGCTGTTGATTGTATTATGAAAACAGCTCATCTATACGAAGTTATCGTATGAATACGCTTATATTTATTACCAGCATCTAGAGAATGGCAGCTCTAATGAGAAACTGGCCTGTTTCATGCAGTGTTAATCTGCGTATTTGATCAGAGATGGGGACGGAGTCACTGGACTTGTCACTAAGGCAAAAATGCACCAACAGACTTAACACTTTTTTTGCATAACCCCATCAAACAATTCATGTCGGTATTGTAAGATACAATGTTTCTTATCATTTAAAGAAGCGTTTTAAATTCTTTGTTGCATAGAGACATGTGCAGTTGCGTTCTGCGGTGTTGCACAGAGACATTTGCGGCAAATTCAAGTTGCAATTATTTAACTGATATTTTCTCCTTCCCTCAATTTCATGGCAAACATTATAAATCGTAATAAAATCATTAACATATGTATTTGCTATAATACCTTGCACTTCTATTGCTGTCAAAGATCTGTCATGCATTTGACGATCTATAGTATTTGCAATGCAACAAATATTGAATGAGTTTGTATAAATAAAAGCTTAATACTTTTCCATTCAATTCGTTACAGGTTGACAACTGGTTTTTTAAGATAGTGTGGTAAGAGCATCCCCTTTCAAAACCCTTTCTAAATTTCATAGATTTCGTAATGGCGCAAAGCAACTGCCTTCCTTTCAAATAGCTTCAATTTTGTTTGCTTTTTGCAACAAGATCAGTTAGTCAAAATTTTATGATGGCTGAAATAACTTATGAACTACAAAGATCTCATCGTTTGCAAAGTTTGCAGAAGCTCAGAATGATGCCTTTTGCCACAATATAAATCTTCGAATTTTACATAATCTGCCTCGGATTTTACAAAAAGGACGTACGATTATAGGTTAAACTAGGAAGTCTTAGTTGCCAATAATCTTGGAATTTGTTTTTGATAAGCTGTTTTCGAGAAAAAGATGCGTGGTTTAGCCACAGATCCTGGCAATTGTGAGTTAGGTCCCGGAAAAATCAGTAGGCTAACTCTCTGTAATTCTCAAACTGGCCGACATAAGAGTTGAACAGTAGCTTTCTGCAAGACATATGTGCCAAATAGCACAGCTGCATGTATTGTTGTATAATCCCAATGGTTTCTTTGGTTTTATTCGCCACCAATTTTAGTCATTGAATCGCAAAAATACAAAAGATATCAAATTGAAATACTTAGGGCTGGCAGATCTGAAATTCGAGGGGTATTTTGTCATGTATCTCCAATTCCGGTGGAAGTTGTACCTACATCATTAGAAGCAATCTGATGCAACAGTGTTTTACTACTTTCACACGACAATGTTTTGATGTCTGCCAAGAGACCTCAATCAGTATCCATTGCAAGTCATAGATTTTATTCGACAGATTGAAATTCATCTTTTGTTTTGCGTGCTAGTTGGTACCTGCATCTCCAATCTATATGTCCAGCTGCGCTTGCTAGAATCAACATTCCTGATGCATGATCCTAATGTAATGTTTTGTTAAGAAATTAACATATTCTTCTGCTCAGCATATGACGTTCTTAACACATACCTTGATAGATATATCATTAAAAACAATGCAGTTATTTTATGCAATTTTTGGAAAGGGGTATTTTTAGAACCAGGGAATCCGGTTTCTTTTCGGTGTTAGTATTCTGTGGAGTTGATTCCGGCAATTATAATATAACTGTACCTGCTGACTTTGATCACATGCTATTTACAAGGAGCTTTGAAGTGTTGAAGATAAAGTTGATTAATATTTAAAGATCTGTCTTGCTTCTTTGCAGATTTTGATTAGACAGTAGAACACATTACCAGAGCTGCCTGGAAGATCGTAGATGAATTATACAAAGCGCTTTTGGACACACTGCCAAGACGGGAATTAGAATGCAATGAAAAGATACGTTCTACTTTGTCAATTTGCAGAAAAGAGTAGATATTGGATTGGTAGTTTGGTGAAGCACAATGTCCAAAGCCGTGTGAAACAATTGTCACCTCTCTTAAAAACGCATTCAATTAACTTTAATAGACGTCTCTGAACATGCCGGGAAGAATGACAGCGCATTCGGATTGTCACGTAAAGTTTATTATAGTGTCAAGCAAAGAATGAATGTGACGAGTAAATCTTTAATCGTTGCTTATAATCATATACACCTATAGAATATGGAGGCAATATTAAACCAGGAAGACGTGAAGGAGTATTTGTTGAAGAATCGAGAATTTACCAACAGCTTCTTCGCAGAACATGCAACTTCCGAAATGGTCCAAAAGTGGTTTCAGCGAAGAAGCAAGGCGCATGTAGTAGGCAATCATTATGATACACCTAGTAGGTTCTCTTTGGCAGTTCAGCAAGAGGTTAGCGAGGAAGAAAGCGCGGAAGAAAGTCCTGGAGCAGAGCAAAAGGATATCGATAGTGCCATTTCAAGGCGGAACTCAGAACCCTATACTGCTACTGCAAACAGAAAAACGTCTGCGTTTAGGGTACGTGAAATGCGGAAGAAAAAAGCTTTGACAGATATAAGACAAAAACCAATTTTATCGCAAACTTTTGATGAAGTAGTTGAACCAGAAGGAGTCTCTAAGCTGGTGTACTTGAAACCATCGTTGAGAAAAACTCAATCGGCACCAATTTGCAAGGATATCTTCAACAGGTTAATCAATTCGAGTGTCTATTTACATAATTTGCCATCGCATGATTGGCAGTACAAGTTGGATTTAAGGTCTGCAAGCGAAGATGCATTTTTTAATGAAGTCATACAAGATATAATGCAAGACTTAAATTTGAAAACACTGTGCAAAAAGTTGATTCTCAGCGTGGGAATTATAACTGATGCTTGCAGTGCCTCTTTGTTTCTCGTTGAAAAGAAGGAACAAAAAAAACTTTTGCGAGTTTGTTTTGAAGAGTGGAAATTTGATAGTGACAAAGACATTAGCGTAAACGCCCAATTTTCAGATGAAGTTCGTAATTTTGGGGAAGACGATATAAGCCGAGTTGCTGAATCAGGGCAAGCTATCTTAACAGCATCTGAGGTATGATCATATTGCTCATCTTTATAATATAGAGGCCAATAAACTGTGACTTTATTGAGTTGCTCATTTACCTTTTAATGATACGTAAGGTTTGGAGTCTCAGACATAGGTTCTCTTCTAGAAACCTGCAAAAGATATTTTGCTATGTTCATTACTTTACATGTTAATCAAAATAATGTCAGTATAACCCCTAGTTTACATGTTCTGTATCAATTCTACTTTGTTGGGATTTTGTTTTCTAAGTGACCTCAGTTCCTTTAAGCTCATTCCTTGCATATTTAAGGCAAATGTCCCAATTTCATTGTTTGCGAATCACCATGATTCTGACTGAGCTAGAAACATACACGCTATAGGGTTTTTGAAAATCATTAAGAATTCACGGGAGCAGCCTGCGAAAGATAAGATGGCTAGATTATAAGAGATGATGAGAATGCAGACATCAGACTGATAATTCAAAACAAAGAGTATGACATGTGTGAATAAATTGCCCCCCTGTCCTTTAAATCAAAGCACAAGAATTCTAGATCTCCTCATTAGAATTGGCTTAAGCTCCAGACCCCCAACCTGGAGGAAGAGAAGTCTGGAGGACAGGCTACATAAAAATGTATTTTCTTTCTCTTACGAAAATTTCAAACCCAGTTCAATTTTTTCTCGAATTACTCGACCTGAGTTTCAAGACAGTCACGAAGGCAATTTATGAAAAGCTAGCTTTCAAGATAGCCAAATGAGTTTATTAACGTTATCAACTAAAAAGGGAAATTCTTTCAAAAATTTAGATTAAAGAGAACATTGACAAATCGAAAAATAACCAAAATCTGATTCTGATTAAAATATATATATAAGCAAATTCAAATGTAAAATCTACTGTATACTTTCTACTAAATTTTAAGTTTTCTTTCATAAATTGTTGTAGATTCAAGACTTTGTTTGGTTCATATTTGTGCCACTAATGTCGTCTTAGATTTCTGTCACTCTAACTCATATCGCAATTTTTCAGAATTCTACATCAACTGGGCAAGAAAATACTGGTGGGGGAGGGAATGTTAAAGAGACGCTAACAAAAGCGATTAAAACACCAACTGGAGAGGTACTACTTTTAATATTAGTGTGCAAAGGGAAGCAGAAACCAAGGCAGATAGCAAGCCTAGACAATGTTTTTTTATTATCAAAGTGCATGAAAGAATTAAAACGTCGTGATTTTAAATCAAACTGAGTCAATAAAGTTATTGATCGATATATTCGTTAAGAACAGACAGTAGACACAAAGACGGGAGTTAACGAATCACAATAAAATGACACTTTTAGCTCAAGGGTTGTCGACTAAGTTTGAGCTTACTTCAGAAATCTTAAAAAGATTAACGTCGTAAGTTATTCAAGCCATTGAAACAAATTCAAAGCTAACAAATTTTCATTTTCAGGTGGTCGGCGTCATTTCCCTCTCGGCCAAAAAAGGTGTCTGGGCAGTTAACGAGCAAGATGTACGTATAATAGAATCTTTAAGTATAAATTCTTGAAAAGCTGGTGCAAAAATTATTGTTAAATTACTGATAGCTGCAAAATATTTTCGTTTCTCGAGTCTAAAGTTTGGCTCCAGCTTCATACAAACTTTGAAGACAAAGATTCAAGCAAGACAAAGTCAGGCAAACGCTCCAGACAGATGTTCAATCTCGAGACTGTTTTTTGGAAAGATGATGACACCATATTGAAAACTTACTGTCTTAAAAACACGAGTGACTAATTTGCAATTGCTTTGCCGGTAATTTCTTCTTTACGCTTGCTCAACTAAGCAATATATCTTGCTGAGCACATTCTATGCTGACCTTAAAGGCAGTTCTATATTTGTAACCGCCCGATGTTCTTTTAAGGTTCTTGATAAATACTTAACATTTTGCGCAATCAGCCTGACAAATGCCAGAATATTCAGTGTATCGAAGGAAGAGTTCGATCGAAATAAGGTGAGTTGCATTTTTCCTACTCTTTCCATCATTGCCTCAGAGAGCCAAAGTAAGTAAAAACTGGGGTTGGAAATTTCGATGTAGAATGAGATCCTTTCATTTTCTCTCCCCTCTTTTTACTTTCATTGACTCTCTGAGGCTCTGGTACCCAGGGTACTTTTTCCACACTATCTGTAACAATACATATCAGAAACAGTAGCTAAGAATAACAAACATTTCAAAATGTTGAATGAAAAAACAGATTTCATAACTTATTGAGCTTTTTCATATTTTTCAGCCTAAAATGCAACTAGTGTTTATCTAGTGCTTGAAACTACACTTCATATTTTTCAGGCATTGCTGGAACTGGCCCATGATATTTTTGAGGAGCAAACGTCTTTGACAAGTATGGTAAACAAGACAATGCGACGAGCAATCAATCTGTTTTCTTGCAAGCAATGCATGCTGTTGATTATTGCTGATCCTAAGCACAAGAGCCTTACTTCGGAGGAGGTAAGAATGCAGCTGATAATTTCCTGTAAGGTCATGCAATATCTTCCTCTCAGGTAAAACTTTAAAAATCCTCGATAGCGTCATTTGGGTTTATCGTATACTTTTTTGTTCTTTTTTTGATCATATGGTGTCAAGACAGCCCCTAACCGTGTAGCTTTACACCATGATACATGTTAAGTACAGTTAACTACTGTATCTAAAGATCAATGGTTTGAAATACAGACAATCAAACAGTTTATTGTGGTATTCATTGAAACAGTACCACTCTCTGAAGAAATGTAATTTTCTTCCAATTTTCATTGCAACCAATTGCTAGTATTTCTATATTAAGTTTTCTCAGAACATTTGACAAATTATCTTAATGAAATAATTTCAGCGCTTCTCGCACATTTACAAAATGACTCAATCAAATGAGCGAATCGCAGATCTCAAATTTACAAGGTTTGTTTCGTACAATGTTTTATTTTGTATTTGCTACCTAGCATCTGAAGGTAGTTTTAGGACACTAAGAAGGTTGCTCATCGAGCAGTGTCCTGGTCCTTCCTCTCGGTGTGACTACACTCCTTGATTCATACGTCTAGAATGCAGAGGGCCACAGAGAGCTGGCGACTCTGAGTAAAAGTACGGTCATGTCAGGGGCTCGAACTACAAACCCTGGAATCTGTACGATCATGTCAGCGACCCTAGCCACTGAGCATAATTCTTAACACACAAGCATGATTTACTAAACCCATATCAAATTTTTGCAGCCAAAGTTCATTTGGAGCTGCAAACTCGCAAGGCTTTTAGCGTACAAGCGGAAAAAATTAGAGGTGGTACTCTACTTTTTTTCAAACGTTTCCAAAAGAATGGCATTTTCTGCCCGATTCGCTGTTAATCATGAAAATTGATTCAACTATGACTATGATGCGTAATTCACTGGCACCCTGCTCCATGCGCTTGTTAGCCAGACAAAATTGACCGTCAAGAAAACACGTCCTTTGGCAATGGGACTTGATCTCCAATCGCTTTGTTTATGACTTGCATGAATTATCATAATATTTTTCATAGGTTGACGTAAGGAATTTTGTGGGCTGACCAAATGGATTTCATAGTGGATTTTGTGGGCTGACCTAAATAGTAATATGTGGTTGACACAAAAACTTACGTGGGAATGACCTCCGTATGCCTTGCTGTCGTCACTGAGACATTTTGGTGAATTGCATGAAATACCTGAAGAGTCCTCAATTATACAAAGAGTAACAATCATATAAAAACGTGCTTCTGTCTTTTCGGTGTTACATCATAATAACCTCATAATTAAACAGCCTCGTTTAGAACATTACAATACCATTAGAAAGAAACACCTATGTCTTGCAGGTTGAACAGCATAAAACTCCATATGATATATTATGCGCCATATGATAGGTTGGCAACCTTAATAATAATAATATTAATATTAATAACAATGATAATAATACATATTTAAAGTGGGTAGTCTACAATATTTAATAATGCTTAAGTTAATTTTTTACATCAGGGTCTTCTGAAAATAAGGAGTTTAAAACATAGGTATATAAATATATATTACAATAAATAGTTAAAAATATATAGAATACAACCTGTGTATAATTGTTACAATGATAGAAGAGGGGATTTGAATTGTAAGATGCTGTTCTTTGGTGTTGCTGGCCCAGGCAGGTCATTCCAAACCTTTGTTCTCCTAACTCTAAAGCTTTGAAGAACTTGCCTTACCCTTTGCATGCTCTATATGAATCTTGTTTGCTGCTGCTGATCTTGTGTTCTTCTGGTGAACTTGTGCTGAACACCTGAATTGATCAGATAAATAATTGGGGATCAGCCAACTTAAACATCTAAACATCATAATAGCAGTGTTTCTCTTAAATCGTTCTTCTGATGATGCAGGATCTTTGGATGATATTTCTTTGATTTTTAGAGCTTTATAATACAGATTCGTTGACCTTCTAAGTGCTGTAGCACTTGCTGATAATCGGGCCTAATAATTAGCAGTCGAATCAAAAATATAGAAGCTGCTTCTAATCTTGATTTTCCCCTTTGTTTGCCTCTAAACAAGTTTGCATCTGTTGATTCCCGTTGACTATTTATATCAAGGTAAACTTAAAACAATTGTTAAATCTATAAAGAACCTGCAGTTCCAGCTCTTAAAAGATGTTGCAAAGTTTTTTCTTGAAAAACCAAATGCATTGGCATAAAATATAAGTGCGTTTAGGGTCATGTTTGTTGGGAATTCAAACTGTAATGACGTGTTGGGCAAAGTTAATGGGGTTACTGTTTTACCGTGTACTCTGTTCAGTTGCCTGATATTTGCGTTGGAACTCTGAGTTACAGATAAGAAGCGTCTTTTTCTGTACACCAAGCGTAGTTAAAACATTAGCTTTATGTTTGAGTTATAATTCCCTAGTATCCATTTGACCAACTTTGGCTTTGCTTTAAACCTTTACAGTGTTCTTCGAAACAGCATGGATATTGTAAATGAAGATGAGCTCTGCACCGATTCAGTTGCTGATTTCGTCTCTGTGTCTGGGAAGGTAAGTCCTCAATGACTCAATCATTATTGGTTACAATAGCGATGTAAAATTGACTGGACATTTTTCTATCGTTTATCATTGATTTGGGGCAAAACTGAGGGCCGTTTTATACGGGAAAAGTTCATCCTGCCGACTGGGATTTTAAAGTTAGCCTAGATCTCATCTAATGTCTTATTCATATTCTTTCATGTTTTAATTATGCTCTATTCATATGTGAAGCAAGCAAGCCCTTATCTAGATGGTGTCATGTAATAGAAGGCGGGACGAAAATTTCTCTACGTGTTTACCAGCTGACAAGCTTCTCCCTTGCAAAACAACACTTTGATTGAAATTTTGCCATATGGATAGGGCTTGAAAGTGGCTTTATACTTTTATGTTGTTAGCTGAAAATGCAATATGCAAAGCAGGCAACATAACATTTTATCAACAGGTCTGTGCTTCTAAGAGAGGCTAGCAAATCCACACGGCCTGTGACTTTGAGTTGATGTTCTTTTCTAGGTCTACAATTCGTCAATATTAAGGAGAGAAAATGGCGTAAGTACATAAATTTGAAAACGAGCTTCTAGCATATCTTATATTGTCTTGTTTCCCAAAAGCCCCAATCTAATACCAAAATGTTTTGTTTTCCAAACGTAATTACTTTATAGACATTTCCTTCTTTTATAATTTTCTGTTTCTTTTTAGATGAATGGTAATGCCTGCAGTTCTGAATCTGAGCCCGTTCTTTGCTTACCAATAAGAAACAACAAGTTCCAAACTATTGGTAAGTATATATTGCGAGCTCGTAGTAAAGGCTGTTTTTTAAAAATATGGAAACAATCGCTAAATAATAAAATTTTAAAATTTTTTAGCGCGTTTCAAGCTCAACAAGGCCTGATTTGGAATGATTTAAAAACCTGTGTTTGCATGCCTTAGCTTAACTACAAACTGTCTTTGACAGGAAAACCGATTTCTGTTCTAAATCTAAAAAAAATGTTCACAGAGTGCGGTGACAAAATTAAAAAATTAAATCAAATGCATGTCTTAAATGCTAAAGAACTTAGTTTGGATACAGGTTGTTCATACAGTTTCGGAATTTGAATTGCATGCCTTTTCCCTTAAGTCAGCTCCTAATTTATTTGTAAGCAAGAAAAGGTGAATTAAAGAACTTTTGCAAAGAGATAGATCTAAAAAAACTGGAGTTGGATTTAAATGGCATCCTCATTTGATATTGATAATGATTAGATAGAAGAAATACTTGAAATTTTGCTTTTTAAATTTGCTTATGCAATTTATCAAATAGGTGTAGTGAAGATCTCGAGAAGAATTGGCGATCACCAGTTCAACGAAAAAGACGAACAAATACTCGAGGTTTGTTACTAAATATCACCCGTCCGTTTTTGCTTTTTCCAATGCTTCCCATCGCAGCAATTGCCACAGTAGCATCTCAGTTGAGGCAAAACATTTTTTCTTTAAAAGAGATTGGAAAAGCAGCCCGTTCTTTCTCAATTTGAGAAAATATTGATATGATCTTTTTGTGATTAAATGGGATACCCCCATTCATTTCCGTTTGTACCTGATAGTTTTGAATCAACTCATGAAACAGCCTTATCTCAAAAAAGTTTCTTAAATGATTCATGGTTGGGAATGGCAGGTTGTTCACATTATACCCTAAACGCACACGCTCTCACTAGTTCAGAGAACAACTACTTGTTTAGATAAACGGTTTGTGTTTATAAAATGATCTTCAAAGCTTCATTCTTGTTTATCATTATGTTGTCTTTATCTTGAAAATCCTTTAACCAATCTAATTCTTAAAATTAAGCGTTGGAATGAGCAAATTTTCGCTTTTTGTTTTGTTCACTATTTTTCAGTCTAGTATTTGATAGAAAAAAAGTCCCTTTCAAATAAGTTTCTGAAGAGAAACACTGCGAGTAATCAATGAATTTTTTGAAGTTTCATCTGCTCTCCCCTTCAATGAACTTTTATTCCTCCTACGCACATTTTCTTCATATGAAATTAACATATTATCTCTGTCACTTGCGAAAATACTACTGCCCACTCGCATGGTGGTGAATGCCTTATCAGGTTACTCAAATTGAGGCCAAGGAATGCCTGTTGAAGTTTTAAATTGTATGATCAAGATAACCAGATTTTCTCTTTCTTGTAAAAATATTATTTCCTTTGAAATCAAGGAAAGATGTGAACGCCCAATGGTACAAGGTCGACTGAGTTTGAGACCGCCTGGTCTTGTTTCGAAATCATTGCTCTAGTTGTCGTTTCTATAAGCAATTTGATATGACGTACTACCGCCAGAATATATAGCTCAATCGTGTCAAAATAATGAGAAGCGACAGTGCTTTGTGTATTGTTTGCACGAAGAAAAAAATGCGGCTGAAACGCAGCACTGAGAAGATGGGAGAGTCTCAATGAAAGTATAACCCTTGAAGAACAAGCATAGAGTTAAAAATTGATAAACAAGTGTTTATCAGGCAAATGAATTGTCAAATAGTTAAGAATTACCCAAGACGAAAATCCTAAGCAACAGCCCTTGCTCGCTATTACCGACTTTGCAACAAGGTTCCCCATTGCCAACCACATTGCTTTTGACGTTGATTTTTCCAAATTCGTGTTTAAGAGAGATGAGTAATAGCCAGATTCCATGGAACCTCTACACCATGGAACCTTGACTGTATTCTAAGACTTCATAGAAAACCATTTAAATATGGGCAGAGAGCTGTTCGCTTTTGTGAGCTATACTGACGTTCAATCTAATGACAGTATTATGCTTATACTTCTTATTTGAAACCAACTTCAGAAATTGTCCTGCTGCTTGTGGATTTTAAGCTACAGTCAACCGTCTATTTTCAGGCCTTTACAATATTCTGCGGTCTTGGTATCAGTAACTGCATCCTGTATGACAAAGTTTGTCGAGCAAAGGCTCACCAAAAAGTTGCTTTGGAGGTAATGTATAAAATATATATTATAAATGATACCATAAACGTTTTGTATTTGTCAGAAATATTTCGAAATCTACTTTGAAAACCTTTTCAGTGCGTAGTACCCATTGCAGCCATGACGCAAGCTTTCTTGCCTGATGGTGCGGGCATACCCCCTCCCCCTCCCCCCCTGCTTATTATAAGGAGAGAATTGCCGGCTGCAAATACATGCAGTTACGTTATTTCAATCTGTTAAAGTTGATGCTGAAACTCTATGTTCAGGCGCCGGCAAGTCAGGTCGTTGTTCTCGACATGTACACAAAACAGTGAACCTACTTCTATGCTAATCTTAATGCCGGTAAAAAACATATATCTTTGACTAAGAAATTTTTGAAAGCAAGCAATTTAAGCTTTTCAGTTGAAAACTGCGTCTGTTCAAACAGAATTGGCGATATTTTCTTTCTCAAACGACAGTCATTTTATCTCTGTTTTTCTGTTTCAAGGTGATATCGTACCATACATCTGCAAGTCAGCTAGAGTTGGAAAAGTTGAAGGTGAGATAAAACGATAATGAATCTTTAAAAGAGCATACAATGTGCCAAGTGTCAATGCTTCTTTTTTTATCAAAAGCATAGTTACATTTAAAGATGGGAATTTATAGAATGGCTGTTAAAAGGTCTCCTAAGCCAAAGCTGTGGGCATAGTAATTACTTGACCAAGAAAGTGATTTGTGGTGAAAAAGAGCCGAACATAGTAAAGACCCAGTGTCATCAAATAGATTTGGCTTTTTACGATTTTCTCTCGGAAAGTGGCTGCATTTTCGTGTTATAACTTAATGAATAATTGGAACTTTGCAATGAGAACAGCTCTATCGAACAACGTACAGAAACTATACTTAAGTCCATAAAGGAGCGTGTTTTTGGAGAGAGAAGCCTGATAATCTAGAAAGCTGAGAAGAAAGTTACTTTGGATTTAGCAATAGAATCCTTGTTTCTTACATTTTTATTATGAGTCAAGATTCAACCCCAGAATTGCTCAGATGAATTTTTGTTGATATTTGTCTTTTACCGATATTTGGGAAGCTGAATGTGTTTTGTTTTGCTGTAAAGCGTTTGCGTCATTTCAATTATCATTCAACTAGTTTTACACCCACTATGCTCGAAAGGCAGCTGAAAAAAGCAAAAATAATTTTAGCTTGTGCAAGCAGAATAACAGTACTTTTAATTCTAGCTGTCACCTGTGCCATCAACAAAGACGCTCAGACTCAATGATCTGAAATTTAATGACTTTCAATTACGAGATGATGAAATGCTTACGGCAGCTACTCGCATGTTTATAGAATTCGAGTTCTTGAAGACGTATAGAATTGAAAACGAGGTTGGTATGTCTCTCAATTTGTGAATTTTTGGAGAGAAGAATAAGTGAAAGTCAGACATCTACAAATAAAAGAGCCTTCTTGCAATCAGATTATACGTGCAATAATGGTTGATTCTGATACATTATTTTGATTCAGTCGATTCGATTCGGTAAAAGCCATTACGATTGGCAATACCGAGCCGAGGAGGTTGTTCACCATTTGATAACAGATAATTTTGAATTTTTTATTTTTGTAACAGTAGAATCGAAAAAAGCTGAAATTATATCTTCTGATTTAACTTATCCAGTAATCATGATCTTATAGCGAGCTGTATTCACTAAATAAAGGTTTTTCTAACGAAGAGAATAAAGTTTACTGGAATCAATTTTTGCTATGACCTGTCCTATCTTGAATCTCACGGATGTGTTGAAGTTGTGCTGACATTGAGTAACTCCTAGCTCAGTCTTGATGTATTTGATTAAAGCATTACGCAACTTTTTGATAAACGTGCGCAAAATGCTAATGCTTATGCAATGTTACCATACCCAATAACCATCTTCTTCAAACTAAAACACCTAAGTCACTCAAAAATGATTTATTTCATTGACTGATGAGTACGTTTTCGCTGATTTCAGACACTCTACAGGTGGTTATTGACCGTCAAAAAGAATTATAGAAGGGTTATTTATCACAACTGGAGACACGCTTTCAACGTTGCGCAATCGATGTTTGCCATTTTGACGGTACATTTCTTGAATTATCCTTGCTTCTATTCTGTGCTGCTATCGACTATCTCTGAGCTATTCGCTAGTACTGCGATGCTAATTGCAAACTGGTAATTGCCAACACTTCATCTTTAAGAAACGATCTAGACTCATTTTCACATTTAATTCGTAAAGGTTTTAATCCTTTATTGCTTGTAGTTTCTTTTTCATGAATATGGAACATTTTAAGCTTTGTTATAGAATTAACGGTTTTTAAAACTTTCGACTAAGCTGAATTTTGCTCCGCAGTCTGGCAAGCTGATTGAAAAACTTTCTGGTCTCGAATGTCTAGCTTTGTTGGTTGGCTGCTTGTGTCACGACTTGGATCACAGGGGTACAAATAACGAGTTTCAGACAAAGTAAGCCTTTTTGAAGACTTTCTTATGGACTTTAAGGTGATGTAAGCTAAGATCATCTGCTTGACAAAAAGCTAAATTTCCGTTAACTTCAATTCTGAATAGACTTTGATGAGCAAAGATTTTGCACAAAATTTTATATAAAAAATTCTCATTGTTCTTTAGTTGCTTCTTTTATCACTGATGTCCAAAACTTTTCGAATATCTGCAAATTTTCAAACACTGCTAAAATTTTTTTTCAAATGTACCCCCCTCTCTCAGATTTCCACATTAGCTTGCTGGTGTCGATTTTTAGCACAAAATCACAAATATCTGTATGGAGAACGCTTATACTTCTATCCTCGTTTCCATTCTTAGGAGTGAATCCGCACTGGGAAAGTTATATGGCACGTCAATTATGGAGCATCACCATTTCAACCATGCGGTAGCAATATTGAACAGCGAGGTAAACCTTTTTTGACCATCAAAATTATGGGTAGAAAATAGCAGCTTGATCTTTCTTTTACAGCCAGCTTTACAATACAGGTCAATGTTCATCTGTTTAAGAGTAGGTCAAATTTAGGCAGCTCTATCTTAGATATTGTTTGATATTCGATGTCATAATTTCATATTTTTGAACCCCGGATACCGTAAATCCTCGAATTAGCTTTTAGGAGCTTATGTTTTGAAATGAAATGGGATGGGACCAAATTCAAAGGGGCTGATTATGTGAGAGACGAATTGGTATTTACACGACTTTTGTCAGAGATAAATCCTTTGCTATTTTTATAGTTAAATCCGGAATGTCAGGGAATTTTAACCAATCCTAGAAAGTTGACTCCTGGAAAAAACGTTTAAAAATGCTTAGTGAAATTAATACAACAAGATGATTGAATAACGTGAGACTGTTTAAATGCTATTTATGACCTGCAGGGAAACAATATCTTCAAAAACCTTACATCAAGCCAGTACAAAGAAGTTATGAAGTTACTGAAGCATGCCATCCTTGCAACGGACCTGGCACAATACTTCAAGTACGTTTTTAGCTAGGATTTTACTTTAATGGTACTTGTGAATGTTCTTGTTGAAATAAAAGTGAATGCACTTAATTGTCGAGTGTCCTTCATGGCCGCCTTCATTTCTAGAGATTTGCGTAAATATGGCAATGTTTGAAACAGTATAACTGCAAAAAAACCGGCAACAAAGTCAGCTTAGTCATGGAGATGAAAATTCGAGAAATAAGATTTTTTTCAATTTTGTCTAAATTTTGGTAAAATGCTAGAAGTATAAACGTAACTAACAGGACCTCTAAGTCAACTAATCATGTTTAACACATCTTTGTATGTTTCTAATGGCAGAATCAGGGATACCCTGGCATCGTTGCTGGAGCAAAACGAAATTGACTTTAGCAAAAATGAGCACAGGACAATTCTCAGGTATGATATGAATCCTTTAAATGAAGCTCCTTCTAACGTGGATACAAACATTTTACACAGCATCAGGCACATCCATCACATCTTCTCCTCAAGATTTTTACTTGCTATTTGTCTATTATACGTGATTGACGATGGTGTATCTTTCAAAGCATACTTTTGCATTCTAAAGGTTGTTCATATAATTTTAGGGGAATTTTGATGACTGCCAGTGATCTATGCGGGATAACGAAGCCGTGGGAAATCCAGAAAGAGGTATATTTCATTGCAATATTTTGCATGACATGGCAAATGTGAGTAGGTTGAACTGCAAAACCGGTAAAAATAATGTAACATAGGCTTTTATTTACAGTTTGTTAATCGTTTATTAGAGAATGTTACTTTACGCGGATGCTTGCCACAGGCTTTGCCTATGCTAAACATTGAGTACAAAAGGCATGTCAAATGTGCAGTTTGAATCCGATTTGATACTTTCTTTGATAAAATAATGCCCATCGTCTGAGGATGAAATTTGCGCAATCATGCGCTAGTACTAGACTTCGAAGGCTGGGTAGTTGCTATTTTGTAAGATATAAAAGAAAGGTGTTTAAAATTGGGGTTTCTTGATACGATATGATTGAATGACCGATATTGATAAGGACAAACTCATATACACCATGGAAAAGAAAATTTCAGGTCTTCAGGTCTAGCATGGGACAAACTGTATGAAAACGAAATATTGCGAATCGGGGTTGTTCTCCCTTGGGAGAAAAATATATTTTCTGAGTAAGCATCGATAAGGCCGAGAGCAAATATTAGAAGCTGGGTGCAACATTTGCAGTTGTAGCTGGCTTGACTTTTCAAAGACAGTTGTAGCTGACTTGACGTATTTGCAGGAGCCTTATATTTGTGTTACGCATTCTAGCAATAAAAATGCTTGCCATTTATTATTATAAAAAAATCAACCTTTTTACAGATCGTCCACTTGGTCACGAGCGAATTCTTCCACCAAGGTGATATTGAGAGAGAGAAACTTCAAGTTGAGCCACAGGTAAGATAATTCATCAACAATTGCCCTGTTAGTTAGCTTCTAAGATGTTTCTGCTGAGCTTCGGTCACTAGAAAGCTATGTGTAAGAGCGTAGAATTATCAGAGCAAAACTTTTTGTAACAAATCCAAGCTAAATAACTTACAAGATAGTAGGTACCACAAAATATATGCACTCACCAAAAGCAGACTTAATTTTGACCTTGACAATGAGTTTGGCGATCAAGAATTTAGACTGTTATTGTTAAAGCATTGCCACAGATGACTAAATTTTAATCTTCTTGATCGCTTCTAGCATATTATTGCTTCCTTTATAATCTTTTCAGCTATTGTAGTATCAATCGTTCGTGTTCTTCGTCATTTTTCAGGCTATGATGAATCGAAAGCATATCTTACAATTACCAAAGCTACAAGTTCAGTTTTTTGATGTCGCTGGCATACCTGTTTACAAGGTAAATCTTTATAAATACAGCTTTAAAACAAGGTTTGGCAGACGAATCTGCAGGCGATGCTGAATCACCGATATCTGTACTGTTTTGCATGCTACCATTTGATTGGCTGTAAAGAAAATGACACGAAAAATAACCAATCATATCACTTCATGATATCAACAAAGAGTCTTTCGTTACACCTGGCTCTCTTTAGATACTCATGGCGGAATTAATTAGATCTTACGATTGCCATGCCCAGGTTTAAAAATATCTTTCGTCAGATTATTGGATGATACTGCGAACGGGCTATTAAAGTTCTGTACCAATCAAATCTGTGCTCATTTTTTCGTTGCTCATAGGCAACTTCTGATTTATGTCAGTGATAAATTGAAAAGGAGAGTAAAAATGACAATTGAATAAAACTAAGAAAGAAGCAAAGAAATTAAAACCAAATAGGAACAACTAGAAATTCGTATGATGTAAAAAGAAACTCGCTTTTTCGTCACTTTACCTGGTCCCGAAGAAATGCTATTAGTGAAACTGGCTTGTTATTTTCTTGCTTGAAATGAGTCACGCTGAATCACATTTTATGATTTTAATTGGTTTATTTCATAATAGTTACAAGAGTTAATCATATTATTTTCCAACTTTAGACCCTAGCAAGACTGAGCTCCAGTCTGCAGGCACTTCACACTGATGCAGTTTCAAACAGGAATCGTTGGGAAGAACTAAGCAAAGAAGTCGAAAATGGTCACATAGATCCTGAACTTGAGCCGGTGCTGAAGCCTGTGAACACCCAACAACATCAAACGACATATTTATGATGTTGAGCACGAAATTTCAGCCTCATTAGAGCTTTCCATTAGCAAATCTAAGGGAAACTTTATCATCTAATATGGGGATCTCAATCAACTCGTATTGTTATCTCTCCGAGAGAAGTAGGACACATTTGTTATTGAAACAATTAATTAGAAGATGCCATTGCCTCGTGCTATGTTCTATAATGCAGTAAAACGTTGCCATATGGTTGCTTGATTCTTTGAGCAGCTGTGAGTGATCATGCCCTGTGGCAGTCCGCAGAGGCTTAGCATTTCATAAATGAGCAAATTGTAATTGTGGTCAAAGATTTGATAGCATCAATGTTTGCTTTTAAGTTGCTAGATAGCTGCAAATTTCTAGTAGTTGACTAATGACATAAAATGGCGTGTTGTGACTAGAAATGTTTTTTTCAAGGAAAAAAGCGTGACTTATGATACTGTGGTACCTTTTTTGTAGCAAAATGTTATTCTAAACTTTATAACCATATTCTAGATGTAGAAGTAAAAACATCCAATTCAAAAGCTTATACACTATTCCAAACTTTAATCCCATTCAGTACTTACATATTGAGAATAGTATTAGAGCCATAGTGTAATAACATGCTATAGAATCCGGTGTGAACATTGAATTAATAAGGTCGTCGGTAAAGATCTAATACAGCTCGGCAAAAAGTTTGAAACTAAATTGTTGAATGAGTAGAATTATATGTTCAACGGATGTCGGGTACAAAGCAGAAAATTTCCATGTCTTTTCTTTTGTTGCCTGAGACCTACTACTTCTCGTCAATTTTTATCTTTGACCTACAGCGAAACCGCTTTCAATGGACAGCTTATAAGAACGGACAGCTCATAATAACGACAATACCCTAATAATACACATCTTAGTTCATAGACAACCTGTCGTAACAAAAACCTCCAAAGAACAAAAAACTCCTAAAAACGAACAATTCCTAACTTCAGGCAGCACATAATAACGGACATCACACTATAGCGGACACCTCACTTTGATAGACAACTTTTAACAAATAAAACATTTTGATAACAGACGCTTATAGGGTCGGACACTTCTAACAAGTCGAACCTCTAAAACTGTATTCAGAAGCTGGATAGTAAGAAAAACAAGTACAAAAGCCACTGTGTGGTGGCAACTTCTAGTGTGTGTTTCCTGAAGTCAAAATGTTGCAACAAGTTGCCAATCTCTGAAAACCTTCTTATAATAAAGTTGTGCACAAGAAGATACAAAATTGGCATTTTTGGTTCAATTCTAACCATAAAGTGCTCAATAGATTGTTGTCCAGCGCTTCACAAGGTTGCGTTTTGGAGCCACTTCTCTTGGCCTCTACATACGTATTGTTACAGAAGATGGCATTCTGTAGACAGCATACAAGTACCTTTTTGTAATAGAATAGTTTGAAATTATTTAGGTTGTGGAAATATTGAAGGTTATGAAAATATTGGTGCTGAAGCTCTTGATGAGGTCATGTGCGGGTTAACAATTTCAGACCTATTGAGAATGCTCGATTGAGAACAATATCACCATAGTTTCTTTGGAAGATCATGGGGTGAGATGCTGGAACACCGACGATTCAAGTAGAAAAATCGATGATCAGCTTAAATGATATAGTTGAGTTATTCAGGATCATTTAGACAAAAAAGTTAGCTTGATCATAACTTGACACGTCTGGTCACGTCAAGTCCAAATTGATCTTCTTTAGCCATATTTTTTTAATAAATTGCTAAGTACAATCACTGCCATGAGTCTTGGAACACTAACGTCAGTTTTCAAAGGGAAATTCAGCCATCTCCCTCTCCCCCTAGGAACAATGTCGATTTACTATAGAAATAATAAGGGGGTTACGGAGTACGCTTTTTGTGTGCCTTGTATGATATTTTTCTATACTTTCAACATTGTTTTGGGGGGAAAGGGGGACGGTAGTTGTATTCGGAAAAACAAAATGAAAAAAGGAAATCTCAGCGCAAAGTGTTGGGTGTTCCAAGTAATTTTGGCAGTGATTGTAGCAACAACGGATTCAGGAAGCAGCAACTGCAAAATTATAAAATAAAGAAAATAATGGTCAAAGCAAGGATGCAATGAAACAACAGAAATAATATTTTAAAGCAACTTGCTTCAACTGGAGGTGTTGCTTTAAGAGAAAAAAAGCGTTTTCTATCATCCTTCCTCTTAGTATTACTTGAAAATTTATAAAAATGGTTGACAGAGTATGATGAACCGAAATGAATAAATATAAATCTCATTTTATCTTGGATGAACGTAATGCATCACAATATCTCGTTGAGAATAAGTTCGTTAAGGGTTCTTAACAGATTAATTAACGACTTGAAATTAATGCATTGAGTAAGACAGACTCGTTTTGTAAAGAGGGAGTTTGTGCAGATATCATTAGCAAGGACAAACGAAAGAGAAGCAAGAAGGCTTTTGTACGAAGCGAAAATGCTTTGGCCTAACGCATTTCGTTTGTCCTAGAAATGGCATGCTCACAAGAAAAAGCATAAGACGAAATGGGTACAAAGAGAAACAGGTGATTTTGGGGGTATTACGTTGAAAAATAGAGCGTCACTGAAGACAGATGATCAAGCTCTTTGCGGATAAGGACATGTTTCTAAGCAACACCATCTAAATAGTGCGTTACTACAGGGAAAACTAAGCTTTCGTCGAGACCTCATTTCTGTTGCTGACATGAGGGCAGTGCAGTTTTTAGGTAGAAATGGTAAACTCAAGATTTCCCAAACCAACAAAGCATTGAAAGATACGAGGACATATATGCACAGATTGACAGGGAGGATTTGATGGATTTTTCAGTGACAACGAGCTTGGTGAGAATTCTATCTTTATCCGTAACAACCTGTCTACTTTGCCGAAAAAACTGCTGATAAAGACGATAAAGAATAATGGAATTCAATTATAGCAAATTGCACTTTCGTTTACAGCTATAGAAAGGAAACAAAAAAGTTTGAATGCTTTCGAAGGATCTAGCCAGACCCTAATTGTTTGATGAAAAGATGGGTCAATGTATTAGTAAAATCGGACCAGAATCTGAAGCACAGAACACCGCAGCAACAAAAACAAAAAACAGGATAACTATTCTGATCCTGGGAACACCAGGTAGCGGCAAAAGCACCGTAATGAAACAGTTCCGGATCCTGTACGGAGACGGGTTCTCCAACTCGGAAAGAGCGTCCGGTCTCTCAGTTATAGCAAACAACGTCATGGAAAGCGTTTCGTCTTGCATAAGTATGATCGATCAGACTGAAATTGATAATAAAGGTCCGAAGACCTCTGCATTGAATAACTTACTTAAAGCCGCAACTGAAGACGATTCGCCAGGGTCGAAGCTACAGCCAAAGGGGAAAACCAAGGAGCTACTGAAGCTAGCAGAGGATATCTGGTGTAACGAAAACGTACAAGACTTATTCAAGGACCAAATGTGCGATTACGGCGTCCGCGTAACCGATGCAGATGGCTATTTCTTGAAACGCATTAAGAAAATGAACAGCCCATCATACGTACCTACAGATGACGATTTATTGCATATGAGGCGTGTTACAGATAGCGTCGAAGAGTTTAAATTTACATACAGGAATTGCGATTTCACTGTCATAGACGTCGGCGGGCGAAAAGCAGAAAGGCGAAAGTGGATCAACCTCTTCAGCCGAGCAAACATGATCATCTACAGCGCCTCCTTAGTCGATTATGACTTGGCACTGGAGGATGACCCCAATGTGAACAGCATGGGGGAGAGTCTCAGCGTATTCGAGTCTGTTGTTAATCTAACATACTTTCAAGACACGCCGCTGGTGCTCTTCCTGAATAAGAAAGACCTCTTGTCTAAGAAAGTCAAAGCAGTTTCGCTGGCTGATCATTTCCAGGATTACAAAGGCCCAGATGACAACCCACACGAGGTCGTTGGGTACATCAAGTCAAAATTCCTCCACAAAATCAAGGACAAGTCCCGCCCAGTTAAGGTTCATATCATATGTGCAACGAACACGAGAGATGTGAAGAAGGCTTTTGAAATATCTTTAGACTGGGTTTTAGAAGTTGGGAAGTAATTCGTTTCTACTGCACACAACACTATTAAAATGGTAAGGGTGAACTTATAGCTTATGTAATTCCGATAGCCTTTTTCTACACTGGATTCTAACAAGAGATTCTAACAATCCCGAACCAGCACATACGTCGTACAATAACTACCCCATCCATATTTAGTAATATTCACAACAACAGTTCCAGAAATCACATTTTGTAACTAATGTAAAATACGCCTTAAACAAGGTGCACCTAATGGAATACACAAAATAGCACCCAGAAACATAAAATGAAAAAATGCACGAAGAAAGGTTTCTTCTTTACACTTGCCACAGAACGATACCGAAATTCACCCTGAAGATACAGCTTAAACAAATCTTGTTTCCAATGAAAAATTGGGTGCAAAATGGTCTTTATCTAATTAGTGCCTGATCAAAAATGAAAGTGTCTAATGCGAGAGAACCGTTTGGCCTACAAGAGGTGTCAGTGTGGTTGTGTGGACTAATTGCTAAACGCATCGTATTGCTTTGACTGAAACTATTTAACGCCTATCATTTATCAAAGAATATATTCAATTATTCATGTTTCACTTTTATCAGCTTATCCTTGCAGTGAAGTCTGGATATTATTGGGGTATCTCTACTAGTTCAAAAGAGACACCCGCGACCACGAGCACGTAAGGACACCTTCACGCCGTTGAATCGTAGTTCTAAGTTGCTACTGTGAGTTTCACGTTTCCTGCAATTATCGAGGGTCGTTTAATTATGTCGGTGTGAAACTACAACTAGACTCCATGAAATCCGTAGCTTAAAACTAACAGATACGATTGAAAACGGCCAACGCGAACAAAACGCAATGTTTGTTGAATTCTTTCTAACTTTTCGAAGCACTTCAACTTCGATTGATATGGCATAGAATGAACACTTCTCAGGTAAACTATGGGGAGTAGCAGAGGCTTTCCAAATCCCTTTCAAGGTTTTTTCAATCATTTTTTATGCCTTTTCTACAGCTTCTGCCGCAAATGACGTCAAAATGGATGGCATCATCTCAAATTGATAAAAGCTTTTAGCGGAATCTCCCTTCACGTTATGCTTTTTAGATTTTTTGTCATTTTTACAGCCACTTATTTGAAGTTCTTTACGACACTAGTGACTTTGCTTACATTTATTGAAGGATTTGATGGAATTTCAATGAGTCAGTTTGAATAAACACAAATTAAGTGTTTAAAAATGATAAATGCCATTGCTCAGTTGAAGTACCAATTTAGTGCAAGATAAACCTTTTTGTGCATTCTGGCTCAACTTGTCATCAAAATGAAAGTAAAACCTAACTTTTTGTGATATAATATATAGGTATAATAGCTAAAAACACCGGCCAACCTTGTCAAATCGTTGCTAATACATTGTTATACCATGGTGCATATTTATACTTCGTCGGAAAAACACTTTTCTGTATGCAAAGCTCCCCTCCACAAATCCCACATCAATAGTATTAGAGCAAACGAGAATTAAAAGATCTGCATATTTTACCAGTCTGGATGTAGCATTATTTTTCAAAGTTTCTAAAATGGTAGATATAAACTGATCATTTTCTCAGGGAACTACTTAGTCAGCGATACATTCGTAAGTAGACACGTAAAATGCACAAGTAGCAAAGAATGCACAAAATGGTGATTTTGATTCATCTTCGCAGGCCCCCTTATGTCCCCTTAACCATCATATGCCACTGGCTGATCATTTTTTGATACCCCGACATTTGCTCACTAACTAACTATAAGTGCGAGGAAGGCTGAGTGTTCAGGGTCGCGGGCTACAGATCCAAGGGTCTGGTGTCCATGTCAGCTCTCTGAAATTCCCGGCGTAGGAATCACGAGATGTGGTTACATCGAGTGGAAGGACCAGGACGTAGCACTTACTTTCTTATGCGATGTAGAAACAAATACAGAAACACCCTCGCCTCACCATACACCTCTGCCCCCAGAACAAGCCAAATACCCCAACCATAATGGCTGTAAGCTCACCATATGCCCCTTACCTTGCCATACACACCCTATCCCATCAAACGCCTTTCCTCTACAAGCCTCCTCTCCTGCTATTCGATTTTTCCTTACCATACATGGCATACCTCACCGTTCGCTCCCTACCCTATAATAAGCATCAACTTCTACCAAACGACCTAAACATCCCCATACCCCACCATATAGCCCTGTCCTGCTATTTTGTCTTGCCCTACCCATATACCTTTCCCTGTGATTATCGTTGTCGTTTGCCAGCCTCACTCCACCCGCAAAGCATTTTTTCCTTCACCATAAAGACGGACATTTTTCAATAAAGAAATAATTGAAATAAAACAGTGTGGTTTGTTTGAGTAACAGCTTTTTCCAAATAAATAAACTTCTAAATTTTAATTAAATCGAAATTTATTCAATTTTACATCTTTCAGAAGATTTAGACAAATACGGAAAACTTATATAAGGTACCATACTGGAAAAAGTCGCACGAATTGGAATGGTGCATTGAAATACGTAAGTTTCCTTAACTTCATAGAGAGTTTTCACAACAAGGAAAATTGACAAATATCATTTCAACGAACAACAAGAAATAACACACCCACAATACAAAATACGCATGGAACACTTCGTCCAAATTGCTAACAATAGCTCAACCACTACGATTTATACAAATTTCTCAATTCTGTTTATTTACCAAAGAAACCTTGGCTTTCAAAACTCAGCTCTTTTGCCTTAATATCATGTATAAAAAATTATGCAACTATGTTTGTGGGCCTTCTTTTGTTTACATTTCTTGTTGCCTTTAAAACTCGAGCTTTATGCGGCCGAATAAGCAAAGCCCTGATTCAAAGCCGTCGCGCTAAAGCGTGAGAAGTATCCATTTTAAACGAATCCATACAAAGGAAAGTAACTCGCATAGGAAGATTCACACAGTTCTTATAAGTTCATTGTCAAAGAGCACGCGCAATAACCACGAAGCTCTATGTGCACGCTGTTGGGGGGGGGGGGGGGGGGGGGGGGTGGTGCACGGTTCAATCAAAATAAGACAGTAACTTTTGGGTTTTCGAAAAAATTTGAAGGAAAGTAAAGGATATCGGGCAGTATGGATAAAACTTCTGAAACATAATGGCAATCATTTGCTGCTCATGAAACACGATTATTTGTCAGATAGAATTTCTATCTTTTAGGTACATTAAATTCTGTATAAGATTAAATTCAACAAACATTATCAAGGCATTAGAAAAACACTGTGAAAATTCGGCATATTAACAGACAACATTTACCATAAAATGAATTAATAACATTAAATTAGAATAACTTTATGAAGGGGATACCTGCATTCAAAAGACACTAAATTTATGACTGGAATCCCGCTATATAAAAAGGTTGATTGAAGGAAATACCTCGGACATTAATTCTACCTTCATCTCTTCTTGCCAAATAGTTTTGAGTAATCTTGCTAGGCCCTCCATTTCCCGAATTGTTTCGATGAGAAACAACCATGTGCTCTCTCGAGAATCTACGTCACCAAGCTGGAGAAAAGAAGAAATTCTTCTTAGGGGAATATAAAGCTCTGCATTTTATGAACAAGCACAAACTTATGCACTGACAGCAAAAGGCAACAAAATAGCCCAGTGCTTTCGACTGTGAATCAGGTAATGACTTATAAAATTCCAGGTACCCGATTTTCATCCAAGGTACGTCAGGTATAGGATAATGAAAGAGTCTTAAATGAATTGTCACAGATTTCTATGTTTTGAGTAAGTGGAGGGGGATGAAGGGGATTTCTATTATTTTGAGTAAGGGGATTTCTATTATTTTGAGCATGGTGCAATGCAAATGTGATCATTTCTCTGACAATATTCTGAGAGAAGGTGTACCATGATCGTGTACCATTGATCGTTAATGTGTGGTTTTGGCAGGAAAGTTAATGTCGAAAAAAGCTAACTTGGACAGTAAAAAGTAAAATCAAAATTAAATCTGACAAAAGGTTAATGAGAATACTTACTTCGTCAACAAACTCTAGCATCAGAGAATTAGGGGAATCTTCGAAAAAAGTCTGTTAGAACAGAAAAATATCTATATTTAAAATTAACTAGGAAACAATTTACAAAACCTATTTGTTTTGATGTTAATTAACTTCACTTCTGTCTAAGAACACATCTCATTACCAATCAATGGCAGAACACTGAAATGCAAAAAATCAAGTTTAATGCTTTATCGACTAGCTATGTTGTTTCATTCCATACTTATTTGATTTTGCCGAAAATTTGAAGTCAGTGTGCTTGTTAATGGACAAATTGGGGTATGGTAAATTATAGGAAAACGCTGTCAATGAAAGTTCCATTGACCTGAGGGCTTTCGAAGAAGATTAAAACGAAAATAAACATCTCAATGAAGGTAAAACTAGTGAAGCCTCTTGAACAAAAAGCATTCTTATAGTTGCAAAATGGTAACAAACAGAGTATTTCGTTGTAAATCAGGTTTTTTAAACTGCAAAAGATAACTCGTCTTCTGTGGCCTTACATAAAGTTACTCAAAACAGAAGACACAGGATTCGCATCTCATAAGAAGCAGCAGTTGCAACATTTAAAAAGGGGATTGCTCACTATTTTGATGAGATCAATGACTCGCTGGCTTGCCACTAGTTTGAACTGCTCCTTGAGAAACGAAGGCGGCTGGTATATTCTTGACAGTGGCCATTGATGCGATTCAACAGCCAAAAAGAAGTGAGATTTCGTGATGATGATGCTTCGACGTTGAAAGGACGAATCTGTGTCGTGATAAAATGAAAAAGGGTAACAAGTGCTTGTCTCAATAAGGACAATCAGATGAAACAACAGAATTGACTGAAATATAAAGAAAGTGATGCGTGCACTTAAATGCTAATAGGCGGCGAAAATATCATATCAGTTAGACCATAAGAAGGCTGATGTGCATCATGAGTGGGTTATAATTCTTATCTGCTCATAAACTTTTAATGACTAGCTTCAAAGCTTACCATCGTCAAGGGTTCGGGCCTGTCCTTGCAGATATAAACAAACCTCTGTGCTCATTTCAAGTTCGTCAATGTTGTTTTCTGAACTTGTACTTTCGATGCCTCCTCCTTTATGCAGAGCGGCTGACGACATCTAGAGAAAGTGTAAAAAACACATACAGCAACAGCACTGGTTGAAATCAATAACTCACAATGCCTCTTACAGCTTTGTGCTGGTGATTTTAATTCTTTAAAATTCTTTTATGTTACAAAAATACAAGTCGTTTGTCTACCAAAACCACAACGATCAATGAATAATAATTTAAGATTATAAATAAAGATACTGGTGAAATTTCTTTTTTGCTGCATGCGTTTCTGCCATTGTAAAAGACTTTGATCAAAAAATATAATCAACTCTCTTGAAATCTGCTTAAATAATTTAATGTAAAGTTTCAGTATAAACCTTTTTAGGGTTATCGCTGAAGTCGAATTTGTAAAAATCATCAGTGTCTTGAAACTGAAATTCTTTTGAGACATGATACACAAGTCCAACATCGACTAACTTCTGACACAAAGCAATGGCCTAAAAGAAAATGCTTTCATATCAGGGTCACAAAGTCTTATCAGGTAAAATAAGGGCAGTGAGGCTAATCGTCGAAAAATTTTTGTAAGAGTCAATTTAACGTGTAGCTTTGAAGAGCCCGATGAGAATGTGTAGCTTTGAAGAGATCAAAACAATCTAATGTTCATCTTAAGTTAAGTTGACTTTTGCACTTTGTATTTCATTTTTATTGAGTTCTTGAAAGAGAATCATGGTGTCATATCTAAAATACATCTATTTGAGTCTCCGTAGATTCCTCCCTCTGTCAATATAGTACAAAATATCTCTCTACTTCTTGCTGATGCTTTCATAAATTTTTGGTTTCAAGGGGTTGGGCAGGTAATTTTATTACTGTTTAAAACTTTCAGCAGCTAACTTGTTCGTTAGCATGGAGTGATGCTATACTCTAAAAAATGAACACCTTGGTACTTGCATGAATTGCACACAATAAAACATGAGACTTCAAGTCTACCATTCCATAAAAATGTATGACTGGCAAGTTGCTGGGGCTAGTGTTAAATCTTAAAGGAAAATATTTATTTCCATTATCAACTAGCTATTATACCATTGCTCTTCTTAACAAAGGGGGGTTAAAAACTCACAATATGTTGCACAGCTTTGGGGCTATGCTACACAATATAAACGGCAACACAAAATTTGGGGCAACAAAAAGTCATGGATCACTTACATCCTTCCGAGATTTTGCCTCTCTCCGAGACACCATCCAACTCACAAGATCTTTGCCACTAACACATTGATGCGTACGTATTCGTATCTGTAACAAAGATTACTAAACGTATTTTCTTATTGCGATCTAATGAATTCTAAAAAGAAGTTCGTAAACAAAGTTCTCTATTCTAATTCTAAAATTCTAAAATTCTAAAAATTCTAATAAACAAAATAAAATTCTAAAAAGAATTCTAAAGAGAAGTTCGTAAACTTTTCTGCATTTTAACGCAATCATCTGTAAAAAATTTAATAGCAGAAGAAAGCTGCCGTCAAAAAACAATATTCAAGGCACCCACTGGGAGACTGGACATGAAAGAAGATCCTGTTTGAACACAGATTTTACAACATTGGAAATTTAAATTTAGACTACGATAAAAAGGAAAGAGGTTGGTTTCAACTATAGCGTCTTTCAAAAAGGGGCGAAGAAATGGGTCAAAACAGCACATCGTGGCTATGGTTTGCTTTAAAGTGCTTATGCTGACGGAGATCAGGATTCCAGTTATCAGGATTCCAGTTGGCTGAATATGTAGAAGGCAACTGATGTATCGTATTTCTGAGTTCACGAAAAAATCTAAATGCTATACAACTAACTGTCTACAGCTGTCCAAGAACCATATTTTGCTCGTAAATAAAGAGCATTTTGGGGTCACTATCGCTTAATTGGTGGGACTCAAAAGTTTAAATGTTAATTATGGAATGGAGAAAAATTATATTTTTGCTTAAAAAATGACTCCGTTTCAGAGTTGCAGGAACATTATCGTATTTCAGTCTTCATGATGTAAATTTAAATCTCAAGCAGTTTTATTGCTGCACCAAAAATTAGAATGAAATACCTCACCTTTTTACTTTTCAGTAATGGAGGGATCGTAAAAATGGTTGCTTGCTCAAACAATCGTTTCGCCTGCAAGATAATCTAATGATTAAATTTATCGAAAAACGCAGAAACTTAATTTTCGAAAACTTAATAGCATGTCATGTGTGTGGGAAGTATGAAATATAAGGGAACATTTATGGTACTTGAGAGGAAGAAAAAATAAGAAAACAAAGCATTTCATATCCATTAGCTTACCAGCGAAACAGGTTCTTCATCCAATCCAAATATTTGCGATCTGGAAAAACATTAAGAAAGAAAACATTATATTGGATATTCATCAGGATTTACTGTTTCAGCAACTTAATTAAACAAAATTAGTGTTTTATAATGACTTAAAATTAAACCTCTTGGTTTCTCAACGTACTAGAAAAGATAACTTTGTGTCCTGTGATCACAAAAAGAATTTTCATGCTGCTCTTTGATCAAGTAAGGGACTAATGACTAGGGAACAATTACAAATGATTCGAGCAAATAGAGTGCAAATTCTTCATGTTGGCTTTATTCAGCACTTCATCTGCAGAAATAGCAAACTAAGAATTCTTGTAAATAAAAGGCGCGCAAATCTTCATTACTGTTTCATTCTCCTTAACTGTTACAATTTCCTTAACTGTAGTATTAGTTGGTCAGCTGAAGGGGGTTGCTTTAATTTCAAAGCAAAACAGAGGTAGCCAAAAATACTGTAAAGAATCTTTTAAATAAAGCATGCATGGAAAAAAGAGCTATTGTTTGCCAAATAGCAATTATATTCATTTTTGTTAATTAAAATTATAACAACTTTGTTTTTATATAGTGGGAAAAGAGCCCTATTGTTAGAAGCTGCCTGTGGTATGAAAGTTGCGCAGGCTTGGATCCGCCCCTCCCCTCCCCTTCAAAAATATAGGACAACATTATATGCTTGTTGCTTGGGAGTGTCCGTGACCGGGGAGTGCCGTTAATGGCGGTATAAGTGAGTCGAATATACCTAATATTTGTCTCCGTTCTTGGATTAGGATCATTCATAACGATTGGGAGACTCTGCTTATCCACCACTGCATCCTGAACAGCTCCTAAGAAAACAGCCAAATTTAGTTATGTACATTAGAACACATGAATGTTCTTCTCTCAGATTCAGTGTCAATGAAACAATTTTCTATAACACATGGTTGCCTTTTTATCAGATTCACCATTAATAAAAATCCCTTCTTTAATTAAACATGACACTTACGCAACAGTAGACCAAAGAAACCTTGACACCGCTGGCTGTCTCCAATCAAGAATTTATAGGAACCGAAGTCACGCTCAAACTCCAGTCTGAAACTCTTCGTAAAAGAAACAAACATCAGAATAATTTTGGTATGGCATTGAAAGAATAAAATAGAGACACATTACTTGGAAAATGAAATAAAAATTGGTGCTATATATGATGTGGCTCAGTAACTAAGTCGATGGATAGAATTAAATTATAAATTAGCCTGACAACTACGGTGATGTATCCCTGTATTGTAACAATTACAGAAGCAGAAGATTGCAAATGGGTAAGGCAGAACAAATAATGCGCGAATATTACAAAAACTATGATACACAAGCTGTTGCCAAAACAAGACATGAACTAACCTGACTAAAATAGCCATGGTCGATGTATTTCAGTTCAGCGAATCGGTATTTCGTCGATAACTGAAGCCACTCCTTAGCTGAGTCACTGGATAAAAATAGGACAATTCAATATATCCCCACAGGCTAAACGAGGCTTATAAAGAAACACTCAAAAAATCATTGGACATCTTATGATAAAATGTATACGCGGCCAAAACAGAATCTGCCAAAGCTGATCTCCTATTCATTTCAGTGATATAAATTCTTATTACAGTCGAGTGTGATTATATCTTGCATAAAATAAAATATATCAGATAATTCTAAAGCATACAAAAATTGTCGTCAACTTCGCTCATTTTATAATATCAATTTTTAAAAACTCTCAAGGATAGCGGAGGGTTATTTCGTTTTTTTTGCTACAATTTTTCAACGAAAGCCAAAACAGCCCATCGACAACACTTAAAAGCAAAGCGAATCACAACGCTTTTTTTAAATGCCTCCTTCGATTCAAGTAGTTATATAAGATTTGTTGAATTTCAGTTATCAACGAATATTGCTAAGTCTTATGAATGTTGGACGAAAAGGTTGGTCAGAATGCAAACAAACTTTATTCAATGGCAAAAAAGAACCAATTCTGGTTTGGTTAGCAACAATTGTGGACAGCAAGACTCAGAAGGGAATACCTACCTTTCTGGGCACCTTAGTTTGAATAAATAAATGTTTGCTGTGGAGACCATAAGAAGGCAGTCTTCAATGTTGGGTCTGTCGTACTTTACGTAAGGGCACTAAAAAGAAAAGAAACGTGCACATAAATAAAAGTTAAAATTTATTAGGTTGTCAGGTTAACTTTCTGATTACTTACACCACGTGTAAAGGAAAATGTGACTAATTCAATATTACAGATCGTTTTTGATCTGGCAAGCGATTCCTAGCATAGGCATAAAGTGAATTTGGGCTTGAGCCTTCTTAGAAAATGTTCATAGGGGGATCGGCGACACTTGTAGCTTTTTAGTTAGTACTGTTTTCAGTGAACATTAAAGACCTCATGACATGCATTTACTAATTAAGTGATGAGATTAAAATTCATCAACACATTTTGTCAGTGATATGAAACTTTTGCCAATGGTATTTTGCAAATGATATGAACAATATTATCATTTCAAATCTGAAGTCATCCCCGGGTGAAATACAATTCGGTACCTATGTTTCCTTGAAAATAATCTGCTTTCAAAAGCCTACAATCCAGTCACATAAGTGGGCTTTCTTTTAGAAACAAAAATTGAGTTCTTGATTGCATTAAAGCTCCTGTAATTCTTCGTCTTACCTTGATCATGCAGCGAAACTCTTCGCTTTCCACGTGGAATAAATCCATTGAGAAATAGAGTTTTAATCGATGATCACATCTAGTCAGATCGTCTTCATTCACAACAATAAAATTAGCTGTTGATCCTTGCATTGGAGTCACTGACTGGGATCGGCTTGACATTGAGTTCCGTGATTCATGAGAAGCCGAAGGGGTTGAGCATCGTGATTCCTCTGCGGAGGCCTTTCCACCAGAAGATGTAAGTGATATCGAGCTGCCGGACAATTTACTTTTTAACGCAGTCTTCAGCTCATTTATTTGCTTCCAAGGGGATGGATTGTTTTCTGGTGAACTACCATTCATGGTAATTTTTGGTAGGTTTTCAATTTTTGAGGATACATCGTTCAAGGTTTTTGTAGTTGCAGGATTCTGTTCCAGATTTTCAGTGACAGTATCTAAAATTACAGGGTCACTTTGCTTGCTTTCTGCCTCTTTTGATCTAAGATAAAACAATGAGAAAAAGATAAAACAAAAGAAAAAAAAATAAAACAATAATACCAAGCATTAAAACTTAAATTTAGCTGTAGCAATAATGATACCCTTTATTTCCCCGGGTGACAGTTTTATCATTGTAACATGCTCCAATTATCATAAAACTGGCTAAAAGTGAGAACAACGTTACTTGTTTTTCTTCCATTGCTGGCAGCTTATCTATATGAAAATAAATATGTTTTTAAGGGATCGCGTCGCGGAGCATACTATTGATGATGGTCAGGGGGGGGGGGGGGGGGGGTGTTAGAAGTGTTGGGATATGCTAACGAGCAATTTTAAAAAAGTCACATGGTAGTTCAAATTGCTTTTAGTAATCAAATGGGCAGGCTGAAGCTCTAGCAGCAAACCTCCCTCCCCCTCCCCTCTCCCGTTGTCCCTGCTAGTTTCAACTTTTTTTGGAAAAATAGCAATAGTAAAGTCTTAGAAAAGAGGGGGGGAAAGGAGGTTTGCTGGTTTGCGGACTTAGAAAAGAGGATCATAGCACCTTTTTTGACACCAAATAGCAAAAACTACAAAAATTAGCCAAATGATCAAATTTATTTAAATAGTTCATAACAATAATAGAGGTGATTTGAAGGAAAACTTCATACTGTTGCGTAGTATCGTTAGAAGGCAGGCTTAACGGTTCTTCTCGTTCCAAAGGAAAAACAGAAAAAGAATCCCCAGTAACACGCTGGTAATTTGCATCCCCAAAACGGGCTAATACTTCAAAAGAAGGGTTCCTTTGTACTCCAGTATTCTCTGCTTGACTTTCTGAAGGGACAGTTGACGAATCTTGATCAAATGATAAATTCTCTCCCGCTGGATTTTTGACATTAAGATCAGTGGCGACTTCTTGTTCAGGCGGTCTTTCTTTCGATATCTCTTGCTCAATGACGCGAACAGGAGTGTTTTCAACCACCATGCTACTACTGCAACCAGGGCACAAAGCAAAAGAAGTCTCTTGCTTTCGTCTTTGAAAGGTCGTGGAACATTTCAAGCACTGACATACAATAAAGATTGTATTAGGAAAACTGACAGACGATTGGTGAAAATGGAGAAAAACAGAACGAGCAAAATTTTAAAACGCCGAAAAGAAGCAATTTTTATGACGCTGGCAGTGAACTAAGTAATAATTCAAATAAAAATATATGATGATACCGTATACAACATGCAATTACAAAATTCTTGAAACGATACAAGTTTAACAAATCCACAGTGTATATACGCTAATGCAAACCCTTGGAAAACTGTCAATACTTTTAGCTTGCCTTTAATTAAATAGACTAAAGCAAGCTGATAGAAAAACCCAAAGTCGAGTCATTGTGAATGATGCATGTTTGTAACTATCCTTTTATATACAGCTATAACGCAATTCCATTCACAAACAAAGCTTTCAATCTTATAAATAAATACTCGATAGTTTTATTCGGATTCTGGAAAAAAACAGTTTCTTACAAGGTAAATGTCCAAGGAAGATTCCTTCATCTGTCTGTTGCGACGAGCTATTGGCATTAAGTGGCCAACAAACTCATCGAATTCCTAACAAAAGCAGCAAATTAGGCATCATTACTCAAACAATTTGCGAAAAGCATGTTTAAGGTTGTTTGTCTATCCAGTTATCAGAAATCTTCAGAAAGCAAGTCTAGAGTAAGCATAAATGTAGACATTATGCCCAGAGTGTCTAGATTAAGTTTAGATTAAGATTAAGCAAATCTAGATTAAGCATAAATGTAGACATTATGCCTAGAGTCTAGATTAAGATTAAGCAAGTCTTGATTAAGCATAAATGTAGACATTATCCTTAAGTTTTTTGCGCCTTGCAGTAAAATGAGATCAGGAGCATAAAAACAGATATCATTGTAGGAAGGCAAAACCTTTTATACAGTAAATCTACATATCTGAAAAATCTGCATTAATTTTGCATAGATCAAATAAACATTAATTTTGCATAGATCAAACGTCAAAATTAAGAGATTTGATTCGAAATACCTCAGCATGGTCAATATCTTCGAACAGATAAATTCTCTTTCGACGATCAGAGCGCACGAGATCAAATCGCAAGCTCACTCTTAGCATCCCATTTGGAAATGGCGTCACTTCCTGGAGATAATTGAGGTCCAATTTGACAACCTATTGAGAAAGAATTAATAAAAATAGCCTATGAAAAGAGCAAACATTTCACGACATACTAAAAGCTTTTTCGTCTGACACTCCACAGAGCATAAAACGTCAGAATAAGGTTCGAAAGAACACGATGGAAAATATGCTCTGAGGAGTGTCAGACGAAAAAGCTTTTAGTATGTCGTAAAATGTTTCCTTATTTCAAAGCCATTTTCAAATTCTGTACCGCAAAAAAAGAATTAATAATAATTGCCTTTGAAAAGAGCTTATCAAAAACTGTAATTGACAGTTTGGAATTGATAAAAATTGATGAAACAAATATAAAAAAAGACTTTTGTCAGAAATATATAAAAATGAGGCATTAATTACAACATATGAAAAAGAGGAAGGCAATTATAAGGTTTGGCTACTAGCAGACTTAAAGTCTTTATATGACTCTCTAAGACAATATGAACTAAATTACCTTGCCAGTGATTGGATCCTTCTCAATTAGATAAGGGTGTTTGAAAAAGACAAACAAAGATTCTTTTTCGTCCATGCAGTTTTTGTCACCACTGACAACACTCTCCAGAAGAAATACAGATGCATCGTCTAAAAACAACGGCATATTATTAAATGCGTCAATCAAAGCTGCATATAAATGATATATTGAGAAGCAAAGCTTGGTATCAACCTATTAGCGGAGATATCTGGACTGCAACCGGTATAATGGGAGGTTTCCAGGTTCACATTCCGACTTCAGTTGAAGTAGTGTTAGATTGATAACCCTTACACTTACTCAGTCAGAAAAGATGTCATATACTGGTATTAGGTCATAACTTAGTTGCATTTAGAAGGACAATATAATATATAATATATAGCTTCAATTATATTATGTGTATTGTATCCACATACCATCGTCTGATACGATGCTGATCGAGCTTTCTGATGATATCGAGAGGCTGTCAATATCATTTGACACCGTGGCATAAATGCTGTCACTTGCCTCCTCTGATTCTTCCTGTTCTGCAGTTTGCTTAACCTTTTCTGAGTAGAAAATCAAAACTAGCTATTTTTAAAGCCACATTTACATGAAGAACACGATTAAATTGAAAAAGTCAACACATGGCTGTCAACCACTTCCTCAAGAACAAAGGATCTACGTTAGCATTGTACAAAACAGCTGACCTACCTCTCCAGACTTTACTAGCGCACGAAAGTTATAAATATATGAACGTCCTTCTGACTTTTAACAGCTCATCCATTACAGCTTTCAACAGCTTTTAACAGATACCTTTCCTAATCATGTAAGTGTATACACTCAACTCTTGAATATTTTGAACAAAAAAGTACGTTTTAGATCACCATTAGAACAACAAACAAAGAATCTCATTGTTATATAAGAAAGGATAAACTCACACCTGTCTATAAATATACTTCGAGGCTATTCCAAACACCCAAATTGTGATGCTTTTCGCAACCACGTTTATAAATAGGAATATTGTCGTATTCTGAATCGCTACACTAAGAACACGCGTAGAAATTATCTAAGAGGATCTACGATTTGCGTTTGCATATTTCCCTAGAGTTTTATCAACACGATGAAAATGTGTAATTCTTCTACAGTCAAAAGTTTTTTTATATACTGTATATTTATATTTTATATTTGAACCTTTCAAAGAGGGTTGTCCTTCAACAGACACCGGTTTTCAAGGGACCCTCCGATAAAAACATAGGCTACAATAGAAAGCTATTTTTAAATTAAAATAAATAATCTTATTTACAAAATTTCGAACTATGTATGAAAATATCAAATATCAAATGAAAATATCACTATAATAATAAAGTAAAGAGAAATCGTTGTCTGCTAGATAGTATTTTTTTAAATATATCTACAAAAATATGAATATTTAAAAACTATATCAAGAGTATGAGTTTATCTACCAAAAATCGAAAACAGATTACTAGAGAACTACTAGAGAAACTGAAAGTGTGAAGAGTATGCATGACTTGTTAGTAATAGTTAGAGAGCGGTTAAACGTGTGCGTTGCTGACTGCATAGGAGGTTAGCTTGAGGTGCGTGCGTTTGTTTCATACCTAATGCATTAGTTAATTGCTCTTCATCCAACTGTGTGGCATAATCAATGTCTGGTAAGCTCCTTGAAACTAAAAGATTATTCTGCTTTTCAGCCATTTTTCTTAGAATAACAAAGGACTGTCAAAGTATAAGTTCATGAATCATTCAACGTATATCAATGCGAGAATGGATCTCTTTTGATCAAAAAGATGAAATTATCTCATACTCTCTAACTTTGTGTAGGCTATTAACAGTATTGTCCCACGCCAAAAGAGCATCCCGGGTTGATGCATAATTCTATGGAACCTTTTGCAGCTATTTACAGTCTCAACAAGAGCAAATAATGTAACAGCAAAAGAGCTATGAGAAAGTTTACTGGTGCAAATGCCTCTACCATAGAATGTGCTATTAAAAAGTTAAAAAGAACAGCAGCCACTCACATTTTCATTAAACTATTTGACACAATAAAGACTTGGTAATGCCTGACTTTTATCAAATATGACATCACAAAAATAATAACGACAAATACCTTTAAAATGGCTTTGAAAAAAGCAAACATTTTACAACATACTTAAAGCTTTTTCGTCTGACACTCCTCAGAGCATAAAACGTCAAAATATGTGCCGACGCTTTGTACCGGAGCGAGCTTAATAGCCCACCATTCCCAGAGGAAGTATTCATTGAACTGATGGAAACTGCAACACGTTCAGTTGAATTCAGTTTTAACAATGAAATGTACCAACAAAAGGATGGTGTCGCTATGGGTAGCCCTCTGGGACCTGCCTTGGCCAATATCTTTGTTGGCTTTCATGAAGAGCGTTTGTTCGACTACGACCAAAAGCCACGTGTCTATTTTCGGTATGTAGATGACACATATACCATTTTCAAAACAGAGGCTGAGTGTGATACTTTTCTAAAACACCTAAATAGCCTTCACCCAGCCCTCCAGTTTACGTTTGAAAAGGAAGAAAATGATTCCTTACCATTTTTAGATGTTTTGGTCGAAAAGTCTAACACTGGATTTCTTACCAGTGTATATCGCAAGCCTACTTTTACCGGTCAGTACATACGCTGGAATTCATTTTGCCCAAAACAACGCAAAGTCAACCTTGTCAAAACATTAGTACATAGGGCACTTATGATCTGCTCGAAATCTAAACTGCACGCTGAACTTGAAAAACTCAAAACGATCTTCTTGGACAACGGCTATCCTGAAGACGTCATTTTATCTTATACTAAGGAGAAGATCGCAAGTTTTTCGGCTGTTCAAAAGTTTGGTCCGCAAAAGTGCCCAGTTTATTTGAAACTACCATGGATTGGTAACACTTCCTTGCGATTCGAGAATCAGATTAGGCAAGCCATAACCAATTGTTTCTTTGCTGTCAATCCTCGGATTGTTTACAGCACTAGGAGAGCCCTTCCATCCATTCAAAAGGATTGCGTCCCTACCAAACAAAAAAGTTCCGTCATTTATGAATTTACGTGCCAGTGTGATTCTGGCTACGTAGGGCGCACAACCCAAAGATTGGGGGATAGGATAAAACAGCATGTTCCTTCCAACATACGAAACAAAACTGCCCCTCAAAGAGAACAGCCTCCTCGATCTTGTAGGTCTAGAAACACTGTTAAAACAAGTGATTCTGCCATTGGTCAACATCTTTTAGACAACCCAGATTGTGCAAAACTCTATAATGACGACATGTTTCGGATAATTGGCAGATCCCTGTCGTCCATCCATCCAGCAGTTTTGGAGTCAATCTACATAAAAACGAAAAAACCGCCTTTGTGTAGACAAAAGGAGTTCGTTTTCTCTCTTGGACTCCATTGGTAATTTTTCTTTAGGCTCGCGGCACTGATTGGTCAACTATACCGGTCTTGTGCTTGCGTTTTTCTGATTGGCCTGTTTCGATCCACAACTGGGTATATATTTTTCAAACGTGTTTTTTCGGAACCTATTCTGACGTTTTATGCTCTGAGGAGTGTCAGACGAAAAAGCTTTAAGTATGTTGTAAAATGTTTGCTTTTTTCAAAGCCATTTTCAAATTCTGTACCGCAAAAAAATTGTTCAAATACCTTTAAGGACGTCACCGGAACTATTCTTATGAATCCACAAAATCGCATTATCGATCGAGCTTCTTCTGCTGCTAAACGATTCATTCCTCACGAGTGATGAAACGGTATCTACATTTGTACCTTTGGTTGTAAAGAGATTCAGGTTAAATAATAATACACTGAAAATCATATAACTTCAAGTAACAGCTGAAAAATTTTCGCACTGAAAATAAAAGCATTTAAAAGTGCCAACTTGATTTTATTGTTGATTTTGTATAGCAACCTGTATGAGTTTTGACGTAAATAACAATCTTAGAGCTTAGAAACTTTCAATATCAGTGGCAATTACTTTGTATCGATTTCTCCTTTGGATCCTCTGCTTCACTTGCTTCAAGCTGGGAATTCTGGTCGAAAATGAAAGCATCTCTGACCCTCGCACTTTTCCTTTTCTGTGAAGTGCCCTGCACAGAATTGAAATATGTTATTTTAATAGTAAAAATCTCAATAATTTCAAAGCTGTCAACTAGGTTTTGTTAGATTTCAGTATTTCCATCAAACCTAGATTCCATGAATTACAAACAAAGGAAAATACTACTTAACTTTATGTTTCAATCATGTTTCAAAAATTGCATGATATGTACAGCCGCTAACTTTCTTCCGTCACTTAAATTCAGTTTATATCTGCATTTCTTTCGCATACCTATTTCATTCTCTATATTGACATTAATATCAACGGCCTCTGTGATCATGAAACTGCAACCAACTTTAATTAATGCTATACTAATGTTAAAACATCTCAGCACTGCCGCTATCATTAAATAAAAACAGCAACATAAGCAATACCTTTGATCTTATTCCGTTAGGCGTGCTTGCAATTAAAGGTTCTCTCTCTGCTAAACGTTGAGCAGGGTCAGGAACACTCGTTGAACTTATTGACGTTCTCTCAATCATCGTATCTTGAACGTACGACATCAAACTCTGCGGTCGTACATTCATTCCTAAAATCTAGAACAACTTCATTTGTAATACAGTATGCTCTTGCTTGATTCATGATACCCTGTAGCAAAAATTTCTCTTAAACGGGACTTTCGACATCCCACTGCCGTTGGAAAATCAATGTTAGATTGCAAAATTATCGAATGAAGTCAAAATATCATGAGCATTTTGGTTTTTATTTTGTTGTGGCGCATACTATCAAGGAAGGTAAGGCAAGAGAAAGCAAGAAATATATCCACAAATTAATATCCATAAGGTTTCAAACAAGTATATACCCAGAGTCTCCTTCTTTCCTGAACTTGTACAATCCCTCTCTATTTGGGATATTTTCATATTCGATTAAATGGGACATTCGCTTGAGTAGGCAAGACTTTCTATGTCCACTAGAGCTACCAGTGGGACTGTTTTACTTAAAAGAATAAACCCATATTCTTGGCTGAAGAGTCATATAATTTTTTTGCTAACAAAGAATACGTTTCATTACCTTACTTCCCAAAAAAATTCCAATGTTTTTAGGGAATTGAAAATGTAAGAGTTACTGTTTTTCACTGCTTTGAAAGTGCTGGAAAAAAGAACAACAACGCTGCATGCCAAATTTGGCCTAAATAAAGCTCTCGAGCGTTTACAGTCTATGTTCAAGCAGTGAAATTTCATAGAAAGGGGTCCAGAACATCAAAGTAAATGAACTGTATTCTGCAATTTCCTTGAGCGAACGCTTACCATGACTTCTCTGTCATTTAGCTCTTGTCCATCCAAGGTAATCTGAAATTCAATTAACTCGATAAAAACTAAAACAGATTTAGAAACAAATAAAACCGAAACAAAGTCTAACAATTCAATAACATTCAGTTCACTACTAACGAATCCGGGAAGGAAATACTGGACGAATCCTGTAAGATTATATTCACAAACTTATTCGCAGCACTGCAATGTGGACTTTCGGAAGGTAAGTTCACTGCAGGTTTAATAGAACCAAGTCCCATCGTAACAGGTTTTAAATGCTCACCCCACGTTAAAAAAATGCTGCATTTCACTTTTGCGGTATCAAAATATTGGAGAAAACTGGCCAGAGGGAAGAGTAAGCACCTTTCTGGACCCTTATTCAAGGCTTTGATTTAACTGGGATATTAGAATAAAGAGAGGAATCACCTTTCTCCAGACGTTTAAGGCGTAGAAATCCAGAGGTGCAGTCGGAAAATACGAGGGTGTTTCTCAAACAACATTTCGGTGTTCTAACACCAATCTCTGGTTGCTAAGCACAAAATAAACAAAATAAAAAAACTTACAGTTTCCTCTCTGACTACAGGCGAAAGTCTTGACAATGTTTCTAGTCGATAGTTTGGCAAAAACTGGATAGGATTTCCTTGCGTATATAGCTAAAAATTCAAATGAGAAAAGCTTTACAGTGTGGTCGTTTATGAAAGCAAAGCTAAAATGCCGCTATTTTCAATTCTTTGTCGATAATACTTGATGATTAAATTGTGACAAAAAGCAAAACTTTTTGGTGTGTGGTTGCTTTTCTGAGCAGTTCTGAAACCACAATCCAACCATCTCAGGCAAAATTCATAGAAAAGATGGATAAAACCTAGAATTATAGGTTAAAATAATGTTATTTTTAGTTCTTTGTGAAAATTATGCGCCCTGTAACAATGATGAGGAAATCTATTTAAAATGATGCGTATTTTGATGCTTATCATAACATGGAGGAAAGTATTCTGGAAGATTACAATTGCTTGTGACGAAAAAAAACTTAGGAGGAACAGGATGACATTATATTTCGTATTATTTGCTAGAGCTAATGCATGCTCGAGTATTTGCAACGAGGGAGACTCCATCAAAGTATCCTCTAGAATAATGTAGAGTAATCAGGTCATGTAGAGTTAAGGCATTGCTGATTTCGTTATCAGAATAAACGAATAAATGAGTAACACAAACTTACAGATGCTAATGACTGTGACATTGACAATGGAAGAATGTCATCAAACCTTACGAGGCAGTTTGACGATATGTCTAGAAATTCCAAATTGTGAAACATCTCAACACCTACAACATTAAGAAATAAATTTAATATCATACCTATTTTATTGGCAAACTGCTTTGCAAAAAGACTATATGCAAAAGAAAGGTTTTCTGAATGCAGAACAAAAGATACACGCTGGCAGAAAAATATATAAAGATGAAAAATTATATTTACCTTCCAAGTTGGTCAAGCTGTTATTACAAAGAACCAACGTCCTGATACTGTACGATGCCAGCAGTGGATATGACGGCACTTTGGTAATGGAGTTAAAGCCAAGGTTGAGGTACCTTACAGGTGGCATGCTCTAAAAGAAATGAGCATAAGGGTAAAAATGTCGAAAAAAAGGCCGCGATACCGTATCTCGTAAGTTGGCATACGTTATTTCGCTAAAATAGAAATTTTGGAACAGGAAATATCGAAACAAAGTCAAACAAAAATAGGGATTTTCCAAATAGGAGTCAATTTGACTTTATGTAAAAATTAGTTCATAGAAGCGAATGAATCGTATAGAACTTTGGTTGAAATTTCAACAACAAAAAAGCTTTGCAGCATTGAATTAGTAAGTGCCGGTGTAATACGCGTTTTGGTACCCTATGCAAAAGTGTAACATTGTGAAACGCAATGTGTTTCAAATCCTGTAATTTCATCATTGTGCGATGTTGTTTGTATTTGTTTCTATCTAGCATCCGAAGGTAGTTTTTAAGGACACTGAGAAGCTTATACTCATTCGTGACATTCGCTGGTCCTTCTTCTCGACGTGACAACACCTCGTGATTCCTACGCCTGGAAGTACAGAGAGCTGGCGACTCTCCACACTCTGGTCGAAAGTTTGGTCATGCCAGTGACTCGAACCACGAACCCTTTGGTCTGTAGTCAGCGCCATTCGTTCGGGTATCAGGACCGTTTTGCATGCTCAATTCCACCATTTGTTTTGGTACCCTAATGTTTAAGTGCTTGGGTACGTTTTTGCATAACCAAAATGGCCATGCGTTTGTGTACCCGGACCGTTTTGCATGCTTAATCCAACCATTCGTATTGGTGCCCTATTTTTTAAGTGCTTGGGTACGTTTTTGCACAACCAAAATTGCCATGCGTTTGTGTACCCGGACCGAAATGCATAAGGTTACCGAAACGCATATGACACCGGCACCACCAGCATTGGTCAAATTATTGGTCAAGACTTTTTCAGCACTCTTTTGTAACCCCTCGAATAATCGCACAACTACTACAGCATGTATGCCACATAGCTTTGTAACCCGGTGTGCTGTTACAAAAAATCTAAAAATTGTCAACAAAGGTAAAAAAAGATCAAAATATTATTAAAAGTTTTCTAAGATGTTTTTCCACTAGAGTTGTAGCTCTACCGCAAGAACAAAACTCAGCAAAGAACAAGTCATGCTTTGTTTTGACACTTATGAATGCTTATTATTTTGTTTTTCTTGGAGTGGAACAATGGTTCAATGTAACCAAAAAGTCTCAACTTTTGTTTTCTATCAAAATATCTACATCATTCAATTACAATCTTAATCAATTCAATCATTTTTGAACTAAGCTTAAGATTTAAGACAAAAGGTAATTGAAACTAGTAGCAATAACAGTTTACAAACCATGCCCAAATAAGTAGTTACGTTAGACTTTGATGCATGACCTAACACAGTTTCCTTACATAACTGCATAGCCTAGATGCAGTACTTGTCTGAAACCTTTCATGAGAATAATAGCCAGGCTCTGGTTAGCTTTTCATAGATAACCTTGGGTTCAGTAGTGTAGCCAGGGTGGTAAGATTGAGGGGGGTGAGTTAAGCAAAGGAATGATGTGGGCCCACACCCTTCAGAACACCAGAAAAACCCCTTTCCAAAGCTAGGTTATTGTTATAGTGTCGACAAATGCATTTACATTTCGCTAAACAAAGTCTCAAAATATGTACATCTGTTAATATATGTAATTTTGACAAACTTACATCACTCTCAGCACAGCCAAGGCAGTTGTAGCAAAGGTTCAGATTTTCCAGCAAAGGAAGCAATTTCTTTATAAAATAAAAGTTTGAATGTCAAACTCACTCAAGTATCTTGCTTACAAATTTGTCAAATTAAGTTTTGTTTTGCATTTGAAATGATATTTGCAATGTAACCATCCATCAGGTGCAGCAGTAGCTTGATCAAAAGTTTTCCTGTTGCTCTTTTAAAGTAAAATTATAAACTTCAAATTCATGATATAATTCTGTATAGGACTCCCTAATCAGAAAGGAGTTTCAACAAAATGAACGCTAATTGATATAATTCATGCTGAATCAATGTTGTCAACAACAAAAAGTTAAAACTACAGATCAGAACCAACATAATAATACTGGTCTAATTAGAAAGTGTTAGAAAAGAATTTATTCAGTTTAGAGAAACCTTTTTTAACTTGTGAAAAACACTGTATTTTATATCAGTTGTTGAATATAAGAACATTGAACCTAAAATATACCCAATGCATTTCATCATCACATTACAGAAAAATTGTAGTACAATTATCACTGCGGATACTTATCACCTAGTCTAGGTGCTCCAGCTTGCAGCTAACCTTGCAAATTCAAACAACCAAACCTGTCATCTGCAAATTATTCTAGCAACTTTTTTACTTGTAGGCAACAGACTAGTATACCAAACATTACTTAAATCTGCATCAGTTATTATGGTGGCAAAAGTAAATACCAGCGAGTCATCCAGACATGAGATGGTGTTGTAGCTTAAATCAAGGGTTTCCAGCTCTGGTAGTGTGAGAACTCCATTAAAATCTTTCCCAAATTGATACACCACATCCTGTTTGAAAAAAATGATCACTATAGAGAACAATCTTGAGTCCCTTTCATTCCACCCCAGAATAAAATAGCATCAAGATAACCATGTGAAAAATTTACCCCTTGACATATGTATTCTTTGAGAAACACACTGACTACATTACATTTAACACTGAAAACCTGTAAGCTACAAGATTCTTAGTGATCCCCTTTATTTTTTTCTTGTAATGAAAGCAGTCAAACCATTCATTAAGAGTAGCAAATTTGTTGATAGATCATAACTCCAAACATACCTTGATAGAGTTAGTTGACCTGTTGCAAATAAGTTTCTTTATGTGTTTAGCAATATGGTGCAACCCATGGACATGAAGAATTGGAACTCTGTGGATCTATGAAAAATGATTTGATTTCACAGCAGCATAAAATAGGATTAAAGACTACACTAGTACAATGTAAGAGAACTCCATTCTTTAACAAAAAGTTTGCCAGCTGTTTTCTTATTTTCCTGCTTGTAAGATATCATTTCTGCTTGTTATTTCTGTTTGGATATGCAACCTTGATTGTTCATTTCTGCTTGGATATGCAATACTTTATCTCAATATTTCATTTAAAGTTGGTAGATAAATGGAAATCAAACCCACACATATTTAGCAAGTGCCTCTAATGCACATTTAATATATTTACCTCTAAAAGCTTCAAAGATTTGAAGGCAAGCAGCGACAACTGATGACTTGGAATGCAGACAGGTCCAGAGACAAGCTAAAAGATTAACTTTTTCATCATAAAAGGTCCAGTAGACAAAATGAATATTTACTTTATAACATTACACTGTCCTTTATAGAAAAAATTGGTAATAAACATATATAGTCACAAAGAATTGCATCCATACCTTAAGATTTGGAGATTTTTGAACAAAATCAAAAATAAAAGGAACATCCTCATTAGGTCCCTCCTGTTTGATCACATCAAAAGCAGAATCACCATGTCTGGATGAATCTGAAAAATAACCCAAAATGGAGTCTTCCATACGTTTTTCTCCAGGAAATAAAATGTTTAAATTGATGTGGAACCCTCATTTAATTTGGACCCAAAAATACTTCATGAAAAAACTTCATTCGTTTCTTTTTCGAAAGAATGGATATCCCAAAAAGAACTCGCGGTATTTTACCTCTTCTTGTCCAGGTTTTCATTCTTGTTCAGGCTCATTGTTTGAGATTCCTCTAACATACAATACCACAAGGCAAATCACATACAAAACATCTTAATTGAGCAGTTAGATTTATCACTAATAATAAAATAGTATTAACAAAATACATCAAAAGTATCTATATCTGTGCAGAGCTCAGAGTTCCTTTAATAGCAACAGGAAAATCTCCCTTCTTTTGGAAAGAAACCATGTTGTAGAGACAACAACATTACTTTGATGTAAGCACAGAGTTTCTTAAACAACATATAATTTTATTTGGGTTTTACTGTACAATAAATCAGCTTCAAAGGATTAGTTTCTAAATACCTCTTGTAAAGGTCAGATGCTGAAAATCTCTGTTCAATGCTATCAGGATTGGTGTTGTAAGACATAGTCGTCCATTGCCTTCAAGAATAAGCCCACCTGTAACAATGTAAAAAAAATTAATTGCAAGATATTTCCAAAAAGATGAACATTTTATCAACATCATAGAATCCTGTGATATTGTAGAAGTCAATAGACAATAGAAATACATAGCCAGGGATGGAACTACTTTTGTGTGCAAAAGTTATAAAAGCCTGTGGAAATAAAAAAATGCAAGGGTAGCTCAGTGGCTAGGGGCACTGACTACAGATTCCGTGGATCAAGTCCCTGGCATTACCAAACCTTCACCTATAGAGTGAGGACAGTAACCAGTAAATCTAGGGGAATCATGAAGTGTGGTCACACAAAGAGGATGGACCAGGACACTACTGCCTTTGAATGCTGGGTAGCAAATACAAATAAAGAATACAGAAACCCAGCAGTCTTTCACTGTTTGATTGGATTGATTGGATTTACCATTTAATAGGTATAATACTCTCATCTAACTTTATCGATAACTTGACTATTCTGTCTTGCAAGGGCGTCCCACTTATTGGATTTTATCAGTAATCTAAAAGTTACTCTATATTAAGTAAGATATTATACTCCAATGTCATGTAAAATACTTCAACAGGATTTATCCTATCCTATATGAATTGTGGCTATCAAATATTATTAAGGTTCCAAAATGACGATGCATTCAGCAGCACTGCATCGAATCGGTGGGAATTCTTTTTAAGCAACCAAGGTCCAGATAATAATTTTAAAAAATGACATTTATTTGGTATGGATAGATTTTTAAACTGTTCTCACCGTACTCTCTCAAAATATTTGCAAGTTGTTCCACTGGATTTGCATTGTTCGTTTGATCTTTCTTCTTTTTCCGAAACCAACTGAACATTGTTTTCCTTTAAAAAGGAAGCTTAACATATAGCTTAACATATAACACTCAAATGATCTTTTCCATTGACTAAAGAGTGGCTAACACACTTGATTGGGACCTCTATCTTCCTTTGCCAGCGAGGTCCCATAAATTTATAATGCCACACAAAATCACGATGCATCAAAATGGCTGCACCGTAGGAAGACTGCAACAAAACTTTGTTAGACATCTATACTTCATTGCGGAGACACAGTTCGTTATACAGTGATAGAAATAATGTTTGTGGTCATCTTTATCATGCCGTTTCAAAGGAACACAAAATTCTACGCCACTTCTTCTTGGTACTGTTGCTAATGATTGTGATTACATCCCGTGACTTCATCAAGGTGGTTGGGCTAAACGTGCCACCTTACTAGTACAGTGCATTACCGTAATCGTTCGAATAAGCGCCCAGGCGTTTATTAATTTTTCTGCTTTTAAGGGGGTGCTTATTCGAGATGGGCGCTTATTTGAGAGGGGTGCTTATTCGAACGATTACGGTGTATGAATTGTAAGAGAAGGCCAATGACATTGAAAGGGGCACGGGGCGAAATGAAAGCCAACAGGAATAAGGGGGCGGGTCCAGTGTAAATTTGAAGGGGGGAGTTGTTAGCGTGAGGGCACTGAATAATTTTCAGAAATTGGTAGCTGCCCTCAGTTGCTTTCCTTTAACCCACCACTACCAGAAAGATCCTCTTGTGAAGAAATTAGCCCGGATAGAATTCCAATTTTGAATGAATCAACGATTAAATAATGTATGTTACCTTTCATTATTATACAAGAAAGTAACACAGATAAATTTCATGAAAAAATCTCCATGTTGTAGCTGATTTTAGATAACAGTATACCATTGCATAAATGCAGTGTCAGTGGTAAACTTCGAAAGGGGACTTAACGGATTATTGAGTGATCAAAAAACCACATTAAAATATAGAGCTTTAAAACCAACTGGATGAAATTGTATCAGTGAAGAAGAAAATGTGGTGCAAAGGCCCTTGGCCGTCTATATATGTTACATAACTGTACCCGTAAGGTAGTTTGCAACTGTGAAAATGTTAAAATACTCTAGCATCTAGCCTGTTTTAGCCTCTTGTATTCAGTTAAATTTAATCAATTTCTTTAATAGTTATATACTGCATGGATATTTGCTTTGCTAGCCAAGCAGTCACAGTAGCACGTCAGCATGAGGCTCCATAATTCAACACTGTACTCGTTTAGTATTTGTTTTCATTGTTTTTGGTAATCTATAGGATAGGAATAGTTGAAATATTGGAGATAAAAAACTTTTTCAATAATCTTCTATCTAAAACAATTTTCCAGAAAAACCTTGAGTTCATATAATATTCTAAAATATCAAATAGTTGATTCATCTTCTCAATTAATAAAAGTGTCACTTTGTAAAATTCACGCTAGGTTTCTTGTTCCCAAAGACGGAGATGCCGGAGTCGACCAAACAGCATACAAGATCAAAGAAGTACATTGTGCCAAAGTTATATATAATAGTGACATAGCCTTCCCTTAGTGCTTGTGTACTAGATTAGGTAAAACTTAAAAGCAAGGCAGCGAATTATTGTTACTTGCGAAATAAAGCGTTCTAAAGATGAAAAGATAGCACAAGTAAGTCTGTAAACCAACAGAAATTTGACATTGATAATTTTATATCTATTACAAAGACATACTGATCTGAGAACTTCATCAAATTGGTTAAAACGATTTAAATACATACCGCAATCTTAACAAAAATATATCGAATTCTCTAACAATAAAAGAACGCTAAAAAGATTCTAACAGAAAATAAAACGAAAAACAAAGAAATTCATAGCAATCTTACAAAATATTTGAAATGAATGAAATCTTTCCAAAACTCTGAAAGTAAATAATAAACCAGGGTACGCGAGCCTTAACATGGTCAAGCGGGTCATTCTTTGCAAGTTTTAGTGCGCATTACGTTCAGCTAGTGTAAAACTGAAATTTGATTGATAAAAGAAAACGGGATCATAAATTGATTTGTATACTTTAGCTTGTAGGGAGGGAACAACGACACGCACTCAAAGGAAAATGGTATTCATGAAATACTTGCGAGATGTATTGGAGAGCCATTCGACCAGTGGTCAGTCGGCACCTCAGTTACCATTTCGTTCAAATTTAAGGCGATATATACTAAAAGTTTCGAAGACTGTAGTGACGATAGAAAATCTACCACATATCTTTAAATTAGCGTTCGTTTAATTGAATTAAAACCTGGTTTTGATACAGAAATTATTTTAAAATCTAGTGCCTTGGAAGATATCTCCGTATTCCAAACAACTTTTCTTGCTCAACATGTCAATTATGATCCATCTGAACTATGCGTATGTGTAAATGTATGAAAATCCGCATCTACTCTACAATTATCGTTTCTCTATTGTATGCTTAATTCTTCTGGATAATATATACGTCTTTTCTGTGGCTACATTGTGTTTTGTTCTGATTCTAATGTTTCTTGACAGATAGCTTCCCGTTTATCAACTCTGCTGTCACTGGCCTTCCATTGAAGCTTACACTGAAACTATAAAAACAAAGGCTCACAATCGTGGTTTACTCAGAGGAAAACAAATAAGGTGCTAGAAAATTTGACAAAAGGGATTCATTATCTCGATTAATTGTGAAATCCTATATAAACAATGACAAAAATGCACGTTTGAAACTGGTGTAGTATATATAGTTCAAATCATTCTGTTCCATTAAGACACAAAAGGCAGATATCATTTCATCATATCAATCAGTTACATAAACGGGTGTGCATATGCTACTACCTTTCTGCAATGTCAACCTTCAGTTCTCTTTTAAATTGCTTTTTGTAGGCAAGTGCTGTTTTGGCGACTAACTCAATCACATGATCGCATCGAAGCATAAAGTCCCCCTTCTTCAACGATTTCACATCTTGGCCCTAGAATATCAAAATATTCTCTGAATCAGAGATAAAAAAATCACAAAAGAAGAGAATAAAAAAGAGGGAGGGGGGGGAATGTTTTCACTCATTTAAAAAGGTGAGCATTGCTCCTATTATTTGAAAAAATAACGAAAGCGTTACTCTCAAAATGCAAGAAGTTTGAAATGACGAATATGACAAGAAACAACAAGAAATGTAAATTTAGAAATAGGTCACATCGCGATTACTTAAGGAAATGAAACTTTAAAAAGTATGTCGCGAATACTAACATAACGTGATAAATAAAACGAACCTGTTTGACGTGAATTATTACAAAGCCATCAGCAAGTGGAGTAGTCGTTACTTTCACAATATCTGTCAAGCCAACAGTGTAGACTGGCTGCAATGATTTCGGTTCCAAGATCAATAGCTCACAGCAGCTCAGTAGTAATGTCTTTGGCACCTCCTGAAATGGTTTTTTAGAAACTCGTGATATTTAGTTTTACCTTTTCAACTTATATGCATAAGATCCAAAGCGCAAGTAGCATGAAAACATAATAAAAACTTCGATACAATGAAAGCCAAAGTCTTTTCTAAAGAAATATGGAGCAGCGGACGATCGTTAGGACAAGGTCACATAGTTGATAAAATCAGTCATTAAAATTGATGGGAATGCGATGAAGTCAACAGCTCCATTCACAGATGTTGACCATTTAATAAAGAGAAATGAGTCAAAGACGTTACAAAATATCAAAAGATGCAAATGGTCCAGTCCAAGACGAAATTAGAGGACGTTGCGATAAAGTTCCTAATTTTTAGGCTACAATGAACAGTAGAGTGAGTAAAAAATGGAAAAACAACCAACCTTTCCATTTTTCCGGTGTGTTTTTAATATATTGTCGGTGAAAACAACCTTCAAGTCATTACTCAGCTTCGTTTTCTGCTTGGCCCAAGCAGCACTATCACTGATCTTTAGATGATCTCCTTCAAACGGAATGGGTACACTGCAAAATAAACACTCTTTCATCAAAGATTATCATTGATAGATGAGACTCGCTGAAGAGCTGTCTGCTACTACGAACAGTGAATTAACAAATGTATTATTTACAACTACATGATATATTAAATGATGAAAACAAATTCTCTCTACCACTATTCGAAAACAATTCTTCATTATCAAACGCCAGAGATGACGCTCTTGCTGAAATAAGTTGAGAAAGGAAGATGTAACCCTGGCTAAATCTCTTTTGGTCATGAGTAGCCTGAGGTAGCACAGCAGTAAATGAGAATTGGAGCAAAAAGTAGCATGAAAAAAAAGAGCCTTGAGAGTTATGATGAAATTAATTCAATCATTATAACTATCTAAACAATTCAAACAACTTATCAAGCAGTCTTAAATGTCCATTGTAGGCCCTGATGTAGGTCTTGCCCAGATCAAAGGCAAAGTTTGGCAACTATAATACTGATTAGCTTTAATCATAACGAATCTCACTAGTGTAACGTCACCTAGGAGTTACTTTAACAAAGAAATAAACGGTTGACAAGTCTGAGTTTGAGAATAAGGTGAGTAGCGACGTTAAACAAGCGCGACATGAACTTTTTCAGGATTGTGTGTTCAATGTTGACATAGTTTGAGTCAACTTCGATATTGCCGGTTTCTGCATATAAAACGCGGCTTACCTTTCAGCATAGGTCTCTTTCTTTCCGCCAAATATGTCTCTTGCTTGTGACTTTTCACTCAAGATTCTTTTCCTCTCAGGGTCAATTTTCTCTCGGTATTGATGGCACTAGACAAAGAAATAATGCTACTCAAGAACATCAACATAACACCAAGGGATAAGAAGAATTAAGGTAGATGAGAAATCGAGAAGAGTTTTCTAAAGCTATGTCACCAGTAAGTTTTGTCCTATGTCCTGATTGATCTATAGGCCTAATGCGCATGCATCAATCCCTGACACAAAATATTTACAAGCTGAAAACAAGTTGTGCAATTGTCCATTACTTTTTAATTGTTCAACTGGTATTAATTTGCATAATTGCATATTTAATTCAGTTAATAAGATCAAAAGCAGAGCCTTACCCTCCATGCATGGTGAACTTTGTACAGTAGATCAGAAGCATCAGTGAACATTTTCAAGCAGTTAGGCCAGCTAGTATCCAAAGGTGAGGCTGATGGTTGGTTGTTGTAGATATTTATCAAGAATTTCACTGCCTATGAAGTTAAAACAATGCTAATGTCAATAAGACACGAGGTAGAAACAAATCAGAATCGCTACTTCAAGAAACGCATTAATCACACAAAAATAGAATCTAGTAGAGCATGTAGCCAGAAATTTTAAAAACTTAAAAATCGATCTTGCAATGAAGGATATGCAAAGG